TAAAATGCGTTGTGTTAGCGTTTGAGGATAGCAGTAATGTAACATAGCGTAACAAACAGAAAAAAAAATGAAAACACTGTCAATGATAATGTGTAAAATTGTTAATGACGGACACGCACACACACAAAAAAAATGAACTGTTTATTTGTGTACATTGAATACGTAATTACTCGTTTATTATTGTAACAAAAAAAAATTTATATATATATATATATATATATATATAATGTGACGAAACGAATAATTGTGGAAAAAAATGATTAGTTATGTACACTGTGAAAAAGGGAAAAAAAAAACATTGAGTAGGATTGATATTGTGGGTCCTTGATGATTGTTTGTTTTGATTGGTTGTAATTTTTTTTATACGGCGAAATGTACATAACGTTTCGGTTTTTTTACAAGTCTCCCAGAACGTGTTAAACAAGAGGGGGTACTGTTAAGTTTTTGTTTTTCCTCTTGTTTCTTAGCGATAGATGGGAGTGGTGATTCGTTCGTAGTATTGTCTTCCGCGTCTTGAAGAATTTCGTAGAAAGCCGGTTTTATTCGGTCTATGGAAATTGTCTCATTCCTTCCATTTTTATTGATGATGAAATGTTTGTTTGTTCGTTTAATTACTTTGTAAGGTCCTTCGTACGGTTGTTTCAATGGTTTTCTCACTGCGTCGACTCGAACAAAAACGAATTTACAGGCCTCTAGATGTTTATCAAGTTGTATGCGGTTGTTATGTTCGCGCGGAGGTATCGCTTTAATGCGTTGCATCGTTTGTAATAGTCGGCTTGCGAAACCATTTGGATCATTTGACATTATTGATTCTTGCTCGACCAACTGACCCGGTAATGTTAATGTAGTACCGTAAACTAGTTCAGCTGAAGTGCATCCTAAATCCTCCTTGATGGTTGAACGGATTCCCAGGAGTACAAGTGGTAGTGCGTCACTCCATTTTGTTGTATCAGTTTGTGCCATCAATGCGCTTTTCAATTGGCGGTGAAATCTTTCGACCAGACCATTAGCCACTGGATGATAAGCTGTCGTTTTAATGTGGTTCACACCCAGAAGTCTTGTGAATTCCTGAAATAAGATAGACTGGAACTGGGGACCACGATCTGTAGTGATGATAGATGGTACTCCATAGTTCGATATCCATCGGTCAAGGAATGTAGCGGCTACTGTCTCTGCAGAGGTGTCGGCGATGGGACATGCTATAGCCCATCTTGTAAATCTGTCCACTGCGGTGAGTATATGTGTGAATGATTTTGATGGCGGCAAGGGACCGACTATATCTAGATGGATGTGTTGGAAACGTTTATCCGGCAACGGGAACTTCCCAACAGGACTGACTGTGTGTTTTTGAATTTTGCTGCGTTGACATTGTAGGCAGCTTCGAGTCCATCGTTTTATATCTGAGTTAATCTTTGGCCACACGAAACGTTCGGTAATCAGTTTAGTTGTGGCTCGGATTCCTGGATGTGAAAGACCGTGTAAGTGTCGGAATATTTCTCGTCGGCAAGCGTATGGGACGAAAGGGCGGTTGTTGCCTGTTGAGGTGTCGCACATGATGAAAGTATCTGAGAAAGGCATGGGTATTGGTTTAAGATTCAAGTTAGACTTCTCTTGGCAGGCTTTTAATTCTGCATCGTCTACTTGGAGTTTAGCTAAAGTTTCGAGACTGATGTCGTTGTGTACTATCGTGTTAATGTCCTTTCTAGATAGAGCATCAGCGACAATGTTGGAAGAGCCTTTGATAAACTGGATGTCTGTAGTAAATTGAGAAATATAATCCAGTTGTCTGGCTTCCCGAGGAGAATGCTTATCATACGAAGTGCTAAAGGAGTAGCAAAGGGGTTTGTGATCAGTCATAACAGTGAAATCACGACCCTGTAGCAGGAAGTTGAAATGTTTGACGGCTAGATACATAGCTAAAAGTTCACGTCCAAAAGTGCTATAACGTTCTTGGGTTGGCGATAATCGTTTGGAAAAGAACGCTATAGGAGTAATGTTGTTGTTCACGCGCTGCTGTAATACTGCTCCTACTGCTTTTTGGGAGGCGTCGGTGCAGAGGATGAGATGCGTTGTGGGGTCGGTGTTTAGATGTTGTAACATGGTGGCATCGGCTATCATAGATTTAGCTTTTTCAAATGCTGCTTTGGCATCAGGAGGTAATTCGAATATTTCGTTCTTTATTTTCTCGTTGCCTGCTTTATCGCTTTTCAGTAAATCAGTTAACGGTTGCAGTACTTGAGCGCAATTCGGTAGGAATCGGCGATAGAAATTGCATGTCCCCAGAAAACGTCGTAGTGATTTTACAGAGGTTGGTTCTGGGTAGTTAATGATGGTCTCAACTTTCTCTGGAAGTGGTTTTATGCCTTGAGAGTTGATGTAGTGTCCTAAAAACTCTAAGGCTGGAACACCGAATATACATTTAGCAGGATTAATAACAACACCGTGTTTTTTGAAACGTTCGAAGAGGATCTGTAAGTGTTGGATATGCTCTTCGAGTGATGAACTAGCGATTAAAACATCGTCGATATAGACGAATACAAAGTCTAATCCTTGCGTAACTTGGTCCATAAACCTCTGAAACGTTTGTGCGGCGTTTTTTAGCCCGAATGGCATCCTCAAAAACTCAAACAGACCAAAAGGTGTGATTACTGCTGTTTTTTCAATGTCTTCGGGTGCCATTGGAATTTGATGATAGGCTTTTACTAAGTCAAGTTTCGAAAAAAATTGTTTACCATGTAGATTTAAGGAGAAGTCGTGTATATGTGGTATGGGGTACCTATCCGGGATAGTTTGATTATTTAATCTTCGGTAGTCTCCGCATGGTCGCCAATCTTGGTCCTTCTTTGGAACCATGTGCAGCGGCGAAGCCCAAGGACTGTTTGATTGTCTAATTATTCCGAGTTGCATCATATGTTCAAATTCTCTTTTAGCAATCTGTAACTTGTGTGGTGGAAGTCTCCTTGCTTTAGCACTAATGGGTGGTCCCGTAGTGATGATATGATGCTGTACGTGGTGTGCTGTGGGTTCCGTCTGATAATTTACTTTTGTGATACATTCGTATTCCTTCAGAATGTCGGTGAAAAGTTTGTTTTCCGGTTTTACTATATGAACACCGTAAATCTCATAGTCAGTAGCAAGCGTACCATTTACTTGTAAACGTGTGCATCGGTCAATCAACCTCTTGTTGTTCATATCTACTAATAATTTGTAGGAACTTAGGAAGTCGGCTCCGAGAATGGGTTGCTTAATTTCAGCTACAATGAAAACCCACGTGAAACGTCTGCGGAGACCGAGGTCTAGGATAAGTGATTGATCTCCATAAGTTTTAATGGTTGTGTTATTGGCCGCAACTAGGGATAATTTGTTGCTTGGAGAGTGCCGTCGTTTAGAGAGGTGCAATGGGATAATGCTGATTTCGGCCCCTGTATCGACCAAAAAATCTGAGCCCGAAATTCGGTCCCTGACATGAAATAGACGGCTCGTTGTGTGGCCAGAAACAGTCGCCGCCACTACTGTCTGGCCAGTTCGTTTCCCTGATTCTCTGAGTCAGCCGCAGAAAATGTGCACGGTCTTGTGCAACGCCGTGCTTTGGTGCCATATTTTTGGTGATACCAACAAATACCGACTGTCTTCTTGGGAGACCTTGAACGATGTCTTGACTCTGCTCTTTTTCTAGAATTGGATCTATTAGGTCGAGAATGGATACTCGCAATAGTAGCCTGTAATGACGCTAACTGAGTTGTTAACTGTGTTAATTGTTGCTGAATGTTGAGTGTTGTGTTCGTATCGCCATTACCAGAAGTTTGTATCGCGTTTAGACAATGCTTGTCGGGGTAGATCTCCATCATCTTGTCCGCCATGTCGGCTAAATCCTCGAGAGCGACAGTTCGCCCTGAGACGCTAGGGATTTGTCTCACATTATGTGGTAATCTTAACTCAGTAATGGCATTCACTGAACTTAAAATATTATTTTCTGTATATAATGAATCAAGGGGTTTCATTGGGGGACATTCCATATCTATAAGTTTATTTGGAGAGTTCATGATATAAAAAAAACTAATGTTTCAAGTAGAAATATAAACAATAAAACTAAAATACACTCTAGGCTCACCAAATAATTGTGGTGGACCAGATAATATATTAATCCAAAAAGTAATAATAGTTATTTATAACAAATAGCAATATTTAAAGATATATAAGTTAAATGTCATAAACACAATAGAAATAAGGAACGTTACTTATTTTACCAGGAGAGCGCGTGTTCCAATTTGATCTGGTGTTAAATATCCACAATTATAGATGATTAATAATTCCTGCGAGTGTGATGGGTTCCCCAATGATATGATTAAGTAATAAATATGGTATATTCCAATTATCGTCTGTAAAGATAAATGGTACTTGCTTTAGACTTCAGTTAACACAAATGCAAGTGAATTTAGAACGAGAGGCATGTGTGTAGTAGTGTATTTGGGACAATCACAGAAAGTGTCACGCTATGTTGGTATCACAACGGAAAAAGTGATCAAGGTCATTTACTAAAACAACAGGTACAATGATTTAATAATAAATGTACACACAATGAAAGGTTGACAAAATGAATACAAATAATAATAAAAATTATTTACAAAAATAAGTTTGACAGACCTATCTCCACAGGGGTATTGTGTTGTTTCATTTCAAATCCACTGCGAGATAATGTAAGAGCGATTGGTTGGTTTACTAAAAAGAGTTTGTTGGTAAGATCTCAAAAATTCAGTTCTATGCCTTATGATACAGTTTACATATGGAGTCAAACTACTGGTATTTTTCTACAGAACAAATATCAGTACCCCCGAATGATGCATGAATATGGTTATTTAACATGTATAGCAATTAACGACATTGAAATATGATCTTTAATGCATTTTCTGTTTTTTTTCTAAACATACAGTTTTGAAGATTGAGTAGTGATTTAGGCTTGGTTACGAAACGACGAGTTCGCGCACTTTACGAAAAACTAAATGGCTTCAAGGTAGCTTCCCTCGTGTTCTCGTATTGATTTGGGATTACGCTTTGAAATTGCTTTAAAATGTTTATTTGTCTTTAGAGATAACCGTCTGTCCGTTTATGTTGGTAATCTCCCTCCGAATACTATACAAGGGCATTTCGACTACATATTTTCAGGTTGTGATGTAGGTCCCCTTAATTTTTTTTTTCATTTATAGTGTAGATAGATAGTGTTAGATTAGTGAGAGACAAACAGACAGACGAATTCAAAGGGTATGCTTATGTAGACTTTAAAAATGAACAATCCCTCCAGAAAGCACTAGCTATCGACGGTGCGGTATGTCACTGGTTCTCATTTTACTTTTCTGTTTAGATTGTCGATGGACGTTCTCTGCGAGTAAATCTAGCAGGTGAAAGACCTGGACGTGGTATGTTAATGTCTTCTCCGTATTTGTGAAGCTTTATGTTTTTTATGTGAACCTTTGTGACAGTTATAAGCAAAATCAGGTGAACATTTAATCCTATTTTTAAACCCGAAAGTGATAAATCTCTATTAACGCAAATCGGTTTCATGCAGCAAACATTATGCACTTTGTCAGAAGGTTGTTTCCTAAGCTTTCCTGCCAAACGTTCCTGTTTGGGATGTGAAGGCGTCCTCAAATTCCGGTAGATATATTCATGTATTACTATGATGATCTTGTAATAAAAGTTTTCGAAACAGTCAATTAGTTACTCTTAGCAGGCTAATGTTCACAATTACTAAGATTCTATAGCTAAGAGCTTCTCTTAATTGTGAAGTTAATGTACGTTGCAGTACATGTGATTTACAATTCTTCACTATTACGGACACAGCTAACTTGCAGTTTAAGGTGCGTTTAGATCTTCATCACCTAAAATGCTACAGCGCATTGAGTCTACTATGATTTATTTTCAACAAAAAACATTGATAACATGAGTTTACATTGCTCAGTTGAACCAGGTTTTCTGCGATGGGATCTCAGCTACAGCAGGTTTGTGTATACACAAATAATAAACAGGTAATATGGGACACTACCCAATATCCTACAATGTCGAAAAAGTCAAGTGGCTGGAGAAGCTAACAGTTAACTTTTATTATTAATATAGCACCCTTAATAACCATATAAGTGGTCTGTATATGCCTGTCTTCTGTAACCAGAACTTTAATCAAGTTTTTTAATGACTTATACTGTCACGTTTTGTTGTTTCTGCATTATCATGCTTTCACTGTCTGAAGGTGGTGGTGGTCAAGGTCAATGGGGTATGAACAATGGATATGGAAATCAAGGACGTGGTGGTTTCGGTAGTCATGGTCGTGGTGGTTTCGGGAATCAAGGACGCGGTGGCTTTGGAAATCAAGGACGTGGTAGACCTAGCATGGGTGGTGGACGGATGGGTGGGTATACTGTATTTTCCTTGACTTTTCGTCTGGTTTGGTTACTAGGTTTATCTTTCTGATTCGCTGTACCGATCAATTTGTCTGTAAATAGGATCGAGCTTTCTGGGTTTGTCGGCTATGAATATTCCAGAAGTTTTTGGTAGTGTGGTTAAAATCTCAGACATTTTTCATATAGAATATGATTTCATTCTTTTGTTTTCACCACAGATGATTTTGTAATTACTTTGATAGGCTTAATTTGGTTGATTCACACTGATAGTCATTTTCCCCCTAAAACCTTCATTAGGTATTTTTAATCTTTCTGCACTGTTTTATAGTATCGAAAACGTGCATTCGAGTAACTCAACTGGGGTGCTGAAGTTAAGTTATGATGTATATTCTGATTCTAAGGTTTTCGCATTCAGACAAAGGATATAAGAGAACCACAGAATAAAATAATGAAAACCATGAGTCATTTCCAAGTGTAGTGTTAAGCAGGATTATTTAGTCCACCTTGAATGTGTTATGCATTAAATGGATGTATATTTTTTAACAAACGTGTTTGGTGGAATTAAAGATGTAAATATCTGTGGACTGATTAGTTTGTTACTCATTTGTTTATTGATAGCTTAAAAATATCTATCAGCATGATCGTAATGACCAAAATCTGTGTGATGTCTTAACTAAATATGCTGAGGTTCCTTTTTTAAAAGAACGTGCTAAACCGTTAACATCAGTGCTTTACAAATAATAAAATAATATAACTCATTTAAAACTTACAGACTTATATATTCGGCTGTCAGCCACATTTTATTTGACACTACGCGTCAGCTCAAACCGAGCTAGTTTACTCAGGTTTCCGACATGCAACCTAATGCCGACCGATCTACCTGACGAGGTGGAAGTCGTGAAGGAACCTCAAATCCTTAGGTGCTATGAATCACCAGCTACAGATGGATCACCTCCGACCCTTTTTGAAAGTTGTCCCATTCTACCTTGTGGGTGTGGGACATTGGTCATTAGGAATAAAGGATATTCGTAGATTACCAGTGTTCGACAATAGGTATCTTCAAAGCATTGCTCGTGTGTTTTGGGGACCATGGAGTAAGCAATGTCTGGGTACGGATGGGCATTCAATTGGTGAGGTAGCTGGAATAGACGTTACGTATGCCCGACCAACCGCAACTGATCGAACTTTTATTGGCATATGTGCATTTTGTGTGGATTGCCTCGTTATTTCCTAAAGTCGAAATCATCATAAGCAGAGATAGATGGGGGCAGCAGCGGAGATGTACTACGAATGTCGTTCCTCCGAATTCTACGTCATGCATTATTTACCGATGCTGAGACTGGTTGGAAAAAAATGAAGAGGTGGTCAGTTTACGACACGACGTTAGTGTGTGGAAAAAAGCTTTATGGGACTGGAATATATCGGTTCATCCCGACTTCCTGATTGCGTTCCTAGAGATGGTGTAACTTAGTGCCTTGAGACGTTATCAAACATGTCTGAAAATAGAAGCAAGCGGCGATCCTGCTGTGATTTCCTTTTACTTTCTTCATATAAACTAGGGAAACTTCGTTAACTAAAAGAGTTTCCTGGTTGTACTTTTCTTAACTGCTCTCAGTTTTCTATTCATTAATTCTTATTTATTTTCACCCTTTTTTATTGTACTCATCTTCCTCTATCTATCTTTTCACAGTTTCATTTTTACTGTATGGCACATATATATTCTGGTGCTGTTTCATACCAATATTTGTTCAAATAATAATAATAATAGTAATAAAATTGAAAACCGAGCCCTTTAATCACTAAACCACCGTTTTGAGATATTTAAACAAATAAGTATAGGATATTAGTTCATAATTCATCACATTATTGAAATAGAGTTCCTCTAATTATTGAGGAATTATTTTTATTATTTCAACACATAAACATTGGTACAAGGAGGCACCAAACAGATATGCGCCACATAAATCATTCGATTTATGTGAGGGCTGGGATACTACCAGGTTGCCGAAACCGAAGCTGGAATAAAAAGCCCCGAAATATTTCTCTCCTGTGTTACTTTTTTTGAATTTTTTAAAATACTCTTTATCACTACATAATGTACAGATGAAATATAAACTATAATTCTTGTTTAATATATAATAATGATTTAACATTTCGATGATGTTCGGCTTATGAATTATCATTACATCGTTTAGCTTATAATTCGTTACATTCACCGTTAGTTTAGGTAACTAGATAAATATTCTTATCATCTGTATAAAATATACCTAATATACTGTTTGTTGTTTGTACTTTAAACCAATTATTCTTTGTTACCAAATTGAATTTGAGAAATTATTATTTCTTGTTTCTGTTTTACTATTAGAAAGTTATGGACGTCCAAATAGAGGTGGAATGGGTGGATTCGGTGGACAACGACAAAGTTACCATCCTCCAGGACTATCACGAGAGCAGTTAAATGAACTTAGTACTAGGAATCCTCAATCAAATTCTACAGATTCAACCAGTAGTGGTTCGGGTGGTGATCGACCTAAACTAAACCTAAAAATCAGAGAGACCCCTGTAAATACAAATGATGATCGACAGTTATCAGAGCGTGCCCGTGCAATATTCGGTGTCGGGCGTCCTCGAGAAGCTAGTCCAATTCGAGAAAAAAAGTAATTAATCTGTGCACCTGAATTTAGTACTTATTTAGTTTTGATTCTGTTGAGATATATCAGCTCCATTCTCATACTTCAATTTTACGAATTTTTGAAGTATAACCTGTTAAGAAATCGTCTTACAGTTAAGCAGTCGATCATATGCAACATACAATCTATCACATGTGAATTATTTCAAGCGGCTACGTCACATTAGCAACGTTTGAATGCCCAACTTAAAAGACAACGGGTTTGAACCTTTCACTCAATTTGTTAAGTTATGCAAATTACCTTTAATCGATTTCGTTTGTCATACATTTGTCGATTTTTCAATTTCATCTTAAGTTTACTAATTATTTCGTACTTTATTTGTAACTTTGTAACAGGTTGAGTTCTGAAGAAAATACAACCGGTTCTAGTTAATGAGAGAAGATCATTTATAATCAACCAAAGCAACTTGACAATTGTTTTCACCAACATTTCTACAAATATGTGTATTTTTCTTGTTTAATTCAAACATTTCCCTCCCTCCCCCCCCTTGTTTTTTTTACATTACCACATGAATATATACATATATGTATTTTTGTGTATGAACTCAATTTCATCTTAATAGTGTGTTACTTTTTCAATCTTGATCTTTTTATCATTGTATTCACATTTTTAGTCTTTAAATCTCATTATCTTTTCAAATCAAAATGTTTAAATGTACAGGTTGTCCAAGTTTTTTTTCCCTCCGTCAGTATTACTGTTTGGTTAGACTCCTTTTTTAAAACAATAGTTCTATTTGTTGTTGTTGTTGTTGTTGTGCTAATTGTCATTGTTGTTTGATTGTAAAAAAAAAGAAGAAGCTTATCGCCTTGGTAATTGTTAAACAGTTTGCCCGTTTTCGTTTTTACTATTTGTCTTTATGTATGCATGTATGTGTGTGTGTATGTGTATGTGTATACATCCAAATCGATTATTTGTTTGTTTTCTTCTTTCCTTATTAATAAACAAATCATATACACATATACATCGTTCAGTTATCTTTTATGTTTACTGAATCTATTTAGGAAAGCATTTGTAAAAATACGAGAATACATTAGTCTACTTTCAAAGGTTATAGTAAAACAGAGAGAACTAATAATAAATTTCTTTTTATAATAGATTTTGTTTTATAATAAATGAATGAATGGTTTATGCTGTATGTTGTGTTTGTCCCCAAATGCCATGGTATGGTCGAGAGTGAGATGGACCCGCCCTCCCTCTCGAAATGCCTCTGCCAGGGAAGTCCTACTCACTGCCTTCAGGTGGCGGGGGTGTTGTTCACGAAAATGAGAGGACGAAAAGCGAATGTCCGGCACCGGCTTTAACCGGATCCCAAACCAATGGTGCACATAGGTTCCAGTATCCTGAAGGAACAAATGGCGTATGAACCAGTTGTTGGTCACTGGCTACCACGGGACTTCATCTCCTCACGATGCTCCGCTGCCTTGTGAGCTAGACCTTGAGGTCGAAGTCTCCGAGTGCGTCCCCCCCCCAAGAAAACCACCTGCTTCGGTTTGGGCACCCGGTCAGTATCACAGTCCACACACAAAATTTTGTGGCGCATATATATTTGGTGTCCTCTTGTACCAATATTTATGTGTCTAAATGAATAATAAAGAACTAAAGTATTGTGTTTAGATTAGATAGTTTACTTTATTGTTATTCTTGTTCTTCTTATTTGATAGGTAAGACTTGTGAATGGGTCGTCGTTTTATTTGTGATTATTGTGACAAATCATTTCCAGATAATCCAATTAATCGAAGAAATCATCTTAAAGGTGTACAACATCAACAAGCTCGAAAATTACATTATGATAAATTTCTTGGTAGATTATACAATATGATATGTGATTTCATCTTATAAATATATAGATCCTAAAGAGAAACTTAATATAGAGAAAGCAAAGAAACCATGTATCACATTTCGTAATTCTGGTACATGTCCTTATGGTTCATTATGTAAATATTCTCATTTAACCATTGAAGAGATTCATAATTTAGAAGAGAAATCTAGTAAGATAATAATAGTTTCATTTATTTATCTAATTTAGATGCTGAACTATTAGCTTCATCTTATCTAAATCATTTAACATCTGAAGTGAATATTAATCATCAAATTCATATATTAGAATCAAAATTACTATCTAAACGTGATAAACAGTTGAATTCTGGATCAATTCAACGATTTCATATTCCAGAAGGTATACAAATATTATATTTACCTCCTTCATTATCTTTACATTAAATTATTCCAAATACTTGATTTTTATCTTTCAATGGATTTGTATATATTGAAAATTCATTTGAGGATTCCACATGTTTCTATGGTGAGGTTTTTTTGTTTATATACAGATTAATTAGTAGATTTCAAATAGCGAGTTTATAGATTTTGGCATTATAGTTTATGTCAATTTGTGATGAAAATCTCATCTCGGACTTCTCACATTATAATTCATAAACCTATTTGGGACCTTGGTAAGTTTGTGCAATTACTCAAGGTCACTGTGTCATCACTAAAAGATCGTCCATAAATTGCAGTACCACTGATTGTAAAAGGAATTTTGTATATTTATGTTGTGCGAAATAAAGTGCCCATTACTTTTTAGGCTATTTGGCCTATTCCTCTTTTCTTTTCAAACGTTCTATTTGTTCGGGTTCTTTTAGTTGATCGAGGGGGGGGTTAATCGCGAATACAATGATCTTGGTTGTTGCTAGAAGTATGGGAAAGTTGTCACTCTCCGGTCTCCCACACCGTGGTCTGCACAAACTGTATTTTTGATGACCTTAGCGACCCGGAAGCGTGACTTCTAGAGCCCAAGGAACAACTGATTGAGCACGGCCACTTATGGCATTTCTGTGGGACGATCTTGATTTGTTAGTTTTGCACTTCGGAAGTCTTTACCCCTGGAGACAGAAATCCATAAGGTAAAGTGAGGTGTGACATTTTAAGGTTGACCTTTTCTAACCCCTTTCGTTGTGAGAACGCAACATCACTGCAGGGAAGTACATTACTGCTGTGGCGCTCCTTTGCACTCGGTAGTAAGAATTCACCGTGCCTTAAGTTTCTGCTTTTAATCTTATCGTTCTCCAACCGCCCTGCCTGGCACAGTGGAGTTTAAAGGGACATTTGTTTTAGCCAATATACTACGTCATGATAGAATCTGAGGTCGAGTTGATTAAATTTATATAGCCCTCACCAGCGAAAATATGATACTACAACCTGAACTACAAACGTTTAAGCAGTTAGCATAATAACATTTATTTTATTAAATGAAGTATAAACTGCTTCTTTTTTAGTAGTTTCTCTTGGATTACTGATATTGTTGCACATGTAACCAACATACAAGCACACCAACGAAATATTAGATGGTAACGTGTTTCGTCTTTCTAATTTTGAAACCAAGTAAACAACTGAATCGTTTACATTGCTGTACGAAAAGCCAAGCAGACGTTGTCACTGAGTTTTCTAAACGAAGGCATTTACAATACGTTTGAATTACATCTACTTACAAATATGTGTTTCTAACAGATTTTCAAGTTCAGCATTGTGCGCTACGGTTGCCAACACTTGAATACTAGCTCGATGAAATAATTGTTTATCACTAATATTGTTTACTGAACAATCCAAGCAATAGAATTACACTAAATGATTATTATTACTTGTTTTCTTTTCGCCCGAGAACTTACATCAGTAATGTCAACTGTTATTGGTAATCACCGATAGACCCGTGATAATATTGATATTAGACAAAACCTGACATGACTGCTTAATTAGAGCTACTTATACACAGTGACGTTTTAATTCTTACAAGTAAGGAAAAAGTGGTGAAATTCCTAATGAGAAGACAAAACAATTCATGATTACCACAGTATGAAAGATAGAGCAACCAATGGCAGTGGGAATCCGTTGGGTTACGAAGGTCGAGGTAATGATCGTTGAAGAAAAGTCGTCAGTTAATTCACTAGAATGTAAATTGAAACGGTCATTTCGTTTTCTTGACTGCAATAAATTGCCCACAGTTTCTTTGTATGAGGTATAGTTTTGTCATTGTTTTAAAAAGTAGTATCTGTACATTTTTAAAACCATTTTGGATGCTTATTTTACTGTTTGGGAACTTAATCCTGTAGTTCTATTGATTTGGCTCGATTATAACTGGTATTTATTATTTCGTCTCTTTAAGGTCCTTCGTAAATTGAATAAGTAAATGGATGTATTCAATCGGTAATTTAGTCAAGGTAGAGCCTAACATAAATGTGTGTTAGTTTAAGTTTCTATAATATGTCGGGATGACGAGATAAAGTTAACAAAATAAGTAATATATGTATTATTAGTGATAGTGTAGGACCCACCTAGGAGGGTTGGAAAACCCTGATTACAAACCTATGGTGCACGTGGACTCCATAAGTCTGAAGGAACGAATGGCGTATGACCAATTATATTTCACCGACTACCATGGGAACGCATCTGCTGACATTGCTTCATTGTCTTGTGGATCAGATGTTTGGGTCGTAGACTCTGAGTATGGCCCCCTAATTAAACCACCTGCTTCGGTCAAGTCAACCGGGCAGTATTACAGCCCACATACAAATCAAGTGACATGTGTGGCGCATATGTATTTGATGCCCCTTTGTACCAATATTTATGTATTCAAATAAATAATAAATGAGCATTAATCGACCAACTTGACTGTCATTTTTTGATGTTAATAGGTTGCAGATTTTTTTATTATTAAGGAATACAATCGTAACACAGTTTATTATTTTTTTGTAATGAGCACAAATCAATCTATAGTTACGTCATATCTATATGAGATAATCTTCAACACGTATCATCTTCATAACTAAGCAGAACTAATCGTTGATTAATGTTTGCATAATCATTATCGATTGTTATATCTATCACTCATCGATGTCTTATGCTTATGAGGTGCATTTATTACAATTTATTGATTTCATAATTCATTTCGTGTAATCTATATAATGAACTCTTCAAAAAGACCATCGCATTATATCACTTATAATGTGCTCTATGTGTCTAAATCATTCTTAGTCTACTGATTGATAAAGTCATATAATCGTTATGAAGGATGTCTATCCGTTGGAGATATGTATCTAAGGGGTAAAAACATACAAATCAGCTTTCATTTAGTAATTTTGTTTATAGAATACACTTTAAACTATAACCTCTAAATGTTTGTTGAATGAAGATAATTTTTTTTTAGTGTAAACGATGATTTTCGTCATAAAATGATATTAATTGAAAGAACCAGAGAGCACATAGTTTTTATTATTTTATTTTATCACATAAGTATAGGTACAGGAAGGCACCAAATACATATGCGCCACACAAATCTCAATTGATTTGTGTGAGGGCTGTGATACTGCTCAGGTGCCCGAACCAAAGCAGGTGGTTTTCTTGGGGGGGACGCACTCGGAGACTTCGACCTCAAGGTCTGACTCACAAGGCAGTGGAGCATCGTGAGGAGATGCAGTCCCATGGTAGCCGGTGACCAACGATTGGTTCATACACCATTTGTTCCCTCAGGATACTGGAGCCCATGTGCACCATAGAATTGGGATCCGGTTATAGCGCCGGACGTTCGCTTTTCGTCCTCTCATTTTTGTAAACAACACCCCCGCCACGAGAAGGCAGTGAGTAGGACTTCCCTGGCAGAGGCTATATACGTATGGCCATGTGAGAGCATTTCGAGAGGGAGAGCGGACTCTCGGCCGTACCAGGGCATTTGGGGGCGAGAGCACATAGTATCAAGTATATGTCACTCCTTAATAATAAACAAGAAATTTCATTAAAAAAATGTTGATTTCTCTACCATTGAATGCTTGAAGGATCCGTTTCACGTGGATTGACAACTTTTGACTTTTAATGCTATATTCCAACCCTATCCCACCCCACTACAATTTGATCCAATATTTGGTATCAATACATTTCAAATTTACCATATGGCTCATACTCAATTACCTGGTGGTAAATAAAACCGCAAATTTAGGTCACATTTTTCTTCTCATAGAGATAAATTGGATCAAGTAATAAATCTCTACAAAGTAGTCTTTTTAAGTTTGCTTTTTTAGTCCTCCTTTCACCGGTTGGATTAGAAATATTGTGATCCTGTAGAAATAGTGGTTGTCACTTTGTAATTTAGTAATGAAACTATTCAAATGGTTAATGTTCAGTCTTTTAAATCAACTGGTCAACCAACTTGCTTGGTACCTGTGTGGTCACGCCACAGGGTTGAGCTGTACTATTCAGATTGTCGCATTAAAGCCTATATGGTGTCTAGTTCTCCTATGAAGCGGGATCGAGCTGTAATGCTCGGGTTATAAAGTTTAAGCCTAGATGTGTATATTATATACTTATTATGTAACTAGATTATATATGTTTATATTCCTTTTACCATAACCTTTCATTTGACCTATTAACTATTGTTATACGATTTATTGTCCTTATTTTCTTCTCATTCCTTTATTAACAGTCCTCCCCTATTCATAGCCATTTTTTAGCTTGATCTTGTATAGTTGTTATTTCGGATTTTATGGTGTGATGCGGTTTGGTCTGCTTGTATATGAACTACTTATGTTTGATATATAATATCCATACAATAGAAGCCGATTATTTTGTTCTGAATTGAACGGGTGGGGCAAAGGGTGCAGCTGCTAAATCGAGTGCCAATAAGTATCCAGAGTTGACGGAACTCTACGAGTGCTTGTCCGTGTGTTATTGATTAGCTCAGAGACAAGGTTAAAGTGATTAGTATTGTAATTGTGAGTTTTGTCACATGATATTTAACAGGACCATAAATCATAACAATTCCGCTTTACACAATAACATCTTGAGTAGTCTCTCTTTCATATAATCATGAATAAGACAATAAAACACGGGAATTACTATGGAAATTTATTATCATTACTTTGATGAATATAAAATATAATTTAGCCAAACAATGTCACACTACCTTTTTCTTTATTTATGCAAATTATCATGTTTAAAAGAGAAACATTGAAGTTTAAATTGATGTTAATTCTTTTCTATTTGATGCCATAGTAGCATTGCATATACTTGAGTTTGTACTCATTTAGATTGATTAAACACTTCAATGAACTAGTTCACAAGATATTTCCTTAACAATTTACTTATATGTTCACGCGATTAGCTCTACCTTTCTAATGATCATGTATTCTTGATCACATGTTACAGTCTACATATATATTCTCCTAACTAGCTTAAATGCTAATTGCCTGGATTCACTCAACGATTTATTGTTTGGTTATATAGATATACATCCTAATTCCTATTCATCCATCCGTTCGTATTCGTATTAGCCATTTGTGTTTGTGTTTTCTTAGCGTGCTTGGTGTCTTTATCTTCTGGAATTTATACGCCGTTGAGAGCTATCTAAACACGGTTTTCAAAATGAGTGATATACAAAGCATCGGAATTGTCTAAAACAGAATCCACTATAATGTAGTCATTTGAACTTATTGATCATCCACTACAGTAATCAGTATCGTAGCACTAATCAAAACTTCGACTTAGTGACGTTGTCATAGGAGTGCAATTAGTATTTTTGGAGTTAAATAATTAAATCAAAGTCCTATTGTAGATTAGCGATGGGCTTAGTGATGCAGATTTTAAACTTGGTTAAATAATATATTTTATCTCGAAATTGTTATAACTTATGTCCTTTGTCCTATTAATGTATAACATGATTATACCTCCAATTAGAGAACAGTAAATCATCGATCGGACCAACGATGCGTAAAACACTTGCGAGCACTCTAGAGTCCTTATCGGTCCTGCTTCCTGCCTAGCCCTACATGCCTGTTGAATCCACAACATCAATCTCAGCCTCTGTGATATGAATCGTATATTTCAAACAGACTGGGTTTATATACTAATCAAACAGACCACATCGTACCATAAAGTAGGAAACAACATATGTACAAGATTTAGCCACAAGTGGTTGTGAATGTGGGAAGCTGAAATTAATAGACTGAGCATAACTCAAGGATAGTAAATCGTAGAATAATAGTTCATAGGTCAAAATAAAGCTTATAATAAGAGAAACATGACTATGAATAGTTTAGTTGTTTAACAACTATACGATAAAAATAACATATAGTATTGGTCCATAAATGGGTCCCAAAATTACCATTCATTATGCTTATTGGGATACAACACTTACTAGTCTAAAGATTCAGTTAACTGTGCTTTGTGAATTACTTTCAACCACATAATTCAAAAGCTTACATAACTTTTTACAAGAGTTTCTTTGTAAGTGTCGAACGAAAGCACTTACTTAGCATCAACACAGAATGTAATAATCCTAAGTGAAAAATTAATCGTATGTTGTGGTTATAATCTTAGAAATATTGGGGATAGATTCTGTTTCAGTTTTACAGTTTCAGATTTATATTTTCATTCAAACTAAAAACTACATGGAATTTATTTTCTGAAGGAAGAATACAGTGGTATTGAGTGATGTTAGAGGTATGAGAGCGGTTATCACTTCCCGGTTGCCCACACCGTGTAAACGTTCTCCTGGAAGTACCTGAAAAGGAAATTGGATTAGAGGTGGTCATAGTGACTTGAGAGCGTGACCGCAGTGCCCAAGGGACAGCTGCTTGAGGTCGCCCACACACGACCTTTATGTGATTAGTTTTTGTGTTAGCTCCGTACTTGTTGAAACCTTACCGCCAGAGACGGATATCCGTGGGATAAGGCGAGGTGTGCATTTTTAGGATCGACCTTTTCTAACCCCACCATTTCTTGTGGGAAGGCATCATCGCTGTTATGCTGGTAGTCTGAAGGAAACATCTTACTGCTGTCACACGCCTGTACAGTCAGCAGTACGACTTCTCCTTCGGATCTTTGGTTTGTTGCTTTTAGTCCTACGGCTCTTCAACCGACCTGTCTGGCATGTTAGGACCTTCAGGAACGGTCGTCCCAGCCAGTATAGCTCAGTTGCTTCGTCACGATAGGCGGGCCCGACCACCATGTCAAGATGGCATCAACGGTCGGGATTGTCTGAAGAATCTTATAAACTTTAAATTTGAAACTGATAGCTGATTTATCTGACAAGCTTGGATAGATTACCTGATATCTCATTCTCATATGGTAGATGAGAGATCCAGTTAAGGGAAGATAACTTCCTAACTACTCTTAAACAGTTAATGAAATACCAATTTCGATATGATATCATCAGTGGAGTTCAACTGGTTCAGTTGTGAGATAGTAACTCACGGATGAAAATAGTGGATGTGTCACTCAATTTCGTGGATTGGTTGGATGCTGGTCGGCTCAATGGTCTAGTGAGTTAAGCTTTCGCGCGTAAGACTGATAGGTCCTGAGTTCGAATCCAACGGGGTGCGGTCGTGGATGCGCACTGCTGAGGAGTCTCACAACACGACGAGACGGCCTTGTAGGTTTTCTATGGTGGTCTAGCCTCAATTGACTCATGATCTCAACTATTGAAATAGCTATAATCTCCATAAAACCCCTTCTGATGCAAATATTGTGATATATCAAATGAGATTATACCATTAAGTATCTTGAAATTTCAAGTATCAGATGAAGATGGTGTATTGGTCTAAAAGTTATGGAGAAACAATATAATGAAAATTTTATAAGCAAAGATGAATAGTGGCTAGTAGTGGAATCCAGGACGTCCATTTCGTCCTATTTCGAACTCGTCAGCTGTATGGTGAAAATTGTTTAAGGGTCTAAAATTTGAATGCTAATCATCCACTTGATAGACATGAAAAACTAAGAAAAAAATGCATGGTGATAATAATAACTGACCGCTGAGTAAGAAAAACAAAAGAGGGTGGTGTGGACATGCTAGAATGAGTAATTCTATGTGCTGACTGTTTCGTAAACTTCTTGTAATACTTCAAGTTTTCGAAGATTTTATAATGTAATCTATGAATCATTGTACTTCATTATTGAATAGTATCGTTGAAAAGAAAACTTTCTTTCTCAAACCGTCTACATTCCTTCTTCATTAACAATAATGAACTACATTGTAAAGTATTTATTATTTACAGATACCCTAGAAAGTACTTAAAAAAATATATTGAAAGACATTGTACTGCGAATGTGCGGCGCTTTAACCGGGTTGGTGGACATGGATAGTCCACCTAGGGCAGTTGGAAAACCCTAATTCCAACCCAATGGTGCACATGAGCTCCAGTATCCTGGTGAGACAAATGGCGTCCGAACCAATCGTTGGTCATCGGCTACCATGGGACTACATCTACTTACGATGCTCCACTGGCGTGTGGATCAGATCTTCAGGTCGAAAGTTCGGGATGTGGCCCCCTAAGAAAATTGCCTGCTTCGATTTGGATACCCGGGTAGTATCCCAGCCTTCATACAAATCAAATGGGATTTGTGTGGCGCATATGTATCTGGTGCCCCCTCGTACCAATATTGATGTGTTCAAACAAACAAACAAACAAAACATTGTTTAACTCCATACATGAATTATGTGTTCAATGTAAACTTGTACAGTTATGTAATCAGTTCAACACGACTATGAATAAGCAAATTCATCGAAAATGATTATGGAAATGAAAAAAGAAGAAGAAGAAGAAGAAAACGTCATAATCAGTTAGTCAGCACTTCCGTACTAAGAGTCGAACTCAGACCACTTCAATGAAAATATGTTTTTATCGTGAAAGTTTTTGAATTTCTTGTGTTAAACTATTAATCTCATCACTTTGTAATTTAACTAATTGTGTAAGTTGTTTTAATTGTTTAGGATCAACTATTCCTAATGAACTTTGAATAGTTCCAATCTAGAAATTAGAGAAAAAGAAAGATTATAATAATGCAAAATAACAACAAATGATCAATATGGATAAAAAAAAACTAGGGTTGGTGTATAGATATTCTTTATGTACACATAGTTCCCTTAATTATTATTAATAGAGAGTAAGAATAAAAAAGTGTTGCAGAATAATAAACGGATTCATTATATTTCCATCAGGTTCTTATCAGCTGTTTACAATCGATCAAATTTGAAAATCAATGTTATCATAGAAACTGACATTTCTTATAATAAATATGAAGATGTTTCGAGATGAATCTATGTGTCTTATGACATAGGATATAGATCTGGTTTCAGACATCTGATCATTATCATTTAGAGGAATTTCAGAAGATTAGAGTTGGATTATTTATTAATTATCATGATAGATCTCAGTGTATCGATTTGATATCCTGTATTGATACATTGATCTATGTATACAAAAAGAAGGAGTAATAAATCTTTCTTTGCGTTGATAACATTACACTTCCCCTCCTTCATTATTTATTACGTCATTCATTATTTTAACTCTTTCTAAAGTTTATCATTTTCCTTCGATTCATATCTTTCTTCATTATCATTGATCTGTTATCAGTTGCCTCATTACATAATCAATTAATGTTTGTTAACTCCATGAATTCTAATCACTATTTCAATGTACTGAAAGTTTCCCCCCCCCACCCCCCAAACTTTATTCCTTTATCCGAAACAAACGAATTTTTAATGACCCTATTGAATTCTATTGTAATTTTCATTACATCATAATACACATAGATTCATCTTTATTCACCTTTATATTTATTATAAGGAATGTCAGTTTCTATGATAACATTGATTTTCAAATCTGATCGATTGTAAACAGCTGATAAGAACCTGATGGAAATACAATGAATTCATTCACTTAACTTTATATAGAAAGGAGTTAATTTGGAATCGTTTTCATCCTTGAACCTATTCACTTTTTATGTTCATTTTTAGATTGTTGCTAATTAATTCGAAAATTTTATATCAAAAAAGATTCTAATTCTGAATATACGGGGATTCATTATTAATGATACGTCATGAATTTGTATGACATGTATTATGATGACGTGGTTATTTTGTTGGGGAGATCCAGAAAACTCCTGGGAAAAATAAGCCAAGAAAAGCTCTGAAAATATTGAGAAGTATCTTATCCAATCAGCGTTCAGTAGACATTTTGCCAGAAATAGCAAGAAAGTGAAAAGTCACATGTGGAGTTTCTGATTGGATGATTACTTATACTGGTACTATGTATAGTAGTATTCTAAAATTTTCGAGGGACCCAAGGAAATCTAAAATACTATAAAAACCCTAGATGTTTTTGTACGTAAAAGAACCTATGGAGTAAAATGTTTCTTACATATTTCACGCCGTTTCTCTAGTGTTCAAGTCGCTGTGTAGTTCTAGCCTGGAGGTTACTAGAAGAACTTAGGAACCAAATCTAGCGTTCAATTAGCATGGTGAATAATCATACAAAGTAATTTACTAACTTTTCAATATTTTGATTGACAATGAGTGAAAAATTTTGAATGGGAAGTTGATAACTTACCATGTACAATAGTATCTGAATTAGCCAACTTATAACCGGTTAAGCAATAAAATAAAATAGATGTTTTAATCAAGAACAAACATCAATTACAGAGTTGTTAAAGATCAACAAGCATTAAATAAATATCTTGGTCTATTTTTTGAACCCATCAACTACAAAAATGGTGATGATTTTACCTCCTTTAAATTTCACAGATCTCTGAGTTTTAAGTTTGTGATCTGTCACTTACTTACTTACGTCTGTTAATCTCAATGGAGCATAGGCTACCAAACAGCATTCTCCATCCCACCGTGTCCAGGTCCTTCTTTTCTAGTTCAATCCATTTCTTGTTCAGTCATCTCATGTCTATCTTCACTTCTCGGCGTGATGTGTTCTATGGTTTTCCTCTTCTTCTTTGACCTTGGGGATTCCAAGTGAGGGCTTGCCTTGTGACGCAGCTAGGTGTTTTCCTCAATATGTGTGTCCTATCCACTTCCAGCACTTCTTTCTGATTTCTTCCTCCACTGGAATCTGGTTTGTTCTCTCCCACAGTAGGTTGTTGCTAATATTGTCTGGTCAACGGATCCGAAATATTTTACGTATACAACTGTTAATAAACACTTGTATCTTCTGGATGGTTACTTTCGTAGTTCTCCAAGTTTCCACCTCATACAGTAAAACTGTCTTGACATTTGTATTGAAAATTCTGACTTCAGTGTTGGTTGACAATTGTTTTAAGTTCCAGATGCCCTTCAGTTGTAGATATTCTGCTCTTGCTTTGCCAATCTGCGCCTTCACATCTACATCACATCCGTCGTGCTCATCAATGATACCGCCCAGATATGTGAAAGCTTTTACATCCTACAAAGCTTTTCCGTCAAGCATGATTTTATTAGTGCATGCTGTGTTGTATTGGAGAATCTTGCTTTTCCCTTTGTATTTGTTGAGACCTACTAGTGCTGAGGCTGCTGCTACACTTCGTCTTCTCCTACATTTGTTGTTGCGTGTGCTATAGAAGAGCCATATCGTATGCAAAGTTTAGATCATCCAGCTGCATCCTAGCTGTCCACTTTATCCTATGCTTTCCCCTAGATGTTGACTTCTTCATGATATATATTGATCTATATTTTGGTCAATATCATTCAATGTAATTAATTACTTCCTATTTCACTTCAAAATGTATAGGTTCCAATTAAGAAAGGAACTTTGAAAAATCCATCTTGAAGGTATTCACTAAATAAAATATGATTACTGTTCAGTCAGGTGATTTTATAGGGAATGTACACAGGTAGGTATTGGAACCATTATATCTGCAAATTATTGTATATATTTTTATAATCGTGCTATGTCGAGATAAACCTTAAGCAAAATAGGACTTTCAAAGTTTGTCGTATAATTAATAATTACTTCAATTATTATAACTCCGACTGGAGTCCCTCTGGAGCTACTACCGGTCCCAAGCATGGATAAATGCGGAGCGTTGGGCATAGGGTTAGCAACCCCATCCGTAGAAAACTAACTCACTAAAAAACGGTAACCATGAAAAAATTATTCAAAACACTTAAAATCTGCCCTGGTAGTCAGGTCTTCATTTAGAAGGGTTATGACGCCTCATGGTGAAAGCCGAGTTCCTTCAGAATTCACGAATATGATACACCTTCTGATAACCATTTATTTAGGTACATGGAATGCTCGTAAAATGTGGGAAACCGAGAGAGTCTTCCAAATTGCTGCAATTGCTAAATTATCTTAGCCTTGTATTCCTCTACCTATAAGCTTTTCTCTGACACGGAATTGATCGTCATATGTTTCACCTTCCCTAAATTGTTGTTAATTTATTACAGTCCCATCATTGAGTTCTATTACATCTATGACACAGTTACCCCCCTCCTTCCATTGTAATTTCTTAATTCTGTTAATGTTTGATCAGGGATTTGCTTTATATATTATTGTGTGAGTAGTGATCCACAACTTTGAATTGTATAGTTAGAAAATGTTTGCCTGCTGATTTGTTCTCTGTTTGGGCTATCTGACGAGTGAGGGTCGGAAACCACATTTTGGACAAATGGTCGTTTAATGTTACTGTATGCTATTATCTCACAATTCTCGTCCAATTAGTTTACCGAAGGCCATTGGTACTAGATAGACAATCTGGGTGAGCTAATCATTAGTCGGACTAGATAAATACAACTCCTCTCCTGTCTTAAAGGTATAATATCGCCGGCCCTTAAATAACCAAACAGTAAAATCTGTTTATTTTTTGTGTATACAAAAAGATAATTGGGTTGTTGCGTTTATTATTCTGCTCATTATAAACTATCGACTGACCCATAAATTATGGTTATATTATCTTCAAGCTATGATTGATTCGCTACTGATCTATTACTCCTTTTTTGCTTAATCTATGGTATAGCTATGCGTATACCGTAATTTCTTACTTGTTACCATGTGGTCAGGAATATACCCAATAGCTGTGCGATCGTTAATGAAACATGTACAATAGAAAACTTAGCTTCTTGTTATGTTTCGTCATTGAATTGAAGACTGAGAGTACGGAAGAAAGTGCTGGTAGTTGGAGGTAGTCGACAGGAAACCCTGGACCCGGGTTTCGTGCAAGGTGTACCTGTAATCTTGAGGGAACTGATGCTCCCTGACGGATTCGACCCTGTGTCACCCAGCTTCACAGGCAGAGACGTTACCACTGAGCTATCCGGGCCACAGTGTCGAGTCACTTAGACTGGTGGCCACATTGTAACATGGTCGATAGCATTCGATCTGTACTAATAATAAGGACTAGACACGCATGACCTTGATCATCACTCAGTGATCAATCAATTGAAAAGATCAATAGGCACCAAAATTAGCTTGTCACTACTCAAGGTTAATTTTTAGTAGGCGAAGCGTGATATTTTGATGGAGTTTCGTTATTTAAACTGAAAGGTTTGCTCGTGGAGCTTTCATTGTTCTTCTGAACAACAACAACAACAACTTCATCATTATCCTAAACTTCTGGTAGGAATGAAGTATTCGGATTTCTCTACATATATAGTACTAAACTTATTATTTCTATTTAACTGACTAATTCTTCAAGAGATATCATCAATAAAAACAATCTACTATGGGAGAGAACAAACCAGCTTACAGCTGAAGGGGGAAATTACAAAAACACATTAGAAGTGGATAAGACATACATTATGGAAATCATCAAACTGTATCACAAAGTCATCCCTAACTTGTAATCCTGAAAGAAAACAGAAAAGTGGAAAGTCGAAGAACACACTACGTCGGAGATTGGAAGTAAACATGAAAAGGATGAATAACAACCGGAAAGAACTGAAAACGATTGCCCAGAACAAAGTTAGATGGAAAGTGCTGGTTGACCGCCTATATTCCTCCACGAAGGGTAACAGGCGTAAGGAAGTAAGTAAGTAAGTAAATAAACACAAATGATGTTCACTTACTTTCGCGCCATGTGTTTGATTTAAATCATTTTGTAATTGTTGATTTTCATTGAAAAGTTTTAATAATTTTGTTAAATAAACAGTATTTTGACGTATTTGTCCCATACATGAATCCCTTGCATCACGTATTTTAGCCTTAATTTATTATATTCCCCACCACCACCACCAGATTGATTAGAATATAAATTATAGAAGAAAACAAACAAACAAACAAATGGTTATCAATGTTCAGTGAATTCAGTAAATAAAACATCATAATTTTGATGATTGAATTCGTGAGTAAAATAAAGCATTGAACGACCGTTTCGTCCTAGTTTGGGACTCAGCAGTGCACATCCATGATCCTGCACATGGGATTCGAACCCAGGACCTATCGATTTCACAAATTCAACTATTAAATTACCAATATTTTCTACAAAACCCTCCCCCCTTCTGTTAATAATCATTATAATTTTGTTTAATTTGATCAATATTTAAAATAAACGATGAAAATATTGGTTCAATATTATTCTTGAATGAGATGAACAATGTATGATTAGGGTATAGATTAAACCTTTTAATATACTACTTTCAATGATGTCTCAACTGTTGTCCAGTCTTGATAAATATCATATATGTTGATGAAATGAATAACTTTGTAAACTATGGGGGACTTTTATTCGTTTAAATTTCAGTCAAATAGATCTTAAATTATATGATTGTTTAAGGACGCATGGTATTAGGGAATGATGGTAAATCAGTTGATGAGATTGCGAATCTTCATCGACTAAGATCGTTGAACCACGTGTTGCGTATGCCTGAACACCGATTACCACGACTCACAATGTTCACTACTGTAGGGGATGGTTGGAAGAAAGTTAGGGGTGGCCAAACTAAAACGTGGCATCAGTGCTTGAAGACATTAACTTCTAGTTTGAGCCATGTTGGTAGATTCAGACTACTTGATTGGGTTCCTCGTGACTATGGTAACCAATGGTTGGAGACTGTGAGTGACATGGCGCAGAATCGATCATAATGGTGTAGGTGTATACACTCTATGTCTTCCTTTAAACTATGGGATTAAAGTCGCTTCATATCTTTCTTTCTACCAACTAATTGTCTCTTCCTGTACTATCCCCTTATATGCAATCTTTCTTTTATATATTACCACCACTGAATTAACTACTATGAATCCGGTGTTCATCTTGTTGTGCTAATGCGGTAAGGCAACTTAGACCGATGCACATATGTGCCTGGTCCTACGTTGTAGCTTACTGACTGATCGTGTAAGGCACACATGTACCCATATGCAAACAAATCTAGCAACACAATGATTAGTTCATTTAAGCAACAAATTAGAAAGAATTGGACAGATATTTTATCCTTTTCAGTATTGAAAATTCACATGAAGCTGTGATCAATGGATTTTAACAAAGTTGGGTGAAAGACAGTCAACCGGTTATAAGCATTAGAAGGTGGTTGAGAAATATGATGAACTGATTGAAGTTAGGAAATATGAACTATGGGATCCCAGTTTAGTTGTCTAAAGATTAATTGAACAACAAAAGACCTGAAAGTTGTAAGTTCAGTCCTTAGTAAGATTGCAAATGGGGAATGCTGAAGAGACAAATATTAGGTTGAAGCTGCTGTCTAATGTCTCAGGGTTTTTAATAGTTGCCTGATTAAAGTTAATTCATGATGTAAACTATAACATTTAGCAGTTTCGAAAACCCCCTTACACTTTAATCGCAAGATTGTAAGGATTCCTGATAAGAACATAAATGGCTAATTGTTTGTTATAGTTTTGTAGAAGTTATTTTACATTAGAATCAGTTGTCGTCAATGATTAAATCTGAAACCATTAAACACCAGTAAGCATTGCGCATCTGTTTCATCTTTGTAAGGAGCTGCTTACCTGCCCCCCAACGTCCTGGTTCAGCCGAAGGTGATGAGAGGTAGCTCTCCTCGAAATGCTCTCACACAACCACGTGAATACAACCACTGCTAGAGATGCCCTAATCATTGCCTTCTCGCGCCATGAGTGTTTTTTTTTCAAAACTTAGAGGACGAAAAGCGAATGTCCAGCGCTTTAACCGGATTGGTGGGTATAGAGGACCCACCTAGGGGAGTTGAAAAACCATGATTTCAAACCATTTGTGCACATGGACTCCAGTATCCTAAGGGAACAAATGACATATGAACCTATCGTTGGTCACCGGCTACCATGAAACTGAATCTTCTTACGTTGCTCCATTGTCTTATGGATTAGATCTTTAGGTCTAAAGCTCCGGGTGTGGCCCCTAAGAAAATTACCTGCTTCGGTTCGGGCAACCGGGCAGTATCCCAGACCTCACAAAAATCGAATGATTTATGTGGCACATATCTGTTTGGTGCCTCCTTGTACCAATGTTGATATGTTTAAATAAATAAATAATAACCTGGATCTTCAGGGTCATTTATCAATTACAGTCCTAAACAACAGTGGGAAGATACAAGTAAAACGACGCCAAGACAATTTACATTTCACCCGATTGTACAAGCAAGTAGCTATCAGGACTCAGTAGCTAAGTGGAGTTTGAAGTGAACGATACTGGTTTGGAGTCCCGGAGTGGGCACCAACAATGAAAGCCTCATAATTAAGCCAACCAGTTATGAGAATGTCTAACTTCAACTAATCCCAGTCTGATATTAATCAACATATACTCACTAGTGACTGGATTCAAGAGGTATATAATAGTGTTCTAGAGAGAAGCAGTGACTAGTGGAGTTCAACTGAGTCTGTTATGAGATAGTAACTGACTGAAGACAATGATGGATGCGTCGCTAAATTTCGTGGATTAATTAAAGTTAGACATTAACACCGTTGGATACCGGCCGGCTCAGTGATCTAGTGGTTAAGCGCTCGCGCGCAAGACTGATAAGTCATGAGTTCGAATTTCGCAAGTCAGGATCGTGGATGTCCGCTTTTGAAAAGTCCCACAATAGGAAGAAACGGTCATCCAATGCTTCCAGGTTTTCCATGGTAGTCTAGCTTCAATTGACTTATGATCTCAACTATTGAAATAACAATAAACTTTCAAGAATTTTTACTAACTGAATTAAATTTACTGGATAGAGTACTATGACTATAATTTAGGTCAGGAAGAAATAATTAGTTCTTAGAAAGAAAGATGCGAAGCAATTTTAATCTCATAGTTTAAGGAAAGGCGGAGAGTGTACACACCTACACCATTGTGATCGATTCTGATCCATGTCAACAACAGTCTCCGTTCATTGATTACGATAGGGATATGGACCCCAACCAAGTAGTCTGCATCTACCAACATGGTTTAGATCAGAAGTTAGTGACTTGTGAAATGATGCCACGTTTTGGTTTGGCCATTCCTATCTTAATTTTTCCATAATCACAAATTTACCATACTTTGTTTCCGAAGTAACCCAGGGTATAGTGGGTTTGAGAATGCTGGTCGGCGGTCTATACTCGATTGAGGGTAACAGGCGTAAGTAATACGTAGGTAAGAAAAATACATATTACATGAACATCATTCTAAGTTTTCTGCTAATAAACTACAGAACTATTCTGGTTACTCCCAATGTCATCTGTTTCACAAATTTCTGTTCTATAATTATCGTTCTTCTGTTTCAAACTGTTTAGAGTTTACTGCGCAGCAATTTGTTACGTCCTACTTTATATCAGTGAAATATGGCCGGCAAGAGTAGAGGATATTCGTAGGTTACTAGTATTCGATCATATGTGTCTTGGAAACATTGCTCGTTTATCCTAGGACCACCGAGTAAGTAATGCAGTTGTTAGGAAACGGGTACTAGGTAAAGATGACAAGTCAGTTGGTGAAGTAATGAAACTTCATCAGTTGAGATGGCTTGGACATGTGTTACGTATGCCCGACCACCGACTGCCCCGATGTGCGATGTTTTATGGTGTAGGAGTAGGTTGGAAGAAAGGTAGGGACGGCCAGTCCAAAACAGCACAAATACATGACGTCACTGACAAGTGCACTGAGCCATGTTGGTAGGTATAGACTACCTGATTGGCGACCGCGAGATGATAGCAGCCAATGGTTAGAGACCTTGAATGACATGGCTCAAAATAGTTTGCAATGGTGCAGGTGCATTCACTCTTTGTATTCTCCCAAATTCTAATCTTCTGAATTCTTCATGTCCCTTTCTTTTTTCTCTTTCCAAATTTATTTCACTGATTTATACTCTTTGGATAACATCTTCAAACCCTAATGTTTTCAATTACTACTTTTCCTTTTATTACCTCTAACACTATGGGATTTGAATCAACAATCATATCTCTATGCTAATGTGTTATAGCAACTCGAATTGATGTACATACGTACGAAGTATTACATTGCTGCTTATTGACGGATATAAATAAAAGATTGACTTTCATTGAAATGATCCAACAGCAGAATGCACTTCTTTTAACCTTATTGTTTTAATCTCAACTCCTGAAATGACATTATATGCACACACAGACACACACACACACACTATAGACAAGTCCTACAACTAAGATAAAAAGAATATTCAATGCATCATGATTTGTTCCTGGAATTCAAAATGTAATTTGCATTTCATAATGATCATCTAGTACAATCTATAATTGAAAAAATAAAACAAAACAAAGCAAAAATACCAACCTCTAGTTTTGCTTCTTCTTTTGTGAATTCCTCTTGTAGTGTCAACATTTTTGTTGTTAAATCTTCTAATTTAGGATTAACTAGAATATTTTCCATTTTTTCAATATCATCTATTCTACCAAATTTATCATTCATTTCTTTATCACATAAAGCGGATAATTTCTCTATTTCTTTCTATATAAAGTAAATCAAGTGATATTAGTAAGTTTATACTAATAGATAGTGTAGTGTTGTGGTGTATGCTACTTATATCAATGTAAGTAGTATATGATGTTCGTCGTAAACAGGATGTCTAGCAACAGAGAGACAAGAGGATCGAATAGTAAAGAATGGAACACAGAATGCAATTTGTATGAAAATGCAGGGCCAATGAAGTGTGAGTCATTTTGAGAGAGTTGATGAACATTTCGCATATTAGGCATTTACTATACGGTTGTTAGATTTTATTAACAAGTCATGTAATTGGTGTTCTGTTCGCTACATTTCGTGTCACTGCCAACCAGGAGAGGGGACGGGTGCTAATCTGCGGACCACGTCGCGGGCCTGGAGCTAGGGTGCTGGTTGAGGCGGTCTGATGCGGAATGGTGGCGTCTGTTGAAGTGTTCTGGCGTGCGATGTTGGCTGTAGCGGGTGCTGACGACGGAGAGGAGAGGTGAGACGTGAGGCTTCTGGGCGGAAATCGGATGTAGATGGCTCAGCAAGCAGGTGGAGCACAGGTGTTAGACATCCCAGGTGCCGGGTGGATGTTGGACGCTGGTACCCCGGCAGGTCGACGGAGCTATGAAGGTCAGCGCGCCGCAGACTCGACATTTCGATGGAGGGCGTAGCACATACTGCAGGAAAGAAGAATTTTGCACGGCGAGCATGAACCACCGCAAGAACGACTACTTTAAATGGGGGGGGGCGAGTGTGATATGTGCTACTTATATCGACATAAGTAGTATATAACGCAAATCAGGAATAGAATATCTGACAGCAGAAGATTGAAAAGATCAAGAAGGAAAGCACGGGGACAGAAGGCAATTGATATGATAATACAGGAATAATGAAATCTGAGACAATTCATGAACTCGGTTAAGTGAGTTTTATCCTCCTTTTAATCGTTGATCAGCTTTTATGAACAATCATAAACTAGAATAGATAACCTTCTAAGTAATTAAACAAATCTCTACGAAATATTTGAGTAGGTCGATTTCTTTTAATACATATACGATTGTTTTACATGAATGTTTTCATCCTTCAGTAATAGTTTTTGTTATATCCTAGTGAAGATTAAACTATAGGTAACTTCTGAGAATTCTTTATGGACATATACATATATTCTTATAGTATAACTATTCAATAACTGGATTATGTATATTCATGTTCCTCTTATTATAAGCTTCAATTTGACTTATAGACTATAATGGTACAGAATGGTGGTTGGAAGTAGTCAACGGGAAACTCTGGACCCAGGTTTCGTGCTACTTGGCAGTCGTCAGTAAGGTGTACCTGTAATCTTGAGGGAACTGGTGCTACCTGATGGATCCGATCCCGTGTCACCCAGCTTCGCAATCAGAGACATTAACACTGAGCTATCCGGGCTGCTACCGACATCCTGTATGACTGAGATGTAATCACAATTGATTGATCACTGGGTGGTGATCAATGTCATGTGTTTTAAGTCCTTCTTAGTGCAGATCGGATGCTATCGACCAAGTTGACATTGATCATCACTCAGTGATCAATCAATCGTGACTATTATGGTACAATTTACTGATCTTAAATTATACTCAGTTTGTTAATTACCGTCTCCCTCAATCACAGACACTTTTATGTCTTGATCTTGTATGAATGTTATCTCCTATTTTATGGTGTGCTGCTGTCTGTTCGGCTAATATATAAATCAAGTATGCTGGAAATAAATGATTCGTATAGTGTTAGCTGTTATCGGTGTTCTGGAATCAACTAACAGGTGTAGGAGAACAATGGACAATTAAGGACGCTAGGTTTTTCATACCGGTCAATGCATCATTGGTTTGGTACAGTAATAAGATTGTCTAAGCCGTAGTTCGATTGACGAATAAGTCACATGATAATTAGTCGGGCTTATTGTCTACAGTTGATGAATTCTGACCATCAGATTTATCAACAAGATTAGTCTGTGTTAAGCACCGTTCGAGTATCCGATCTAGTGGTATTATAATCTCGGTCACCCAAACCAGACTTCTTATCATATTACTTATTATATTAGCGTAGTATACCTCAAATGGATAGAGAGAAATGCATTTTAAATCATCCGTTACATCAATAATAGTTGAGTTCATGAGTCAATTAAAAATAGACCGCAATGGAAACAGTTGACAAACTCATCCGAAGTAAATACCGGTGTCTGACAAGCTTGCTTACTCTCACCCTTTCTATTTCTTATATAGATTATTGATTTTAATTAATTAATTACGTCTGTTATTCCCAATGGAGCATAGACCGCCGACCAGAATTCTCCAACGCACACTGTCTTGGGTCTTCCTTTCTAGTTCTATTCAATTGTTCTTTACTCTTTTCATATCTGTCTCCGCTTCTTGGCGTAATGTGTTATTTGTTATTCCTCTTCTTCTCATTTAATATTGAGGTTTGCATGTGAAGGCTTACCTTGTGACGCGATTGAATGCTTTCCTCAATATATGTCCTGTCCACTTCCAGCACTTCTTCCTGATTTTTTCGTCCGCTGGAATCTGGTTTGTTCTCTCCCATAGTAAGTTGCTGTTGATAGTGTTTGACCAACGGCTCCGAAGTATTTTGCGTAAACACTTGTATGTTCTTGATGATGTCTTTCATAGTTCTCCAAGTTTTCACCTCATACAGTAAAACTGTCTTGATATTTGTATAGAAAATTCTGATTTTTATGTTAGTTGACAGTTGTTTTACGTCCCAGATGTTCTTCAACTGTAGATAAGTAAATTATTGATCACATTTTTTGATAGCTTTTGCTCATGTCTCATACTTACTTATTCATTCCCTACCACAGGGTTTCAACTTAATGTCTTATTATTAGGATCCGGCTTACCAATAATTATCTTAGTAACTTAGTTTGCATATTTATCTGAAAGGACATATATATATATATATATATATATATATATATATATATATATATATATATGGAGTCGAAGTTATATCTTATTGGGACAAAATGAAAGAATCCCTACCATACTATGTCAATAATGAGGAGAAATCTTGACTTGATATTCTCCACAACCCCTATACGGATAATTAACATGTGTTCAGTAGTGACCAACTTCGTGAAGAAATTCTCAGTTCTAGTGAGAAGCCGTGACCAGAGGAGCTAATCGGTGTCGGCTAGAGACAGGTATGTACCTCAATACAATGGAAGATGGTCGCGCAATTTCGTGGATTGGTTGATGTTAGACACTAACACCATTGTATAGCGGCTCAGTCGTCCAGTATTTTAAGCGTTTGCGTGCGAAAATGAAGGCCTTGGGTTCGAATTCCGCGAGCAAGGTCATGGATGCGCACTGGTGAGGAGTCCCACAATATGACAAAACAGCCGTCCAGCGCTTCCTGGTTTCCAGCGCTGGTCTAAAACCAATCGGTTCGCGATTTTAATCAAAAGATTCTATTAAAAAAATAGTCAACAGAATCGTCCATTTATCTATAACTAGTATATAGATACATATAACTCCGCCTGGGACTACTGCCAGTCTCAAGCCCGGATAAAAGAGGAGAGTTGAGCATGAGATTATCAACCCCACCTCATCCCACCCCACAGAACTAACCTGAAATAGCTTTTTATATTTTTGTAACATAATATGATGTGTTTTGGCTTGTTTTCTTTCAATTCTTTGTTGTTTTTGTTCTAATTCTAATTCATGAATACGTTTTTTTAATGAATATAAATTATGCTTTAAAAATATTAAACTATTTGTCATATCCAATGGAATAGATTGATGATTTATTTGATCTAATCTTAATATAACAATAATTTCCAATTCATTTAATTTACGTTGTTTCTCTAACTGAAATAAATAAATAAACAAACAAACAAATAGAAACAAGAAGTTAGACAATAGAATAAGTATGTACTATAGACTAAGTAGAATTTCGATTATAGGCATACATTTGCTTGCCTTCAAATGACCTGATACAGCTGATAGTGGGGAGAGTTAGCTTTCTCTCTTGAAATGATCACACATGATCATGTGCATACCACCACTGTCAGAGATGTCTTACTCATTGCCTTCTCGTGCCATAGGTGTTGTTTACGTAATCAAGATGACGAAAAGCGAATGTTCAACGATTTAACCAGGTTGATTGATATGGTGAGTCCACCTAGGGGGATTAGGAAAACTCAAATTCAAAACCAGTGATGCATATGAGCTCCATGATCCTGTTGTAACAAATGGTGTATGAATCTATCGTCGGTCACTGGCTACCATGTGACTTCATGTCCAGACGTTGTTCTACTGAGTTGTGGATTAGACCTTTAGGTCGAAGACTCCGGGTGTGGCCACCTAAGAAAACTACCTGCTTCGGTTTAGACACTCAGTCAGTATCACAGCCCACACACAAATCACGTGACTTGTGTGGTGCATATGTGTTCGGTTCCCCTTTGTACTAATATTTATGTGTTCAAATCAATAAATTAATAATGCAGTTAAGAATATAATATCTAAAAGATCCTAAATTACAGAGTAACGTAAATTAAATCATGAATTGATGCTCTGTTTGATTACTTCTAACATTTTCAGCAGTATATACATACTCTAGTCAATATTACTTATCACTATTCACTTTGATTAAGAATGATTTACACACATTTCTACTGTATAACATACTAAATAAGCAAATGTTTCTAGTTCTTCTAGTCAAAAGACAAAGTAAATCAGACCTTGAATAAGAGACTAGAATAGATTTAACGTTTGAGAATTTAGTTACAGTTCTGAAAATATATCAGTTTCCTCAAACTTAGCTTCCATGTACTATCGTCATAGTTACCATGAATGATTGTTTTTTTTTCTGGTTAGCTTTTCTTTAGAAACGTTATTCCTGAAGAATGAAGCTACTGGCCAAATGCTCAGTCCTCCTCCTTTACCCGGGCTTGAGACGTGCAGTAACCGTAGAAGGGCTACTGGCGGATAACAATGTAATGTCATGCATGAAGAACAGCTCACGGACGTATTCCAAGTTACGACCGGTGTCAGACAAGACTGCTTACTCGCCCCTTCCTTTTCTTCTGATAGTTGACTAGATTATGATAGCCTCCATATCTGAGGGGAAGCACATAATATAATGAACAGCTTACATCCAACTAGACGATTTAAACTTCGAAGATGATCTAGCTCTAATATATCTTCTACTAATGTTCTAAAACTTTTCCGTAGTAAGAGACAACTAACTGATAAGTATGAATTTAGATTCTATGCTTGTTGATATTTTTTAGATAGATAATTTTCAAAATCATTTGAAGACTTATGTTTCTTTAAAGAGAATAACTTCGAAAAGCCTGATATTCCGGTTGTACAACTGACATTTGATGGATACAAGTTGCATAAGTAGTTGTTGAAACAATGAAGAAGATTTGTAACTTAAGGTAAGAATTTTGATTATGTTACTTTTTCTAAGCATCATAGTTGAATCATGAATTGTTCATTGACTTTCCAAACAACATCATCCATAAAGATCTCACTTTGAAATATCTGTAATGAATAATAATAAGTTTAAATAATTGGTACTGAGCTACACATTTCATTTTATGAAGGTTGGTAATACCAATAGAGTGCCAGAACCATAGTACGTAGAGTAGAATTCCAGCCCAAGAACCAATGGTTAAAAGGATGATGTTTTAATGTCGAAGACATCGAACAGACTATAAGTCACAGACCAGCACTGCTGAGGAGTCCCACAGTGGGACGAAACAGCCGTCCAGTACTTCCAGATTTTCCATGGTGGTCTAACTTCAATCGACTCATGATTTCAACTATTGAAATCATTAAAATCTCCACAAAACCCCTTCTGTTTTTGTTGTTATTGAAGGTGATATGAGTATTTGTGAACTTGTCAAATGTGTCAGAGGGAACTGACCTTAACCCAACCAACTGATTCAGTATAATTATCATTAAAAAGTGAAGAGATGAACAGTAAAGAGTTTTAGTTCACATGATATACATCATTACAGACAAATTACAACAGTACACTGATAGATGTACCCGGTTAAATTTCGCCTGATGTTTCAGTCTGTTAACATGTAGACTATAAGTTTCCACAAGAATGTTCATAAGTTTCCCTAGAAAACTTATCTACTGAATACTGCCTACATACCGACTATATAAACGAAGTAATCTCTACAGTTCTCTGATAATTTAAATGTCAAAATCTTTTTTTTTTTGGGGTGGGTGGTTCAATCCATTCTCATTGTTGAACAGGTTTATCTAATGGATAAAACGCTTGTTAGATAGATAACATTAATATTTAGCGTTTGAATCATGCAAGACGGGCTTGTGGATGCGCACTATTGAAGAGTCCTACAATAGGACGAAACGACCGTTCAGTACTTCCAGATTTTCCATGCTGATCTAACTTCAATTGACTCATGATCTCAAGTATTGAAATTACTACAATCTCCACAAAATCCCTTCTGATACAACAACATATTCTCAAAATTAATATACCTAAATAACATTGTTTACCTGAAATGCTTCCAATTCATTTTGAGCTTGTTTTAATGTTGTTTCAACTATACGTTGTTTTTTAGTAAATATTTCTAAATCTTTACGTAAAATATCTAATATTTTCTTTTCTTCAGTCATTTCTTCTTCAATATCTAAACGTTTCTCTCTAATTAAACAAGTACGTTCAAAATCTTCTATTGGACAACCTGATGGACATGTATCTAAATCCATAATAATAACATCTTCATTTTCATTTTCACCATCTATTTCATCGTAACTGGAATCATCATCATCATCATCAGATGATGATGAAGATTCTTCTGATTCATCTTCAGAACCTTGGAAATGTTTGAAAAAAAAGTTGAGACATAAAATAAATCAAGTGGTGTCTATATTTTATTCAAATGAGAGAGAGTTAGCTCTCCCTCTCCGAATGCTGTCACACGACCACGTACATATAACCCCTGCCAGGGAAGTCCTACTCACTGTCTTCTCGCTCCACAGGTGTTGTTTACGAAATTGAGAGGACGAAAAGTGAATATCTAACGCTTTAACCGGGTCGGTGGATACGAAGGGTCTACCTAGGGGAGTTGAATACCCTAATTCAAAACCAATGGTGCTTATAGACTTCAGTACCTTAAAGGAATAAATGGTGTATGAAGCAATCGTTGGTAACCGGCTACCATGGGACTGCATCTTCCTACATTGCTTCACTGGCTGGTGGATTAGACAATTAGGCCAAAGGCTTCGGGTTTGGCCTCCTAACTAAACCAATTGTCTCGTTTTAAGCACCCGGACAGTATCAATATAATTGTATTTAACTATAGATCATAAAAATTTAATTGTTATATCCTTCAATCTTTATAAATTCACCTTCATATGAATCTGGTCCTGGTACTATTGTCTAAAATGACAATGTAGGTTACTAAATACACCAAAGAAACTATCCCTTAAACCAACTTGTTTACCAAAAACGTCACTGTGATGTGCCATTATTATTTTGGTAATCTATCTAAATGAAACCAACGAACGAATGATAGTGATTAATAAATAAATGCGTCTATTCACAGTATTCCAGCTTCAACGAAGATATCTACATTGAATGATCACTGACATGTGATCAATGTCATTTTGTTGATTCTTTAAACTGTTGGGCACATTCCAACTCAATTGACAAGATTTCATGAGATTCAAAAATCTGTTAACGTCCAGCGTTGGTTTACACCAATTAAACTTTATTTCAACTGTAGATTTTAACCTGTTTTCTTTATTTATATACAGTATGTATCTACATCAGGTTATTATAATGAGTAAATGGCAAATGTGTGATCAACAGTTGAACTTAATATGAGTCTAAAGATCAGACAAAATAACGCCGGTCACAACTCTTTGATCAGTCAGTCAGTCAGTTACAACGTAGGACCACGCATTTATATGTATCAGTCCAAGTTGCCATACTTCATTAGCACAACAAGATGAACACCAAATACATAGAAGTAGTCAATTCAGTGGTGTAATATATAAAAGAAAGATTAGATATAAGGACATAGTACAGAAAGAATTAGTTCGTACAATGAAAGATATGGAGCGATTTTATTCTCATAGTTTAACGAAAGATAAACAGTGTATACACCATTGTGATCGATTCTGAGCAATGTCACCAAGAGCCTCCAACCATTGGTTACGATAGGGACGTAGACCCCAAACAAGTAATCTGGATGTACCAACATGGTTCAGATCAGAAGTTAGTGACTTCGTGGACTGATTCTATGTCTTAGTTTGGCCGCCCCTAACTTCCTTCTAACCATACCCAACACTAGTCAGCATTGCGCATCGTGGTAATCAGTGTTCAGGCATACGCATCACGTGGTTCGATCATCTTAGTTGATGAAGATTCACAACCTCATCAACTGATTTACCACCATTCCCTTGTACCCTGCGTCTAACCTTACTATTACTTACCTGGTGATCCCAGTAGATTCGAGCAATATTTCTAAGGGATCTTTGGTCAAATACTAGTAGCCTACAAGTGTCTTCTACTCTTAATGGCTACGTTTCTCAGCCGTAAAATAGAACAGAACGAACTGCCGCTCAGTATATTTATTATCAACTCTTTGATTAACTGATGTAGATATCTCAGTCTTACAAGAGTTCAATTGAGGTTCGTATAATTCAACGCTAAAGTCAAAATCTCTCTCCTCCCCTCCATCTTCAATTGTTACATTACTTGAAGAAAATATTAGAATGTATAATTTCTCTATTACAATTTACCTGAATGAAGTAATTCTTGTTTCTTTCGTTTAATACGTTTTTTAAATACTTTTGTAAGAAATTCTATAAATTTATGTGAATCATCTAAACTTGTTTTAAATTCTTCATGTATTTGATGTTCACGTTGAGAAAGACGTTCTAGATCTTTCTTTTTTTGTTCAATTTTCATAGTTAATTCATTTACCTTTAAAAGAAATTAAAAAAAAGAAAAGAAATGAAATTATTATCAGAAAAGGGGTATTTAATGGAGATTATAGTTAACTGAATCTAGATCACTATGAAAAACTTAAAAGCATTTGGATGGCTGTTTCGTCTTGGTGTAGGACTCGTCAACAGTACCCACCTACAATCCCGCTCTGCAGGATTCGAACCAAAGACCTGTCGGTCTTGTGTACATACACTTTAACTTTAGACTACTAAGCCGGTATCCAATGGAGTTAATGTTTAACTTGAAGCAATCCACAAAACTGAGCCACTGTCCATCATTGTCGTCAGTGTAATTGTTAGTGATAATTTTTTCCAACAAAAAAAAAACTCTGTTAACATTTTATTGTGAGCTGATTTGTATTTCAAGTGAAATTGTTAAGCTTTAAAATAGAACAATAAAATAAGAGTCGATATCAGTAGTATAGTGAAGGAGAACAACAATGGAGGAAAATCGAATGTATTTGAACGTCTTAGTAAACATCGGAGAACCATACAGTAAATAATTCATTTGCAAAATGTTAATTGGTTGTCTCAGACTTCATTGTTCTTTCGTTTCCACACCAATCTTTCTTTGTTCTGTTCCGATTTCTTCGATCTTCCTAAACTTCTACTGCCAAGTACTTCTCTTTCGATTGATGATACATACTACTTATATCTGTTGACATTAGTAGCACACACTACACTAGAAGGTATTCATTAATTAACCCAAATTACGTATGAATGAAAGGACAGTCACTTAATAAGTTCTTAATCATTAAGATCGACATCAAATATATTAATTATGATGGGTCGATATTTTATTTGTTTATTTTAACACATAGGTAATGGTACAAGGAGGCACCAAATACATTTGCGCCCCACAAATCTCATTGGATATGTGTGAGGGCTGTGATACTGTCCGGGTTCCCAAACCGAAACAGATGGTTTTCTTATGGGGCCACACCCCGAGACTTCGACCTGAACGTCTAACCCACAAGGCAGTGGAGCATCGTGAGTAGATGCAGTCCCATGGTAGCCGGTGACCAACGATTGGTTCATACGCCATTTGTTCCTTCAGGATACTGGAGCCCATGTGCACTACTGGTTTGGGGTCCGGTTAAAGCTGGTGCCGGACATTCGCTTTTCGTCCTTTCATTTTTGTAAGCAACACCTGTGGCACGAGAAGGCAGTGAGTAGGACTTCCCTGGCAGAGGCTATATACGCATGGCCATGTGAGAGCATTTCGATAGGGATGGTGGGCCCACTCCATTCTCGGCCGTACCAGGGCATTTGAGGGCAGATTTTTTATTTAATGAAGACATAAGTCAAGTGTCTATAAAGTTTGAAATGGTAAATATAATTCCTAGTCCAGATGAATCATTTAAGATAATGATAAGTTTCAAGGTGAACAGTTTAGTTACATAAATTTAGTTATCGTTCTAGACAGGATTGTTAGAGTTACTCATACTACAAGAATCAAATTTTAAACTTTTACGCTTCCATAATGTACCAATTACTTTCAGATTATAATGCCCGCATACCATTAGCAAATAGACTACTGTGGGAGAGAACAAACCAGCATCTAGCTGAAGAGGAAATTAGGAGAAGACGATAGAAGTGTATAGGACCATACATTGAGGAAATGATCAAACGGCATTACGAGGCAAGTCCTAACTTCGAATTCTGAATGGAAACGGAAAAGAGGACATTACGTTGAGAAATAGAAGCAGATATGATTATAATCATCATATGCTCACTAGTGACGGTCTTCAAGATGTATTTCCTGGAGTTCTAGTGAGAAGCAGTAACCAATGAAGTTCAACCAGTTTTGTAGTGAGATAATAACTCACTGAAGACAATGATAGATATGTCGTTCAATTTCGTGGATTGATTAAAGTTAGACATTAACACCGTTGGATACTGGCCGGCTCAGTGGCCTAATGGTTAAGACTGATAGATATTAGGTTTGAATCTTGCGAGTCAGGATCGTGGATGCTCACTGCCACCAAGGAGTTCCATACTAGGACAAAACAGTCATTCAATACTTCCAAGTTTTCCATAATAGTTCAGCTTCAATTCATTTATAATTTCAAGATACTTGAATAGGTTCCTTACAACAGAGTTACCCAGAGAATACCAGTAGGGTGGTTTATATTCTACCACGTGGAATAACAGGCTGTCAATCAGTAAGTAAAATCTAGTAATATTATCAAAATTTTAAAAGTAGTCTATTCAACTTACTTTATTAGTAATATCTTGTTTTTCATTAAATCTATTTTTCATTTTATCAATTAATATAGATTCAAATGTATTAAATTGTTTTAATAAATCATATTCATTATATAATGTATATTGATATAATTCAGAACGTTTTAATAAAATACCTAATTGACAACGTTTATGATGTAATAATTGAATTTCTATATCAAAACAACGAATAATACGACTAGCTAATTGTAATAAATAATTACGATAATAAATAGATTTAATAGATTTACGGTTTTGGTATTCTATTTCGAATGATGTACTGCTATGATGGATTTCACTGAAAAAATACCAACAAAAAAAGAAAGAAAGAAAGAAAGAAAAAGAAAAGAGATCAATGAGACCAATCGGTTAAACGATAAAAAAGTGTTATGATGATCTAAGATCATGTCATATTATGTTCATATTTATTCATAATTGATTAGTTACTAGATGGCCCCCAAATGCCCTGGTACGGCCGAGAGTGGGGAGAGACCGCTCTCCCTCTCGAAATGCTCTCACATGGCCATGCGTATATAGCCTCTGCCAGGGAAGTCCTACTCACTGCCTTCTCGTGGCGGGGGTGTTGTTTACAAAAATGAGAGGACGAAAAGTGAATGTCTGGCGCTTTAACCGGACCCCAAACCAATGGTGCACATGGGCTCCAGTATCCTGAAGAAACAAATGGCGTATGAACCAATCGTTGGTCACCGGCTACCATGGGACTGCATCTCCTTACGATGCTCCACTGCCTTGTGGGTTAGACGTTCAGGTCGAAGTCTCGGGGTGTGGCCCCCTAAGAAAACCACCTGCTTCGGTTTGGGCACCCTGGCAGTATCACAGCCCTCACACAAATCAATTGAGATTTGTGTGGCGCATATGTATTTGGTGCCTCCCTGTACCTATACTTATGTGTTAAAATAATAATAATAATAGTTACTAGATGGTGATGTTAGATCTTTTTGATAAGCCTAATGAATAGTAACTTTTTGGGAACCATTTATGGACCAATACTATGCGTATATTTTTATTGTATAATAGTTTAATAAATAAATCAATCATTCATAGTTCTCTTATTATAAGCTTTATTTTGATCTATGAACTATAAGTATACGTTTTAATATTGTTGAATTATGCCATGTTTATTAGTCAGTGCCTCCCATATTCACAACTACATTTGACTAACGCTTGTACAAATGTTATTTTCTAATTTATGGTAGGTTATGGTCTGTTTGATTGGTATATAAACTGAGTATGTTTGAAATACATGATTCATATTTCAGAGGTTGAGATTGGTGTTCTGGACTAAACTGGCTGGGCTAGGCGGGAAGCAGGATCAATCAAGACTCTAGACTGCTCGTACGGGTTTTACGCGTCATTGATCTGATCGATAGTTATTACTTACTTACTTACGTCTGTTACTCCTCGTGGAGGAGCATAGGCCACTCATCAGCTATCTCCATCCAAAACTCTGCCAAGCAATCCTTACCAGCTCTTTCCAGTTGTTATTCATCCTTTTCATATCTGTTCCTACTTCCCGACGTAATGTATTCTTTGGACTTCCTCTTTTCCTCTTCCCTTCAGGATTCCATGTTAGGTTTTGCCTCGTCATACAGTTTGATTATTTCCTCAATGTATGTCCTATCCGTTTCCATCGTGTTTTCTTAACTTCTTCTTCAGTTGAAAGTTGGTTTGTTCTCTCCCACAGTAGGCTGTGGCTGATGGTATCCGGCCGATGGATGTTGAGTATCTTGCGTAGACAACTATTTATAAATACTAGTACCTTCTTGATGATGGTTGTAGTAGTTCTCCACGTTTCAGTTCCGTACAGTAGAACTGCTCACTAATTGGCGGTATAATTATGTTATACAACAACAGGGCACACATGCCACAATTTATAACAGGTGATCAATGTCATGTGGTGCTCTCTTGTACCAGTATTTATGTATGTGGAGGCGAGAATCAGCAAAGAAAGAGCCGCATTCCTACAACTGAAAAACATGTAGAATTCAAAACAACTGTCAACCAATATCAATGTTACAATCTCCAATACGAATTTCAAGCTAGTTCTACTGTACAGAACTGAAACGTGGAGAACTACTACAACCACCATCAAGAAGGTACAAGTATTTATAAATTTTTGTTTACGCAGGATACTCAATATCCATTGACCAGATACCATCAGCAACAGCCTTCTATGGAAGAGAACAAAACGGCTTCCAAGTGAAGAAGAAATTAAAAAAAGACGATGGGAATGGATAAGTCATACTTTACGGAAATTATCAAACTGCATCACGAGGCAAACACTAACTTGTAATCTTGAAGGGAAGCAGAAACGTGTAAAGCTAAAGAACACAGTGCACCGGAAATCGGAAGCAGATATGAAAAGGAAGAATAGCAACTGGTAACAACTGTAAAGAATTGCCCAAGACAGAATTGGTTGGAGAATGCTGGTAAGCGGCCTATGCTTTTCCACGGGCAGTAACAAGCGTAAGTAAGTTAGTAATCTTTTAAGCTGTAATTTTCTAATCTAATCAACAGTGTAATACTTTCAAATGAGAATAAACAAACTTACTTTGAAAAGTCAAGAATGTTGTATTCATAAAATCTCATTGAATGGAATTTGAAGTAAATTCAACGTTTCACCTGACAATCTTGTCCAAGCTTTTTCAAGGAACCAGATGGTCAGGTGAAACGTTGAATGTACTTCCAATTCCATTCAATGAGATTTCTACAAATATAACATTCTTCTCTTTCTGATGTCTTACATCAATCCAGCGCCTAAATACTGTGAAACTATTCAATTTAAACTTACTTGAGATTTATATCTTCCGTTTTATTCTCATTCATCATGTATGAATTAAATTTATCTGGTCTTATTGGATGATATATTGATATTTTTATTGTACCATCGGTATCTTTTGTTTGATTTTCTTGTTGCTGTGGTTGTTCTTCTATTGTTTCATTATTATCTAATGAATTATTGATTGAAATTTCATCAAATCTATTATGTATTGATGGTTTTATTAAAGAGTACTTATGATCTATATTAGTTAGATAATAATGATTTAATGCTAAACAATGCAATGGGAACCATATAACATCTATGGTATCTGTTTCATCATTACAATCACTATTATTGATATTACGGGATTCTCTGATAATTTCTGGTTCTTTCCATTGACAACGTTCTTCAGGTGGAATACATTCAGTAAATGAAAGTATTTTATTTGATGGTTTCTTTAGTAAAAAAAAAAGAAAAGAAAATAGAATCCAAGAAGAAACAATAGGTTATCAAGTAAACTTCATGAAAAATGCAAAGATGGATAGTGCCTAGCAGTGTAATCCAGGACGCGCGTTCCGTCCTATTTGGGACTTGTCAGCTGGATGTACATGCATCTCCACGTCGATGTTCATTCTGGGACTCGAACCCAGGTGGCTATCAGGACTCAGTAGCTAAATGGATAACGCGATGGCGTTTGAAGTGGATGGTATTGGGTTAGAGTCCCAGAGTGAACATCAACTTTGAGATGCAGGTACATCCAACTGACGTGTCCCAAATAGGACGAAACGCGCGTCCTAGATTCCACTGCTAGTCACTATCCATCTTTGCTTATAATGTTTGTAAATGAAGGCAATATCTAGGCAATACGCACAGTATGCACATATGCCAATAACAGACTGATCACTTGCAGTCTTAAACATGAATGGGAAGATTCAAGTGAAACAATATCAAGTGAATTCATGAATAATTGTTAATTCAACGTTAATGTATTATTTTGATGAATATATTTGAAAACTATAAAACTAATATAGTAATTTCAATAGTTGAGATCATGAGTCAATTAAAGTCGAACCATCAAGGAAAACTTGGAAGCACTGGACAACCGTTTCGTTCTCTTGTGTGACTCCTCAGCAATGGGCATCCACGATCCTGCCTTGAAAGTTTCGAACTAAGGACCTAAGCTCCCACCCACGACAATCTGGTCTGATGTATCTGTAGACTAATCCCTACTGCATGTGACCGAATAATTAAAAAACATTATTATTCTATTATATTAATGTGACGAACTCTGCGTGCAACCCCCCTCTGGCGTTGGGCATGAAATTCCCGACTCTAACCTGTAGAAAATTAAGACACTAATAATAAAAAAATGTTAGTGTGACTCATAATATTTTTATTCATTTCGATAAGATATGCAACGCTGGTCGATATGTTTGCACGTTCCACTTAATGACTATAATTTCCTATGATTATTACTGTACTAATCAAATCTCGCGGGGTGGGATCGTGGATGCGCACTGTTGAAGAGTTTCACAATAGAATGAAATGGCCATCCAATGCTTCTAAGGTTTTCTATAGTTGTCTAGCTTTAATTCCCTCATGATCTAAACTATTAAAATTACTATAATATCCACAAAACCACCTTCTGATATGAATTAACATATATTCACTAGTGACTGGATTCGAGAGGTATATAATAGTGTTCTAGAGAGAAGCAGTGACTAGTGGAGTTCAAACGAGTCTGTTATGAGATAGTAACTCACTGAAGACAATGATGGATGCGTCGCTCAATTTCGTGGATTAATTGAAGTTAGACATTGACACCGTTGGATACCGGCCGACTCAGTGTTCTAGTGGTTAAGCGCTCGCTAGCGATACTGATAGGTCATGAGTTCGAATTTTGCGAGTCAGGATCGTGGATGTGCACTGCTAGGGGTGTCTCACACAATAAGAAGGAAACGGCCCTCCAATGCTTTCAAATTCTCCATAGTGGTCTAGCATTTAATTGTTTCATGATCTCAACTATTAATACAACTATAATATCCTTGTTCTGACAACACAGACTCTGGAGTTCGCCATCAGTATCACGTTAACAATTCTAGTAGTATATCTGTAAGACAATTCAAATCCTATTGAGATATATATATATAATAATAAACATATTTATGATGATTTACCTTCATCGTTGTTGACATGGTGATATTAGTTTGTCCTGTTTGTTTATTCGCTTCTAAATTTTCTTTAAATTTCAATAGAATCTCATTGTTGTATGTGAATTTTCTTTTAGAAATAGTTTCATTTTTTTAAAGAAGAAAAAAGAAGAAAAGAAAAGTAAACGTTTACATGGTGTTATCTGGGCAAGACTATATCATTTATGAACGAACCAATCAGATATAAGATAATGAGTCATGAATTTTTGGCGCGAAATTCACTCGTCCATTTGGCATGGTAGCTAATGTCAGTATGTGATGAAAACTCTGAATCTAATTCCTTACGTTAACCATCATAATTCGAATTCCGCACACTAATTTATAACCCTGATTTGATCTTAGTTAATTAGGTGGCCACCTCAAGGTCACTGTAGCGTCGCTCAAAGGTCATTTATAAATTATAGTCTCACCCGTTCCAATTTTAGTAAATGTACGCAAAATACTTCGGATTCATTGGCCAAACACTATCATCAACAATCTACTATGGGAGAGATAAAATCAGATCCCAGCAGAGGAAGAAATTGGAAAGAAGTATTGGAGGTGGATAGGACACATGTTGAGGAAATCACCCAATTGCATCACAAGACAAAACCTCATATGGAATCGTTAATGCCAAATGAGGATTAGAGGAATAACAAATAACACATTACACCGAGAAATGGAGACAGACATGAAAAGAGTGAAGAACAAGTGAATAGAGCTAGAAAGGAAGGTCCAGGCAGAGTTGGTTAAAGAACGCTAGTCGGCGGCCTATGCTCCATTTGACGTAACAGGAGTAAGTAAGTAAGTTAATCTCTGACTAGATTAATGATGATTGAGTTTTCTACACATAATTCTCATCATGTTTCGCGTAATATTACATTTCTAGACAGTGGGCATCCACGATTCTGCCACGCGAGATTCGAACCAAGGACCTATCAGTCTCTGATATTAAAGAACAGTACTATCAGCATAAACGTTAATTCTACCTGAAGTTTATACTAGAGATGTTGTTTTTGAAAGTTGATGCAACTTCCACAATCAAGCCATTCAGCTTGAAGAACACAATTTCATTAAAATCTTTATCATATTTTAACTGAAAATACCATTATAACTAAATTTTCCAGTCTATCAATTACTATCTCCCACATCCACAGCCACTTTTGGCTAAATCTTGTACAAATGTTGTTTCCTATTTTATGGTACGATTGATATGCTTGACTGTTATTACGAGTTCACCTTACTCGGTAAACGGAACGAAGGTGACACCATACTCTATTCTAATCCGTTGTCTCCAGCCCCGTTAACTAGATCAAGAAGTCTTGATGAGGCGTAGAGAATGTATTCTACAAGCACTCAGAAAATACGAGGTCACTAAGCACACAAATCAAGCTTATTTATACAATGATAGAAACACCCTTAGGAGAGCCACAAAATAGCGCACTGAAAAATGACAGTCAACGATTTCCGAGTGGGAAATGTAAGCTGTAGATCAACTAAACGTCTCTTGGCGCGAAAACATAAAATTCAAATTTTCAGAATAAAATTACAAAATTAGTACCCTTTCCAAATGAGTTCTGGGGATCTTGTTGATATGATCCAGAAAATTTGTGGCAAAAGACACGGAAAGATCAGGAAACATTAAGAAGCATTTCATCCAATCAGCGATCACTTGGAGTTTAGCCAGAAAACGTCAAGGGTGAGAAACGTCACATGTAGAGGTCCTGATTGGCTGGTTGTTATACTGCTACTATGTTTAGTAGCATCCCAGAATCTTCGACCAACCCAAGGACATTTAGAATATTATAAAAACCCTGTTTTCTGTGTTAAAAGGAACCTTGGAGTAAAGTAATTTCCGCATACTTTGTGCCTTCTCTCTCGTGTTCAGGTCGCTTGGGGGTTTCAGAATAGCTTAGGAATCGAGTATAGCGTTCAATATCGCAAGACTTATCAAATCTAACATCCTCAACAACGATGTAGTCTATTTAGTTTGTATATAAACCTAGTATGTTTGAAATATATGATTCATATCACAGAGGCTGAGATTTATGTTCCGTATTCTAACAGGCAGGGCTAGTTGGGAAGCAGAACCGACAAAAACTCTAGACTGCTCGTACGGGTATTATGCATCATCAGCTCGGTCGATAAGCCACTATTCTCTAATTGGCGGTATCATTACGTCATGTACTGATGGGGCTCACAAGTTATAACACTCACTATAACGATTATATCATTACTTAATTACAATTCAATGATAAATAATACCTTTCAGGATATTCATCTTCATCAAGTTCATCAATATGTAAACGTATACCATATTCATTCGATGGTAAATTACAATTAATATATTGTAATTGTTTATCAATTTTTTTCAATTTTTCTATGATTTTCATTTTTTTATTACGTAATCCAAGTAATGATACATTGAATTCATGACTTAATTGAAACATCTATAATGAAACAAAATCCAACAAAAATGTATATATCAGTTAAAGGGCTGTGGAGATGGTTAACTTTTTGATCGAGATCATGAATCGATTGATGTTAGACCACCATTGAAAACCTGGAAGCACTGGACGGACGTTCTGTCCTGCTGTGGGACTCCTCAGCAGTGTGCATCCACGATCTCGCCTCCTGCGAGATTCGAACGCGGGGTCTTCAGTCTCGCGCGTAGACACTTAACCTACTGACTCACTGAACCGGCATCTAATGGTGTTAATGTCTAATCTCAACCAAAAATGTATATCAATAATTAGAATTATCCTTGGATTTTTTTTAATAGTTGAGATTGTAACGGTAAATCAATAGCTCTGTAAGTCTTCGACATTGGATGCTGAAGGCGCTCGATAATGCATCTGTACCAAATCATGAGTGAGAACGTCGTGCTCAACATCCCTTGCAATCACTAGCCAATTTAAATGAATCGATCCTCGATATATTGATAGCCTATCAAATATATTTTCGAACCTTCTCGCTTCTAACTTTTGATTTCACGTGGTGGGTACGATTTATAGTAGGTGTTGCTGATTAAAGTGTTGTCAAACTCTAATTACCTGTGGCATCTTCAAGATCATGAGCCAATTGAAGCTAGACCACCATGGAAAAACTAGAAGCATTGGATGACCGTTTCGTTCTATTATGGGACTCATCAGCAGTGCGCATCCACGATCCCGCCTCTCGAGAGATTCGAACCGAGGACCCATCAGTCTCGCATGTGAGCGCTTAACTACTAAACTATTATTCTCGGTTAATATTAAAAATAATGTTTCACTTATGGTTAGTTAATGGTAGCTTTCATTGTTTAAATTGGCAACTTTCTAAAGTTTCGACACAATATACGAGTGAATAGTATTGTCTGGATTAGAATACATTGATGACAGTTCTATGATTCGAAAGACAGGCGCTTAAGCTCATTTATGATTAGCTTAAAGAATAATTTAATTCACAAGCAATAATGAGAAGAGTTTAACTATCCTTGTATTGTCGGTTGCTATACTAAGCCCTATACTAAGGCCAATTTACCCATTAATCTTGAGTCATGTTTTGACCTTGTTTTTATATGAGTGTACGTGTGTATACATCTTATCCTACTCATCACATGTTTGTAGCTTAGTTTTGTGTGACTATACATGTTCATTTACGCATGATTGAATGGTGTTGTTGGTTCGCACACTTTCTTCATCGCTTCTCTATCTTCTGTTCGTTTCGTCCCTATGATTATCTGTCCAGATCAATGAATGTACAAAATATATTTATTCAAAACTTTATTCTCTTATTTGACTTATTTAATTCCGTTATTCACTAGCGTGATTTAAGTCGATAGTTATGTACAAGAATAGTCAGCATATATATGGTTCAACAGCAATCATTCAATAACGATCATTTGTCCGATCTATCTGGAGTCAGATCTCGGGTCACAAAACTCTTCAAGCGAAATAATAACATCGATGCTACTACAAGTTATTTAATGAATAAACTGAAGCAATAAGTCAATGAAATTTGAGCTTCTACCTGACAACTCAATGATTTTGTGATGGGTTCAAAAATGAGTCAATTCAGGAGTGTGTACTGCTAGTATCTGTTATGTAATCGACGGCTTCTTAAATACATCACTGCTAACGTTTCATAATGTGAAGCTGAGTGATTTGTATTTCAATTGAACAGGAGACCAGTTACCAACGGTTGCAGACAAACTTTGCTTGTGAGTGTTAAACAGAATAAATCCTAAGTGGAGCAGGGTTTCCTGTCTATTATGTCAAATCATTTAAAATCTACACTTGACGTTGATTCTTCTGAACTAGTAACCATTTGGCAATTTGATCTAAACTAAAAAACTAGATAAATATGATAGTGGTAACTGCTCAGTTGACAATCCGTAATAAACTACTGAGATATTTTAAACTTTGAAGAAGTAACTACTTGGTAACATCTAATTTCAAATAGTTACTCACCTGATTCTTTCTTCAAAAGTCTGTTTTAAGTTCGATCATTCTTATACTTCAGTTTATTATGTACCTCTATCTATATATTGTCTCGTAGCTAACAACTTAGTTAGTCAGTTCATCATAACACATATCTTGGTACATATGTACATTGATTCAAGTTGCCATAATCTATTAGCAAATAGACTGATCAAACTGTCAAGACAAATCCCAAAATAAACGAGGTAGTAACAAATTCAAATATTCAAATTCAAAACTTAATATGGCAACTATCTAGCATTATCCAGTTTCTATTTATCCCCCAAACAATTTCATTACGTAATCAAATATTACTTACATGATTCACAAGATTAAGTAGTTTATGTTTAACTTCAATTGTATTCAATTTCATACTTTCAGGTATAACATAATTTGTTGCAGATTTCAATTTATAATCACCTATTCTCTCTTTAGCCAATTGAATTTCTTTAATATCTTTTGGATCTTCATAATCATCAGTTGGTTTCATAGCTTCTAATTGTTTCCACTTCAATTGAAATAGTATATAAAGAAAATTTTATATTTTATATAAACAATTCAATGTAATATATATACAAAGGGAAAAGCAAGACTCTCCTATACAACATAGCATACACCAATCCAATCACAATTGATGGAGAAGATTCGTAAGATGTAATAATCCTTTACATATTTGACAGCATCATGGATGAACACGGTGGATCTGATGCAGATGTGAAGGTGTGGATCGGCAAAACAAGAGCAGTTTACCTACTATTGAAAAGAACATCTAGAACTCAAAACAATTGTCAACCAATACCAAGGTCAGGATTTTCAATACAAATGTTAAGACAGTTCTGTTGTATGAGGCAGAAACTTAGAGAACTAAGAAAGCCATCATCAAGAATATACAAGTGTTTATTAACAGTTGTCTATGCAAAATACTTTGAATCCGTTAGCTAGACTCTATCAGCACCAATCTACTGTGAGAAAGAACAAACCATATTCTAGCGGAAGAAGAAATGAGGAAGAAGCGCTGGAATTGGATAGAACATACATTAAGGAAGGCACTGAACTATGTCACAATGCATGTCCTCACATAGAATCCTCAATGCCGAATGAGAATTAAAGGAATAACACATAACACATTACATCGACAAATGGAGATAGATATGAAAAGAATGTAAAATAATTGAATAGAACTAAAAACAAAAAATGTAATACAGAGTTGGATTGGAGAATGCTGTTTGGCAGCCTATGTTCCATTAGAAGTAACAGGCATAAGTAAGTAAATGTTAAATATTGTTATTTTACTTAACTATGCCTTCATAAGTAAAGATATTCGTAAGTTACTAGTATTTGACCACAGGTGCCTTAGAAATATTGCTCGCATCTGCTGGGATCACCGGGTAAGTAATAGTGAGGTTAGACGCAGGGTATTAGGGAATGATGGTAAATCAGTTGATGAGGTTATGAATCTTCATCGACTGAGATGGTTGGGCCACGTGTCGCGTATGCCTGAACACAGATTACCACGACGCGCAATGCTGACTAGTGCAGGGGATAATTGGAAGAGAGTTAGGGGCGGCCAAACCAAAACGTGGCATCAGTGCTTGAAGTCACTAACTTCTGATCTGAGCCATGTTGGTAGATACAGACTGCCTGGTTGGGGTCCGCGTGACTATCGTAACCAATGGTTGGAGACTCTTGGCGACATGGCTCAGAATCGATCACAATGGCGTCGGTGTATACACTCTCTGTCTTCCTTAAATTAGGAGATTAAAATCGCTTCATATCTGTCTAGGAACTAATTCTATCTTCCTGTACTATCTCCTTATATGCAATCTTTCTTCTATATATTACCACCACTGAATTAACTACTCCTTTGAATCCGGTGTTCATCTTGTTGTGCTAATGCGGTATGGCAACTTGGACCGATGCATATAAGTGCCTGGTCCTGCGTTGCAGCTGACTGACTGACTGACTGACAGTTAGCATATCACTAGAAATTTGAATAATTCAATTGTAAAATCTCTAACTGTGATATTTAATGACTAAAGTTTTGAACCATAAAAAATAGTATTAGTTCTTTGAAAATTTTTGAAGTATTCTTTGTTGAATAATAAAATACTTAAGAAAACATGTCACTGAACTTAAGGCATCTTTTTCACTATAATATTGACTGGAATAGCAGTGTTGCACTGTGAAATGTAAACAAGTTATCTATTCATAAAGTTATTAATTATCAATTTAAGTAGTACTCCCAAATGGCCTGGTATGGCCGAGAGTGGGTGGAGTCCGCTCCTCTTCTCGAAATGCTCTCATATGGCCACGCGTATACAGCCCCTGCCAGGGAAGTCCTACTCACTGCCTTCTCACAACACGGGTGTTGTTTACGAAAATGAGAAGACGAAAAGCAAATGTCCGGCGCTATAACCAGACCCCAAACCAATGGTGCACATGGGCTGGCTCCAGTATCCTGCGGGAACGAATGGCGTATGAACCAATTGTTGGTCACCGGCTACCATGAGACTGCATCTCCTCACGATGCTCCACTGCCTTGTGGATCAGATCTTGAGGTCGAAGGCTCGAGGTGTGGCCCCTAAGAAAACCACCTTGTTCGGTTTGGGCACCCGGGCAGTATCACAGCCCTCACACATATCAAATGAGATCTGTGTGGCGCATATGTATTTGGTGCCTTCTTGTACCGATATCTATGTGTTAAAATAAATAAATAATAAAAATAAAATAACTTCTTAGTTTTGTTCACCAAACTACTCATAATCTGTTTACATAGACTTTAAATGATATCATTTATAATCAGTAGCTATCATAAAAGATCAATTCATTCCAACTGTATGTACACTTAGTTCACCTGGTATTATTTGTTTGGATCTTCCTATTGATGTCTACGATAGCAATTGATCAGTCTGTTAATGGTAGATGTGCATACTGTGAGCGTATTACTTCAATATTGTCTTAATTCATGAGTATTATATGCAAAGATGGATAGTAGCTAGCAGTAGAATCCAAGACGCGCGTTTCGTCCTATTTGGAATTCATCATCTGAATGAACCTGCATCTCAGAGTTGATGTTTACTCTGAGTTAATTAAAGCTAGACCACCATGAATGTCGGATCAGTGATCTACAGGTTAAGCGTTCACGCTCGTGACCAATAGTTCCTGGGTACGAATCTCGCGAGTAGGGATCTTAGATGCATATTGAAGAGGACTCCTACACCAGAACGAAACGACTGTCAAGTTTTTTTTAAAAAGAATCATATATATAGGTTTATGTCGCTAAATCAAATTTATAAATTTACCTGAGCTCGACGAGCATTTCGTTTTTGTTTAGATTCTTCAAGTAAATGTAATTTTTGTGTAATTCTTAAACCACGTGCTCCTTTTATTGATGTATTAACTTGATTAGTAACATTTTTAATCTTTTCAGATTCATGTTCCAATGTACTAGTTACATCTAATGAGTAAGATAAATAGGGAGAATAAAAATGGTGACAATCTTTAAGTGACAGTAGATTGACCTTAAGAATGTCCACCTAATTAACTAGGACCAAATGAAGGTTATAAAGCAGTTTGAAGAATTCGAATTATGATTTATTGTTGATGGTTAAGGATAAGAATTTCATTTGAGGGTTTCATCACATACTGACATCAGCTATTCATGCCAAAACTGTACTTAGCCAAATGGATGAGTGGATTCAATGTTGAAATCCGAGGCCAGTTATCTTGTACGTGATTGGATTATACTGAAATATCTCTGAGTTCTAGCCAAATCATCCAGCTGTTGAGTCATTATTGAATATCGAACAGGTCGTCGATCCTTTGTCAAGGGTCAAGGACAACCAACGCACATCAATTAATCGTATGCCATATACTGGCACATTCGGTGATGGTCTCGCTATCTTCTCCGTACTCCTTTTTACTTCTATATTTCCATAATAACGTTCTTTGTATAATACGGTCTTCAAAGCAGCTATAGTACTTTGATACATCGAAGGGTTAATCCATGTTACATGCTGATCGCGAGGTGTGATTTTAATGCTAGCTAGTTTGCCACATTATTCCCGTCTAACTCGAGTAGGCCTCCAATCATTCGTAAGAGATCATCAACGTTGATGATCAACAGGTTCGTCCATAAATTATAGTCTCGCCGGAAAAACTAATCAATTCAAGTAAACAATAGCAAGTGAAGTACTGAGTATAGTTTCTATCATTTCTATATATATTTAAGTTCATAAAACCAATATAACTTGAAAAGACACTTTGTTTAACTGTAGCTTGGTTTAATAACTGTTTGGGCGAAAATGATAATGTTTGGTTGTCTGCTTAGTCAAACATACGAACAGTCTGATAGGTGTCAGATGAGTTATATATTCCCCTTATCCTTATTATTATCGATTGTTGATGGTTGTTGGATTGTGTCCGGTTTTGGTGTGGAAATATATTCACGTTCTAGCCAGGCTAATCACATGTTCTGAATCATCTCAATTGTGTTGAAGTTCTGTAGAATAATCGACACTGGGAGAGGAATCTAGTGTAGATATTCGTGTAAACGTTTGAAACCCAAGCATTATAACAATGATTAGTATAATAAAAGTCCTTTCAAAATAATTAATAACATTAATTTTTTTATGTTTTCGATTTGGTAAACTCATTTTTCAACGAACTGATTATCAAACTGTACAATCGTATTTATATATGAAAGCGTTTTTTGTTGTCCAAGTACTAGTTCCATGAGGAAATGTCGACGAGCAATGCTAACCGGTGTTAAGGATAATTGGAAGCGGCCAAACCAAAACGTGGCATCAGTCCACGAAGTCACTAACTTCTGATCTGAGCCATGTTGGTATACGCAGACTACTTGGTTGGGGTGCACATCCCTATCGTAACTAATGGTTTCAGACTCTTGGTGACATGACTCAGAATCGATCATAATGGCGTAGGTGTATACACTCTTTGTTTTCTGTTAAACTATGAGACTAAAATCACTTCATATCTTTCTTTCTACGAACTAAATATTTCTTCCTGTACTATATTCTTATATGCAATGTTTTTTTTATATATTACACCATTGGGTTGATTGATTCTATGAATTTAGTGTTCATCTTTCTGTGCTAATGAGATGTGGTAACTTGGACCGATCCATATATATGCCTGGTTCTACGTTATAACTGACTGACTGAATGATGAGGAAATGTGAACAAGGAATAACCAAGATGATGTAATAGAAAAATTATAATACTAGATTACGTAATATGAATAATAACAATAGATATAATAGGTTAGTAACGAATTATAATGTGAATGTAGAAAGATGAATAAAGTGTTCTATTGAGAAGCAGTGACCAGTGGAGTTCAAATGGGTTTGTTGTGAGATAGTAATTTACTGACGACAATAATGGATATGTCGCTCAATTTTGTGGATCGGTTGATGTTAGACATCAACATTGTTTGACACTGGCTCTGTGAAACTTATCAGCGTTCATCGATTGTTCTTCTAGGTTATTGGAGGTACTTATCTATTCTATTCGATAAAATAGTGTTTCAATCAACACTTCCTTGTAACCAAATAGAAATGATGATTATATTTCAAGCATAAACCCATCTCAATACATTCTTTCAATAGACCGAATGTTGAATTGCACTGTCTGTTTTATGGGTAAAATTGATTCCAATATCATTCTATTGATTGATTACATTATATTGTTTGTTAATCAACTATCGTTCTGTATTGTTTTCAAATTTTGATACTTGGTCAAATAAGTGAATCAAGTATAATATGTGTTCAAGTATTATGGACTATTGAATTGATTGATCCAGCATCTAGTACCCAATTGAGTATTTATAATTTCTTATGAACCTGTCATATCCGGATGAGATCAATGAATGATGACTGTTGGAATTCATTTATGAACCAATAATATGCGTATATTTCTATTGTATAATTGTTATGTAACTAATCTATTCATAATAATGTCCCTCTTATCATAAGCTTTATTTCAATCTATGAACTGTTATGATACGATTTACCGTACTTGAGTTATGCTCTCTATGAATTGCTATCTCCCTTATTCACATCCTTATTCGGCTAAATCTTGTACAAATGTTGTTTCCTATGTTATAGTACGATGTGATCTGTTTGGCTGATGTATATGAACCCAATATGTCTGAAATACATGATTCTAATCGCTGAGGCTAAGATTTGTGTTCTGGACTTAACTGGCTGGACTAAGCAGGAAACAGGATCGATAAAGTCTTTAGGCTGCTCGTACGTGTCTTATGCGTCATAGGTTCGGTCGGTAATTCACTGTTCTCTAATTGGTGGTATCATTATGTTATACATTAACAGGGTACACAGGCCATAAGTTATAACAGAACTCAATTTATTTTTCATTATCAGTCAGTACAGTCAGCTACAACGCAGAACCAGGTACATATATGCATCGGTCCAAGTTTGCTATACCTCATTAGCACAACAAGATGAACACCGAATTCATAAAAGTAGTCATTTCAAAGGTAGTAATATAACATTAATCTATTAGTAACTTACTTACCTAATTGTGTAGAATGCTTTATTATTTCTTCTTTTTCTTCACTCAATGATTTTTCTCGAATACTAATTATCTCATCATAGACTTTCATATGTTCTTCACTTAATTTATTCATACGTATTGAAGTAACACAATGACCACTACAAAATGCTTTGACAGTTATACGATCACAATCTAACGGCTTTATAAATCTGTTAAAGTAAATTGTTAATAATATGGTAATTAAAAACTGATATGAAATTAGAAAGATTATAATAAGATATGGATAGTGGTTAGCAATGTAATCTAGAGCGCACGCTTCATCCTATTTAGGACTTGTTAGCTAGCTGCACCTACATCCCAGAGTTGATGTTTACTCTAGGACCGTTCACTTCAAACACCATTGCGTCATGAACTTTGTTCATGAAATCCAGAGAGCATTTGAAGCGAGTCTCGGAGTGAATATCAACTATTTGATGTAGGTACATCTAGCTGACGAGTTGTAAACAGGATTAAATGCACGTCCCAAATCTCCCTGTTAGCAATCATACATTTCTGTTTATAATGCTATTGACCTAAAGCAATATTGAGGCAATTTGCACGAGCAGCACATATGCCAAAAAGAAGACTAATCAACTTTAGTTCTACATATCAACGATAAGATTTGAGAAACCAATACAAATAAATCCTATCAGAAAGATGTTTTATGTAGACTTGTTAAATTTCAAGATAGATTTCATGTTCTGGTAGACTTCAGATGGATGGAAACTAAGAAGTATTGGATAATAGTTACTTCTTAATGTGAAACTATTCATCAGTCAGTCAGTCAGCTGCAACGTAGGATCAGGCACATGTATGCATCAGTCCAAGTTGCCATATCGAATTAGCACAACAAGATGAACACCGGATTCATAGGATTGGTTAAGTTAATGGTGGTAATATATAAAAGAAAGATTGTATATAAGGAGATAGTACAGGAATAAAGAATTAGTTGGTAGAAAGAAAGATGTAAAGCGATTTCAATCTCTTAGTTTAAAGGAAGACGGAGAGTCTATACACCTACTCCATTATGATCGATTCTGAGTCATGTCACACAGAGTCTCCAACCATTGATTACGATAGGGATGTGGACCCTAACCAAGTAGTCTGAATCTACCAACATGGCTCAGACCAGAAGTTAGTGACTTCGTGGACTGATGCCACGTTTTGGTTTGACCACCCCTAACGTTCTTCCAACCACCCTGAACACTAGTGAGCATTGCGCGTCGTGGTAATCGGTGTTCAGGCATACGTAACACGTGGCCCAACCATGTCAGTCGATGAAGATTCATAACCTCATCAACTGATTTACTAGTGTGTATTTTACTACTACACTTAGGATCTAATTCGTGAAGTCCATGTTCCACTGAAGCAGTGATGTTTACATAAAATTGATTCCAAATCCGAAAGTTTAATTTTCTTAACTTTATGCAGTAATGTTATAATTAAAATATCATTCAATTTCACGTTATCAGGATACTAACTTAATTGTGGACGTGATTAATTACACTGCTGAAATACTAAGGATAATGATAACGACTACCATATTACACTAGTTTAGTATTACTAAATATTTTAAAGAACACTTAAGTTAATAGTTTCTCCGATTGTTAACCAAAAAATAACACCGTTGGATGCTAGTTCAGTGGTCTAGATGTTAAGCGTCCACCAGCCGGACCGACGCTCCTGGGTTCAATTCTCGTGTACAGGATAGTGGATGTGCGCTGCTGAGGAGTCTCACAATATGGTGAAACAGCCGTCCATTGCTTCCAGGTTTTCAATGGTGGTGGACTCATGATCTCAACAATTCAAATTATTACAATCTCTACCAAACCCGTCATTTGACCTAGTAACTACTGTTGTACGATTTGTTATTCTTAATTTATTCCAATCCTTTTATTTGAAGTCCAACCCCTACTCACAATCACATTTGGCTTGATCTTGTATAGTTGCTATTTTTCATTTTGATGGTGTGATGTGGTTTGGTTTGCTTATATATATTATTTATACAGTAAATGCTGAATATTATGTTCTGGACCCGATTAGCGTGGAAAGAAGTGCAGTTATTATATCGAGGATGAAAAAGTATACAGAGTCGTCGAAAGGCTACAAGTGATGGTCGGTTTTTCATTGGTTAGTTAAGAGACAAAACTGTGGAGATCGATATTTTTATTGGTGATTTTATCAAATGATATAAGACAGGATCATAACCCATAACAAATATCATTTGGATATTCACTTTTATTCACACAATAGAAGTCAGTCAGTCAAATACAACGTAGGACCAGGTACATATATGTATCTGTTCAAGTCGCCATACCTCATTAGTACAGCAAGACGAACACCGGATTCATTGGAGTAGTTAAGTCAATGATGTCAATATATAAAAGAAAGATTGCATATACGGATATAGTACAGGAAGAAATTTAGTTCGTAGACACAAAGATATGAAATAATTTTAGTCTCATAGTTTAAGGGAAGACAGAGAGTGTATACACCTACTCCATTGTGATCGATTCTGAGCCATGTCACTAATAGAGTCCAACCATAGTGATGTAGATCTCAACCAAGTAGTCTGGATCTACAAACATGGCTAAGACCAGAAGTACAATTTCTCTAATGTAATAAATGAGCTTAAAGCTGATCTGAGTAAGAATGTTTAGTTTATATCTTATCAGTCATTTTTATTCAACAAAAAAAGTAGTTATCAGTATACGGCTATGAAGATTATTAGGTTTTTGATTGAAATCATAAATCGATTGATGTTATACCACCATTGAAAACCTGTAAACTTTGGACGGCCGTTTCGTTCTATTGTGTGACTCATCATCGGTGCGCATCCACGATCCCGCTCGCCAAATTTAAACTCAGGGCCTTCAGTCTCGTGGGTGAACGCTTAACCTAACTATCATATAATGAATGATTGGAATTGTGTTATTATTCAAAGAAGACTGTTTTTACTAAATGGAATACATTTACATATACTATAATTGAATGTATACAGAATTCTTGTATGCCTATTCAATCTCATCTGGCTAACGTGGGCTATCTTATGTGAGGTTTTTTAGAACACATTTTTATACTACTTAAAAGAAAATTCAATAGTAACAATACAATAAAACGATATAAACTTTTTACATATAAAAACGTTACTCAAAATTCAATCTTTTTATTTTTTTTGTTTTTGTTTTTGTTTGACACACTTACACATTCTCTAATTTTTCTAATGCCAATCTATTTTTTTCAGTTTCCCAAGCTGTTTCTCTATAGACCAAATCAATTTCAGTTTCACGATCTTTGAGTAGGTCACATCGAATTTGTGGAACTAAATTGAACGCCTTGATTTGATTTGATTTGATTTTTCAGTTAGAATATAAAACAGGAATGCATAGGATTTATGTAAGTGTTTAAAATTAAAATCATTGAATCTTAACATAACATAACAATAATTAAAGGTAATAAACAGAATCATAAGGAATATATGGGACTCAAAACAACTGTCTGTCAACCAATATCAATGTCACAATCTTCAATACGAACAAACGGACAGTTCTACTGTACGGAGTTGAAACGTAGAGAAGTACTAAAACCATTATCAAGAAGGTAAAATTATTCATAAATAGTTGTCTACGCAAGATACTCAACATCCATTGGCCGGATACAATCAGCAACAGCCTACTGTGGGAGAGAACCAACCAGCTTCCAGCTGACGAGGAAAATAGGAAAAGACGATGGGAGTCGATAGGATGTACATTACGGAAATCACCAATCTGCATCAAGAGACAAGCACTAGCTTGAAATTATGAAGGGAAGCGTAAAAAGAGGAAGACCAAAGAATACATTACGTCGGGAAATTGAAGCAGATATGAAAAGGATGAATAACAACTGGAAAGAGCTGAGAAGGATTGCTCAGAACAGGGTTAGATGGAGAGTGGTGGTGGGCGGCCAATGCTCCTCAACGAGAGGTAATAGACGTGAGTAAGTAAGTAATAAATAGGAAACTGAAGATCTGTTGGAAGCCATTGAGGAATATTACATAATTCTAAAATTTGAGTCTACGGTATTAATTAGTATAGTTAGAAGTGAATCATGGTAACGTATGTAATTACAGATATAAAATAAATGTGTTTGAATATTTGAGTAATGACTACCTAATTATATTGAATATTCTTATGTACTTGATGAATGCTGACTTGTAAAATATCAAGGGTTTAAAGCTCCTTGTCGATTATCTTCAGCTGTTTATCATCGAATGTACTGTTTAACATGCAACTTCAAATGTCATCACTTACCAGTTCGTGTTGTAGACAATATAAAATTTTCATAAATTTTAAATCATAAACTGATCATAGTTAGACTACCATTGAAAGCCTGAAAGCATTGAACAACTAATTCGTCGTAATATGTAACTGCTCAGGGATGCGCATCCGCAATTCTGAATCTAGCAATCGAATTCAGGACCTCCTGTTTCACTTGTAAATGCTTAACCCCCAGGCCATTGAACAGACAGAAATCAGAGTTAAGGTACAACTTCAATCAATTCTCAATATTGAACAACTCTCATCCATGACTTGCAGTAGATTATTGTATCATATTCAACATGATTGAAATCCACTGATCATGACTTCTTACTAAAACCTAAGGAATTACACCTTGAAGCTGGTCACTGGTGAGCACAGTGTAATAGACGTTACGTAACTTTAGGATTTAAACCATGAAACTTACATACATACATACATTTATTTATATATTTGAACACATAAATATTGGTACAGGGGGGCACCAAATATATATGCGCCACACAAAACAATGATAATTTGAAGAGGAGAAAAGAGAAAAAAAAAGTAATGAACGTGGGGAATTAGAAAAAAAAAGAGAGAGAGAACAATGGTGGGGGAAACGGAAAGGTACAATCAGAAGAGATCTTTCAGTTAAGGAAGATACAACCACTTTTTATGAAGAAAGTAAAAGAAGGTTACAGCAGGATCGCCATTGGCTTCTATTCTAAGCCATATCTGATAACGTCTCTAGCCACTGCGTTACACCGTCTTTCGGACCCCAACCAGGGAGTCGTGAAGGACCAACAGAAGCTAGCCCTTTGCAGCTTTCTTTCATACCACGACACCAAATGGTGTACGTGGTTTCAGAAAAACTGCTTCAGTACTCATATTCGGTGGTAACATACAATTTTCAACTAGGCAGTGACTCGAGAACGTTTAGATAAAGCTGAATTTTTACCATAGGCGAGCTGCTGTCTGAGTCGAAACGGATACAAAATGTAGAAATAGGAGATAGTGAATAAATGACGTAGTAAATAATAATAATAACAATAATAGTACCAGTCATTTCAATGTTAGTCGGAGAGAAACGAATATTTTCCATAAGCAAATAGTTCATCATGGATTTAGTGTGTGGGTTGAGATACTACCCGGGTGCCCAAACCGAAGCAGGACATACATACATACATACATACATAAATATGTTACAGTTAAGCATTAAACATATATATATATATATATATTCATTCATTTATTTTACCTCCATTGGTAGACGAATTCTTTCTGGTAGTTGATTATTTTGTTCTTTTAATTTTTTTAAACGATCTTTTAATTCTGTTACTTTTTGTCTAGTTTGTAATTTTTTTTGTTCTGCTAATTCAATAAAACGATCCTGTTCTAATTTTTGTTTTGTTTCTTCAATACTATAAGCTTTTGGATCAATGATATCATCTACTTTAACAGTAGTATCCTGTAAAATATTTAAAAAAGTATTCAATCATGTATTTTTTTGTAATTGATCAATGTTCAAGTACACTATAATTATAATAATCAAATAAAAGTAGGATATGTTATAAACATTGATGGCTACCACTAGCCTTAATTTGTTACTGGGTTATAGTGGTGAATTCAAAAACTTTTTTGAGGATGAACAAGTCAACAATCAACATTAGAATACAAAAGTACAAATAGTTGATCTTAATGATCTAATGATATGGTCAGCGACATTCAATATGTTTTACAACATCTCATAAATACAGTGGTCATGAGTGCTGTTAGAGGTATGAGGGCGCTTATCACTTCCCAGTTGCCCACACCGTGGAAGGGTAGTCGAACGCGTCGACAACTTCACTTATCTTGGAAGTCTGATCAGCTCTAATGGGTTGATGTCTAACGAAATCTCAGCACGGATTCGAAAAGCTCGTTTGGCCTTTGCCAACTTACGTCATCTATGGCGTAGGGGAGATATCCATCTATCAATTAAGGGACGAGTATACTGCGCGACAGTTCGTTCCGTTCTACTATACGGCTACGAAACTTGGCCTTTAAGAGTAGAAGATATTCGTAAGTTACTAGTATTTGACCACAGGTGCCTTAGAAATATTGCTCGCATCTGCTGGGATCACCGGGTAAGTAATAGTGAGGTTAGACGCAGGGTATTAGGAAATGATGGTAAATCAGTTGATGAGGTTATGAATCTTCATCGACTGAGATTATTGGGCCACGTGCTGCGTATGCCTGAACACCGATTACCACGACGTGTAATGCTGACTAATATTGAAGATGGTTGGAAAAAACGGTAAGTGCGGCCGAACCAAAACGTGGCATCAGTCCGTTAAGTCGCTAACTTCTGGTCTGTGCCATGTTGGTAGATGCAGACTACTTGGTTGAGGTCCACGTGACTATCGTAACCGATGATTGAAGACTCTGTGTGACATGGGTCACAATCGATCATAATCAGTAGATTAATTGATCGAAATATATAGATGTGAATTTTTGTAGCCCTCGAATATCTGACTCCATTTAGATCGAATGATTGATTGTTATTGAAATATTACCTATCTTCAAGCCTTGGATATAACCATCAACTTAAATAACGCGATTAAATGAAGTCGAATATGAGAATAAGACTTAAATACGTACAATCGTTGATTCAGATAAATGAACAAAGAAACAAAACAAAGTGAAATGACGAACAATAGGGATGGCGTATGAGCGAGTCAACTCAATTTAATGAAGCGTAAATCGATATTTATAGTCAAACCAAAATCAAGTTACTGACATGTAATGAGTAACATAGATCATGCACATACATACCCCTTACAATAAAAACAGACAATGTTGACAAGCGAATAATTGATAAAGTCAAAATATTATGACTTAAGAAGAATGAATAGATTGATATGTCCAGAAACTACAATAAGCTAAGTGAGATTAACATAGCAACCAAGACTACAGAATAACTGATACATTCAGTAATAAAATATAGAACCCTTCAAATGGAGTTAGTTACTCACACTCAATAAATGACTTACTACAACTAGATATCAAACTGATTTGTTAAAACACATTAGGACAAAGTGATGAAATCATCAAAATCAGTAGTATGTTCATTGAAATAATAATAATAAATTAAGGCAATATCGTGGCATACACACAGTATACACATATGCCAATAAGAGACTAAACAATTTCAGTCCTAAACATCAATGGGAAGATTCAAATAAAAACAATATCAAGTGAATTAAACTTCACCCCACTGCACAAGCAAGTGACTACCAGGACTCAGTAGCTAAGTGAATAACGCGATGGCGTTTGAAGCGAACAGTACTGGGTTCGAGTCCCGGAGTGAACATCAACTCTGAGATGCAGGTACATCCAACTGACGAGTCACAAATAGGACGAAACGCGCGTCTTGGATTCCACTGCTAGCCACTATCCATCTTTGCTTAGAATGCTTGTAAACTAAGGCAATACCGAAGCAATACTCACAGTATGCCCATATGCCAATAAGACACTGATCAATGCAGTCTTAAACCTCAATGGGAAGATACAAGCCAAACAATATCAAGTGAATTAATCATAGTTATGGTTTAAAAAGATGATTGAACAAAGTGGAATATGATTTGAAAAGGACAGATATATTCAAGGAATCTAGGTTCTTTGAATCTAAATAAATAATAAGTTAAATTGATGTGAAAACTATACCAATTATAATGGAGATCATATTAGTCATCTTTGTTGTCATAGTGATGTAAAACATGGGACAGAAATGAACATAAATAATATTTGAAATTTTATTTACTAGGGACCACTTATATTTGTGAGAAAGAACAAACCAGCTTCCAGTTGAAGAGGAAATCAGGAAAAGGCGATGGAAGTAGATATGACACACCGCATTACGGAAATCATCAAACTGAGTCATGAGATAAGCTTTAACTTGAAATCGTGAATGGAAACGGCAAAGAGGAATGCCGAAGAACATATTCCATCGAGAATTGGAAGCAGACATGAAAAGGATGAATAGCAACTGGAACCAACTGGAAAGAATTGCTTTCGACGGGGTTGGATGGAGAGTGCTGGTTGGCGGTAAATGTCCCTCCACGAGGGGTAGCAGGCGTAAGTTAGTAAGTAATTGTTAGGCTATAAATATAAGCTAAAATAACAACTGAATTTAAGCCATCCATTTGGCTAAATAGAGTTTTGGCATTATAGTGGATATCAGTTCGTGATGAATACCCCCTAAATCTAATTCCTAATCTTAACCATCAACTAAAAATCATGATGCTTATTCTTCACATTTGTTTATAACCCTCATTTAGCCCTAGTAAGAAAGTGGACATTCTCAAAGTTACATTCAGTCAGTCAGTCAGTAACAACGTGGAACTTCGTACGTATGTACATCAGTTCGAGTTGCCATACCACATTAGCACAGAGATTCAGTTATCGATTCAAATCCCGTAGTGGAAGAGGTTGTGATAGGGAACATTAGGGTTTGATGATGTTATTTAAGAAGTATAATCCAGTGAAATAGATTTGAAAAGAAAACAAAGGACATAAAGAATACAGAAGATTAGAGTTTGAGAGAACACAGAGAGTGGATGCACCTGTGCCATTGCAAATGATTTTGAGCCATGTCATTCAAGATCTCTAACCATCGGTTGCTATCATCTCGCGGTCCCCAACCAATTAGTCTACATCTACTAACATGGCTCAGTCCACTTGTCAGTGACTTCATGAATTTGTTCCATATTTTGGTCTGGCCACCCCTAGCTTTCTTCCAATCTACTCCTACACCAGAAAACATCACATTAGTGTTTCTCAAAGGTCGTTCATAAATGATAGTCTCACCGCTGTTTAACACCAGTATGTGATTTATCAGACTATATAGATTCTCTATGAAAATATAATTATTTCAATTATGGAATATATATTGTTTTGAATTATTATTCAATTCATAAACTAACTTACAAATGTAGATGGAATTCGTGCACGATACTCTTTAATTTCTTTATCTTGCATTTCTTCTGACATAAGTTCACAGACAAAAAGTGTTCCATCACTTCCAGCGCTTAAAACAAATCTTTCAATAGAAATAGAATATACATAGATAGATAACTATTAGGCAAAATAAATTATTGTTTATACGTGATTAATCTCTAATGGGTATATTTACAATAAAAGATCTAGTCTGGACAATACATCAGTGATGGAATATGAACTTCCATAAGAAACAGTTTAATTACTTATTTACTTACGCCTGTTACCCTTTATGGAGGAGCATAAGCCTTCAACAAGCACTCTCCATCCAACCCTGTCGAAAACAATCCTTTCCTGTTGGTTCCAGTTGCTATTCATCCTTTTCATGTCTGCTTCCAATTCTCGATGGAATGTGTTCTTCGGCATTCCTCTTTGCCGTCTCTATTCTCGATTCCAAGTTGGGACTTGTCTCATAATGCAATTTGATGATTTCCGTAATGCGGTGTGTCATATCTACTTTCAACGTCTTTTGCTAATTTCCTCTGCAACTGGAATGTGGATTGTTTTCTCTCATAGTAGGCTGTTGCGGATAGTATCCGGTCAACGGATATTGTGTATCTTGCGTAGACAATCGTTTATAAACATTTGTATCTTTTTGATGATGGTTGTGGTAGTTCTCCATGTTTAGCTAAATACAGTAGAACTGTTTTTGACATTCGTATTAAAGATTGTGACTTTGATATTGATTGACAGACAGTTGTTTTGAGTTTCATATGTTCTTCAATTGTATAAATGCAACCCTTGCTTTGCCAATGCTCGCCTTTATGTTTGCATCGTATCCTCGATGTTCATCGGTGATGCTTTCTAGGTATGTGAAAAATCCCACATTTTCCAGAGTTTCTCCATCAAGTGTGATTGGGTTGGTGTTCTCCGTGCTGTATTTGAAGATCTTGCGTATGTTGTGTGGCACACTGATGCAGTGGCTAAACTGTTTAATAGCTATTTAAAATCTTTGTTGATTTAACTGGCTAAAAGCATATAATCCAGCATTTATGACAATTTCCTGGCACTTTATTGCTCTTATATGATACTTTTATCTATCTAGAAGTAAGTCCAGAAACTTAGGACAATGAAAATGAATAACAGAAAACCAATTAATGAAAAAATATTATATCTTGATGGGATTTAAGAACTGGAACATACTTTGGATTGATAACCTACCTCATAGCTGGAATCGAAGAAAGAATTGGTTTCATGTGTGCTTGTTATTTTATTTGTTTGAACACATATGTATTGGTACAAAGGGGCGTCGAATACACATGCGCCACACAAGTCATTTGATTTATGTGAGGGCTGGGATACTGCCTGGGTGACTAAAACGAAACAGGTGGTTTTCTTATGGGGACACACCCAGAGCCTTCGACCTAAAGGTCTGATCCACAAGGCAGTGGAGTAACGTCAGGAGATTCAGTCACATGGTAGTCAGTGACCAATGAGTGGTTTATACGCGATTTGTTCCCTTAGGATATTGGAACCCATATGACCATTGGTTTGGAATCAGGGTTTTTTAACTCCTCTAGATGGACCAACCCGGTTAAAGCGCTTGACATTTGCTTTTAGTCCGTTATGTTTCATAAATAACAGTGGTTGTTTGCACGTGGCTATTTGAGAGGATTTCGAGAGAGAGATCTGCCTCTTTTCACTCTCGACCATACCAGAGCATTTAAATCACAACTTTCAACCCGTTTGTTATTCATTGTTAATTTCATAACACTGTACTAATGTAGTATAAACAAATGGACATTTGTATCACATTCAAAGTTAATCATGGATAATGAGTAACTAATTACAAAAAAATTTTTTTTTCACTATAATAATTTCAAAAACTGAGATCATGAGTCAATTAAAGCTAGACAACCATGGAAAATCTGGAAAAGCTGGACGGCCGTTTCGTCATATTGTGGGACTCCTCAGCAGTGCGCATCCGCGACCCCGCCCCGCGGGGTTCGAACCCAGGACCTATCAGTCTCGCTCTAGGCGCTTAACCAACTAAGCCACTGAGCCAGCATCCAATGGTGTTAATGTCTAGCTTCAACTAATCCACAAAATTGAGCGACACATCCACCATTGTCTTCAATGAGTTACTATCTCACAACAGATTCGATTAAACTCCACTGGTCACTGCTTCTCACTAGAACCTCAGGATATAACTCTTGAAGCCAGTTACTAGTGAGCATATGTTGATTAGTATCAGAAGGGGTTTTGTGGAAATTGTAGTAATTCCAATAGTTGAGATCATGAGTGAATTGAAGCTAGACCACCATGGAAAACCTGGAAGAACTCGACGGCCGTTTCGTCATATTGTGGGACTCCTCAGCATTGCGCATCCACGACCCCGCCCCGCGGAACTATAATAATAATAAAGTAGTAGTAGTAGGCAGAGGAAGTAGAACAAGAAGAAGAGGAGGAAGACGTAGAAGTAGACGTCGAAGTAGTAGCAGTTGTAGTAGTAGTAGTAGTAGTAGAAGAAGAAGAAGAAGAAGAAGATGAAGAATATAATTACATCAAAGACAACATACTTTTCATCATATGTAAGCGCTATACGATTAACACGTCCACGTTGATTATCATGTAATCGATACATCCAATATCCTTTAAATGTTGTTAAATCAAATGGTTTCTCTAATAATTTTACACATATTATACCATCATTAAAACCAATTAATAAACGATAACCAGAATTAGTAAATGTCCAATATGTAATAGATGTATCCTTTTTATTGAATATACATATTGCATTATTTGGTTCCGTTGCATGAATTCGATCGAATAATGTAGGATTATTATTATTATTATTATTATTATTATTATTATTATTATTATTATTATTATTATTATTATTATTATTATTATTATTAGGTGGATCAATCATTTCTAGATCTTCTCTTTTCTCATTGGTTACAACATTGGTAACTATTTCATTGAATTGATTTTGTTTTTCATTTGTATCATTAATAGGTAATAATGGACCGCCTAATTCACATTTATATAAATATCCTTTATCGAAATTATCCTAAAATTGTGTAAAAAAAATCATTAATTAATTGATTGATTATTGATTTATAAACATAAAACTTCAAAAATGTAATATCTTCTTTCGAAAATATATATATCACATAGGTAGAACGATGATTTATAGATGATCTTTGAGTGATGCTAATGTGACCCTTAAATGACTTGGTACGGCTGAGATTGGGGAGAGTCAACTCTCTCTCTCTCTCTCTCTCTTTCTCTCTCTTGAAATGCTTTCACATGGACACGTGCATGCAACCACTAACAGGGAAGTCCTACTCACTGCCTTCTGATGCCACGAATGTTGTTTGCGAAATGGAGAGGACAAATAGAAAATGTACGTCCATTTAATCGGGTTGGTGGATACGAGAGATTCACCTAGGAGAGTTGGAAAATCCTGATTCAAAACCAATGGTGCACATAGACTCCAGGATCCTATAGGAACAAATGGCATATGAATCTATTGTTGGTCACCGTCTACCATGTGACTGCATCTTGTGACATTGCTCTATTGCCTTATGGATTAGACCTTTAGATCAAAGGCTCCGGGTGTGGCCACCTAATAAAACCAATTGCTTCGTTTTGGTCAGTCAGTCAGCTGCAACGTAGGACCAGGCACGTATATGCATCGGTCCAAGTTGCCATACAGCATTAGCACAACAAGATGAACACCGGATTCATAGAAGTAGTTAATTCAGTGGTGGTAATATATAGAAGAAAGATTGCATATAAGGAGATAGTGCAGGAAGATAGAATTAGTTCGTAGAAAGAAAGATTTGAAGTGATTTTAATCTCTTAGTTTAAAAGAAGACAGAGACTGTATACACCGACGCCATTGTGATCGATTCTGAACCATGTCACACAGTCTCCAACCATTGGTTACGATAGTCACACGGACTCCAACCAAGTAGTCTGCATCTACCAACATGGCTCAGACCAGAAGTTAGTGACTTCAAGCACTGATGCCACGTTTTGGTTTGACCACCCCTAACTTTCTTCCAATCATCCCTAACACCGGTTACCATTGCGCGTCGCGGTAATCGGTGTTCAGGCATACGCAGCACGTGACCCAACCATCTCAGTCGATGAAGGTTCATAACCTCATCAACTGATTTACCATCATTTCCTAATACCCTGCGTCTAACCTCACTATTACTTACCCGGTGATCCCAGCAGATGCGAGCAATATTTCTAAGGCATCTGTGGTCAAATACTAGTAACTTACGAATATCGTTTTGGTCACCCGGGCAGTATTCCAGCCCTCAAACAAATCGAATAATTTATGTGGCATATATCTATTTAGTGCCTCCTTGTATCAATGTTTATTTGTTTGTATAAATAAATAAAAGAGACAATTGACCTACTCTTAAGTGTCAAAAAAAGAATGAATTGAGGAATTAAGGTTTTCATCATTCATTGATATCAGCTATAATCCTAAAATGTCGTTTAACTATGTGGATGTTGTATTCGACTTTCTTTTATCCGCTTTCTTATTATATGGAGTTGTTTACAGAACATGTACGACATATGTAAGTTGTATATTTTCTTTATAGAACTAACAATTTGATCATACTACCAGTCAAATTGTGAGAATGTAACATTTATATACAAAAAACAAACTTACTAGAGATATCCAAAATTGATTTGGTTCATTTCGATCCAAACATCCATAAAGTAATGGGGATGGATTTGATGGATAAGAAGGTGTCCAATCAGCAATTTCAGATAGTACACCTTGATAAATAATCTCCTCAGCTAAAAGGAATATAATAAATATATAATATCAGAAGGGGTTTTGAAGAGATTTTGAGAATATTCAATAGTTGAAATCGGGCGTCAGTTGAAGCTAGACTACCATGGAAAACCTGGAAGCACTGGATAGTCGTTTCGTTCATGTCTATTGTGAGACTGTAATTCACTGAAGACAATGGTGTACGGTGGCGCAATTTCGCGGATTAGTTAAAGTTAAACATTAACACCGTTAGATAACGGCCGGCTCAGTGGTCTAATGGTTAAGCTCACGCGTGTGGGAGTGATAGGTCCTGAGTTCGAATCTCGCGGGGGGGTGAGATCGTGGATGCATATTGCTGAGGAGTCCCATACTAGGACGAAACGGTAGTCCAGTTCTTCCAGGTTTTCCATGGTGGTCTAGCTTCAACTTAAGATGATCCTATTACCATCAATACAAAATTGATCATAATTGTTATATCTAGAGGTTAGATTCTTATTAGATCGCGTATAACTTGAACAACTCGAATGCTAGAACCCACCAAGTCACAAATGAAAAGACAGAAGACAAGCGAAAGAAATGCTGTCCCAAATAGTGTCAATTATGGTACAAAACTGTCAGGTATTTATAGTTTTTTTTTTAGTAAAAATGAAATCATCATCATAGTCCTCCAATCCGCATACAAGGGAATATTAGTATTTGTTCAATAGGGAAGTTACGCGTCAAGATTCCGGAATGTTTTTCCAAAATATGATTCAATTGAATATCTTCGGATCTTTCTGAGCTTCTTAGAGCTTCCTCGAGCTCACCCGTGGGCCGTCCTCACAATAATTCGTTTGGAATTTGATAAGACCATACATTACAGTAATCACTAAACTGAATTACGAGGCAAGCCCCAACTTGGAATCCTGAAGGGAAACCGAAAAGAAGACCAAAGAACACACTGACAAGTCCTAAATAGACCGAAACGCGCGTTCTGGATTCCAGTGCTAGCCACTATTCATTTTTACAAATAATAACTGTTTATGATTACAGTTGACCAGTCTCTTATTGACAATATGTGAGTCTTGTGAGGATTGTCTCGATATTTTGTCTTTAGTAAAAGGTATTTTTAAGGAGAGATGGATGATCACTAGTAGTGGAATACAGGAGTCGTGTCTCGTCCTATTTGGGACTCGTTATCTGGATCTGACTGCATCCTAGAGTTGATGTTCACTCCATGACTTTACTGCTAGCCATCATCCATCTCTGCTTATTAATAAATAGTGTAATTAACTTACGAAAGGAAAAAAATAAGGAAGATATGGAAATCAATTGTGCAAGCAGAAGCAGAAGGCAAAGAATGGATGCACCTGTGCAATTGGCAACGATTTCCAGCCATGATTTTTGAAGTCTCTAACCATTGGCTACGATAATCATCCGACCACAAGCAGATTGTCTACCCTCATTAACATAGATTAGTCCAACTATTCATGACTTCATGGACTGATACTATATTTTTGGTTTGGCCGCTCCTAACTTTCATCTGGCCTACTCCTCTACACCAGAATACATTACCAGTCGAGATAAATGGTAGTTGGACATACGTAACGCCTATCCTACCTACCTCAATTGGAGAAGATTTACTAGTTCACCAGTAGAATTCCCATCCTTACTTCTATTCAGATATAAAGTTGTTATTATTGTGCTGTGTTCCATTGTATTCTATATTTTAATATTACTATTCACTCAACATCTTTAATAATCTGTGATAACTCAAATGAAGTTAGACTAAGGTCAATTGAAAATATCGAACAGAAAAAGTGTTAATAATATTAACTTGGATGGAATTCATCAATCTACATCAACTTCATTGACTACGAGAAAGCATTTGATAGAGTAGACAGGACAACACTATGGAGGCTTCTTCAACACGGCGGCATGCCTGAGAAGATAGTCAATATCATACAGAATTCCTGTGATGGACTAAACTGCAAATTCGTACATGGAGCACAGCTTACAAACCTGTTTAAAGTAAAGATCGGTGTTAGGCAAGGTTGCTTACTCTTAACCTTTCTCTTTCTCCTGGTGATCAACTAGATCATGAAGACGTCAACATCTGAGGGGGGACATGGGATACAATGGACAGCTAAGATGCAGTTGGATGATCTAAACATCACAGACGATCTGGCTCTTCTATCGCACATGGAACGATAAATTCAGAAGACAATCAGTGTATCAGCAGCCTCAGCAGCAGTAGGTCTGAACATATACAAAGGGAAAAGCAAGATTCTCGAATACAACACAGCATGCACTAATAAAATCACACTTGACGGACAAGCTTTGGAGGATGTAAAAGCTTTTACATATCTGGGCAGTATCATTGATGAGCACGATGGATGTGATGTAGATGTGAAGGCGCAGATTAGCAAAGCAAGAGCAGCATATTTACAACTGAAGAATATCTGGAACTCAAAACAATTGTCAACCAACACCAAAGTCAGAATTTTTAATATAAAACCTGGAAAACTACGAAATCCATCATCTAAAAGATACAAGTGTTTATTAACAGTTGTCTACGCAAAATTTCCACTGGACTATACTGCTTTAATAACATCATCAAACCTTAATGTCCCCTATCTCTACTTATACTTTCAGTACCTCTACCACTATGGGGTTTGAATCGATAACTGAATCTCTGTGCTAATGTGGTATGGCAACTCGAACTGATGTACGTACGTACGAAGTTCCACGTTGTTACTGACTGACTCTACGCAAAATACTTCAGATCCGTTGACCGGACACTATTAGCAACAACCTACTATGGGAGAGAACAAATCACATCCCAATGGAGGAAGAAATCAGGAAGAAGTGCTGGAAGTGGATAGAACACACATTGATGAAATCACCGAATTGCATCACAAGATAAGCGCTCATATGGAATCCTTAATGCCAAATGAGTAGCAGAAGACCAAAGAACACATTACACCAAGTAATGGAGACAGATATGAGAAAAATGACCAATAATTGAATAGAACTAGAAAGAAACACTTAGAATAGAGTATGTATTGAAGAATGCTAATCAATAGCCTATACTCTAATCAATGTAACATTGATAAATATTCCTAGAAAAATAGATAAGTAATCTTATAATTCAATAATTACCATGATCAAATTTTTGTTTATCTTCATTAGTTTCCGATTGTAATCTTGCATTTATATGTTGAATTTCTTGTCTATTTTGTTTTTCTATTTCATATTGAGCTAATTTATTTACAGTATATTCATCATGATCTAAACGTGATCTAATACTTATGAATTGATATGATCTAGTTATATGAATATTAGTTAATGCAAATGTTTTAGAATGATCATATTTTTCATTCTCTGATGGACATTGTACCTAAAAGTAAACAGATCAATTTGATAATAATTAAATGTATCAATATGATTATTAAGATGAATTGTATCATTAACAGACAAAGGTGAGATTATGAGTTACAAATGAATTAATCAAATGAAAGACAACATGTCATTTATTTGGATACATAGTGTTTAGGAATTCTAGTTGATGTCAGTTCGATGACGAGACTATATATGTTATAGATGAATCAATCAGATTTAAATTATCAGAAGGGGTTTTGTGGAGATTGTAGTAATTTCAATGATTAATATTATGAGTCAGTTGAAGCTAGACCACCATGGAAAACCTGGAAGCACTGAACGGCCGTCTCGTCCTGTTGTAGGACTCCTTCGTGGCAGTGTGCATCCACGACCTCGCCCCCTGCGAGATTCGAACCTAGGACCTACTGGCTTCGCGCGCGAGCACTTAACCACTAGACTGGCTTCAAGAGGTATATCCTGGAGTTCTAATGAGAAGTAGTGACCAGTGGAGTTCAACCAGGTCTGTTGTGGGATAGTAACTCACTGAAGACAATGGTGGATGTGTCGCTCAATTTCGTGGATTAGTTGAAGTTAGACATTAACACCGTTGGATGCCGGCTCAGTGGTCTAGTGGTTAAGTGCTCGCGCGCGAAGCCAGTAGGTCCTGGGTTGGAATCTCGCAGGGGGCGAGGTCGTGGGTGCGCACTGCTGAGGAGTCCCATAATAGGACGAAACGGCCGTCCAGTGCTTCCAGGTTTTTTATGGTTGTTTAGCTTCAATTGAATTATAATCTCAACTATTGATATATGGAAGTATTGTTACTTCATTAGTTTTTCAAAAATAATTTGTCTATTATATTCGTCCAAATTTACAGTTATATAATATACCCTTTTAGGCCATGGTAATTTTACATTGGTTTTCAGAAGATTTGAACACCATCCAAATGTTCACATGACAACCCAAACAGTACAGCTCAATCCCGTTTAACAGGAGAGTCAGACATTGTCTAGGCTTAACCTGAATAGTATAGCTCAATCCTGTTTCACATGAGAGCCAAAAAACCTAATAGCTAATCTAAAAAGTCACAACTCCTCTTTTGATTTATAATTCATGTAATGAAGTCAATAAACTAAAAGAAAAATGATCCCCTTTCATCAAGGGACAAAAAGCTGTGTAACAAAGACAAATTATTACAGGTCATTATCTTCATCTATCTGATACTAATAAAATCTACCAAAGGATGTAATTTGACTTCACAGATCATTATGATCTCATACATTTCATGAATACAGAGATAACCCGAGAGATTAGCCTGTACGAACACTTTGTAAAGTATATTGAAAACATCTTATGGATTAAGCCATAATAACAGTAAACCTATCAAGAATCAACTAACAACTAAGATTGATAAACTATGTAACTAGTGTTAAGTGAATTGTTAACATTCACAGTTACAAAATAACAACCCAATAACTTCCTTTCAAGATTTAAAAAAAAATAATCATAATCACCGTGGTGTAACTTGTATCCCATAGTAACTAGTCATCTATTTGTATTCCTTCTATTCACTTTTAATCGTTTGAAAGAAATTTGATTTCTTATAAAATAATGATTATGTTATATCCTAGTAAGGATTCAATGATGGGTAACTTCTGAGAACAATTCATGAACTAATGCTGTACAACATATATTCTTATTGTATAATTATTCAGTAACTAGATGATGTATAGTCATGTTCCTCTTATTATAAGCTTGAATTTAACTTATAGACTATAATGATACCATTTACTATTCTTAAACTATACTGAAACTTTGCCTGCAGTCCCCTCTGGGGTTACTGCCGGTCCCAAGCACGGATAAATGAGGAGGGTTGGGCATGAGGTTAGTGACCCCATCCCGTAGAAAACTAACTCGCTAAAACAAAAAAGCTAACCAGAAAAAGACCAAAGCATACATTACACTGAGAAATGGAGAGAGAGACATGAGAAAAATGAACAAAAAATTGGACAAAACTGGAAAGCAAGGCCCTGGGCAGAGTGGATTAGAGAATTCTGGTCATCAGCCTATACTCCATTAGAAGTAACAGGCGTAAGTTAATAAGTAAGTAAATTATACTCAGTTTATTAATTACTGTCTCCTTCAATCACAGCCACTTTTATGGCTTGATCATGTATGAATGTTAATTCCTATTTTATGATGTGATATGGTCTGTTTAGTTGGCATATAAATCAAGTATACTTGAAATAAATGATTCGCATAGTGGGATCTGTGAATAGGTGTTCTATGGAGCCAACTGATAGGGGACCAATAATCACGTTAGGCTATTCATATCGGTTAAATGTCATTGGTTTGGCATAGTATTAAGATTATATTTATTTATTTATTATTTATTTATTTTAACACATAAGTATAGGTACTGGGAGGCACCAAATACATATGCGCCACACAAATCTCAATTGATTTGTGTGAGGGCTGTGATACTGCTCGGGTGCCCAAACCAAAGCAGGTGGTTTTCTTAGGGGGCCACACCCCGAGCCTTCGACCTGAACGTCTGACCCACAAGGCAGTGGAGCATCGTAAGGAGATGCAGTCCCATGGTAGCCGGTGACCAACGATTGGTTCATACGCCATTTGTTCCCTCAGGATACTGGAGCTAGCCCATGTGCACCATTGATTTGCGATCCGGTTATAGCGCCGGAGATTCGCTTTTCGTCCTCTCATTTTTGTAAACAACACCCCCGCCACGAGAAGGCAGTGAGTAGGAGTATTAAGATTGAATAAGACGTATCATGATTGATCAATAAATCACATAGTAACTAAGTGAAATATATATATATATATATAATTTATCATTAAACTTACAGTTAATACACAACCATTTTCTAAATAAACAATAATTTCATTTATTTCTTTATTATTATTCATAGAAAACCATTCTAATCTAACAACTTTACCATAAACATGAATAAAACCAATTGGTGATAAATGAGTAGTATGTACATGAAAAAAGAAAATAGTTTCATCTTTACTCTAAAAAGAGAAGAAAAAAAAAATTAAAAACCAAGCCAAATCAATAATGTCAAACAGATTACTATTTGTATAGTGAAAATCATAAGTTGATCTAAATTAGACTATCATTTGAAATCTGAAAGTATTAGATGGCTGTTTCGGTTTGGAATGGGACTGTTCAACAGTATGTATCCACGATTTTGACGTCTAGTGCTTACAGGCCTTCAGTGGTGGTCTAGCTTAGATTCATAAATCCCTATTCTGATAATAATCATATGACTAGCTTCAAGATGTAACTCCTGAAGTTCCATTGAGAAGCCGTGACCCGGGTAGCCCAATCCGTGCCGAGTATGAGACGAATATCTATTGCAGTCAATGAATGAAGGATTGTGAAATATTGTGGATTGATTGAAGTTAGGTATTGATACCGTTGGGTGCCGTTGTAGTGGTATAGAGATTTGGAGTTCGAGCATGAAACTGGAGTTTCTTTGTTTGAGGACTAAACGGTCATCCAGTGCTTCCAAGCTTTCAATCAATTTCAAAACTGATAACTATAAAATAAAGTGTTTTTCTCAAAAATTTTCGATTATTTGCCCCGTACTGTAAAATTTATTTTAGATGTGCATTTTTATTCACTGTTAAGTTATTTATTCATGAACGTTTAGACTTCAACAATTTGTTAGAATACAAAAACCATACCCCTAAATGCCCTGGTGTGGCTGACACTGAAGAGAGGCGGCTCTCCTTCTCGAAATGCTCTCAAATAGCCACGTGCAAATAACCACTTACAGGGAAGTCCTATTCACTGCTTTATCGCACCACGGATGTTTTCTACAAAATTCAGAGGACGAAAAGCGAATATCCGGCACTTCAACCGGGTTGGTGGATATGTAGACTTCACTAACGGGAGTTGAAAAACCCTAATTCAAAGCCAGTGGTGCACATGGTCTCCAAGATCCTGAGGGAACAAATAGTGTATAAACCAATTATCGGTCACTGGCTACTATAGGACTGCATTTCCTGACGTTGTTCCACTGCCTTGTGGTTTAGACCGTTAGGTCAAAAGCTCCGGCTGTGTCTTTTTTAGAAAACCACCTGCTTCGATTTAAACACTCGAAAAGTATCACTACCGTCACACAAATCGAATGATGTATGTGGCGCACATCTATTTGGTGCCTTCTTGTACCAATGTTTAAGTATATAAATCAATCAATCAATAAATAATAAAAACCATACGTTCAATACGTTCATTTTCAAATGATCCATCAATTGTCTAAAAACTTCATTTGTTCCTTCATTTCTAATAACAATTACTCATTATTCTTATACTCTTCAATTCAATCTTCACAACTTTCCTGATTGATGTTATATACTACTTATATCGATATAAGTAGCATACACTACAGATTCTATTCTTTTTGTTGAAATTTCCATAAAACATTCTACTATTAAGTATATACATAAAATAAATACACTATTAAACAGAACTATTTTAAATATTTACTCCAGTAATAAATAATTTCCCTGATGGACTATAAATCATTGATGTAATTGCTAATGTATGCGGTTTAAGTACTTGTCCAAGATCTATTAAAGCATATTGTTGTTTTGTACGTTTTGTTAATTCTTCAGGGTTTTCACCAAATTTTATTAAACGTAATACACCATCTTGATGACCAACAATTAAAATTTTCCCTTTAGGATCAACCTGATTTAGGTATGAATGAAAGAAGATTTTAGAAAAAAAAACAACACAAAAATAATTTATAAATGAACCAATCAGGTTTAAGAATAATAGATCTCAAATTTTGGCGCGAAAATTCATTCATCTCTTTGGATAAATAACACTGTTGGGTGCTAGCTCAGTGGTCTAGTTGGTTAAGCGTCTGGCGTGATACTGGGTTTGAATCTCATGGGGGAGGGGGCGGGATCGTGGATGCGCACTGCTGAGGAGTCCCATAGTAGGACGAAAAGGCCGTCCAGTGCTTCCAGGTTTTTCATGGTGGTCTAGCTTCAATTGACTCATGATTTCAACTATTGAAATAGAGTTTTCACATAATATATTCAATATTCAATTCGTGAGATAAACCCAAAATCTAATTCCTTACACATTGGTTTATAACCCTCATTTGGTTCTAGTTATTAGTAGGTGAATACTCTCAAGGTCACTTTAGCGTCTCTCAAAGGTCATCCATGGATTAAAGTTTCATCTATTTTCATTTATCAATTTACCTTATCGGTAATTAACCGTTAGAAAACTGAATTCAAACTTATTTCAAAGATGGATATAAGTTTTGTAAACATGTACCATGTTGGGGTAGATTGTTTCACAGAAATTGATGTGAGTAGAAAAAGCATATGTGATCAGACAGCTCAATTAATAATTCAAGTTTAGAAGGATTTATGTTTCCATTCTATTCCCGTCGCTAAATGATATGCTTGAATGCTATTACGAGTTCACCTTACTCGGTAAACGGAACGAAGGTGACACCATAGGCTATTCTAATCCGTTGTCTCCATCCCCGTTAACTAGATCAAGAAGTCTTGATGAGGCTTAGAGAAAGTATTCTACAAGCACTCAGAAAACACGAGGTCACTAAGCACACAAATCAAGCTTATTTATACAATGATAGAAACGCCCATCGGAGAGCTATAAAATAGCGTACTAAAACAATGACAGTCAAGGATTTCTGAATAAGAACTGTAAGTTGTAGATCAATTAAGCGTCTCTTGGCTGGAAAACATAAAATTCAAATTTTCAGAATAAAATTACAAATAAGAACCTTTTTCCAAGTGAGTTCTGGGGATCTAACGTCCTCAACATGGTCAAACAGCATTGGGTAGCTATTCTAGTCGATTTTTTTAGAACTTTGAGACAATTCACAATTATGATTCACTAATTAGATAAAATCAAGTATTATGTAGCAGATGTAAAAGTGAGGATTGGCAATGAAAGGACCGCATTTCTACAATTCAAGAACATATAGAATTCAAAACAACTGTATATCAACCTATACCAAAGTCACAATCTTTAATATGAACGTCAAGACAATTCTACTGTATTTAGATAAACATGGAGAACTACCACAACCATCATCAAGAAGGTACAAATATTTGTAAACAGTTGTTTATGCAAGATACTCAATATCCGTTGACCGGATACCATTAGCAACAGTCTACTTAGAGAGAGAACAATCCACCTTCCAGTTGAAGAAGAAATTAAGAAAAGACGATGGAAATGGATGGGACATATATTACGCAAATCATCAAACGGCACCACGAGGCAAGCTCTAACTTGGAATCGGGAAGGGAAACCGAAAAGAGGAAGGACAAAGAACACACTGCATCAAGTATTGGAAGCAGACATGAAAAGAATGAATAACCACTGAAAAGAGTTGGGAAGGATTGCTTGGTATAGGGTTGGATGGAGAGTGCTGGTTGGCGGCTTATCCTCCTCCATGAGGGGTAACTGGCGTGTGTAAGTAAGTAAGTGTTATGTACTCATGACATCAATTGAGATCGTTTTCACCTTTAACTTCTATCAGTTTGTGACATCACGCGACCATTATCATGTCATTCAATCATTTAGTCAGTAATATTAAATGTGTGTTAGCCTAAGTTCGTAAATCATTTCAGCAGAACGAGGAAAAATAAATAACACTATTACCGTAGACGTCACAATAATAGTGTTAGTAATGTTAATGAGAAAGATTAAACATTAAAAATTTAGTTTGAGGAAGCTGAATACAAAGATGTATATATATGAAGTTTTGCTGACCGTTGTTGCTACCTTGACGTGGTGGTCGGGCTTGCCTATCGTGATGAAGCAACTGAGCTATACTGGCTGGAACAACCGTTCCTCAAGGTCCTACCATGCCAGACAGGTCGGTTGAAGAGTGGTAAGTCTAAAAGCAACAAAAGCAAGGTCCGAAGGCGAAGTCGTACTGCTGACTGTACAGAGGTGTGACAGCAGTAAGGTGTTTCCTTCGGACAACCAGCATGACAGCGATGCTGCCTTCCCAAAAGGAGGGGAGGGGTTAGAAAAGGTCGACCCTAAAAATGCCCACCTCGCCTTATCCCACGGATATCCGTCTCCGGCGGTAAGGTCTCAACAAGTACGGAGCTAACACAAAAATTACTCATAAAAAGGTCGTGTGTGACCGACCACAAGCAGCTGTCCCTTGGGCACTGCGGTCACGCTCTCAGGTCACTATGACCACCTCTAATCCGATTTCCTTTTCAGGTACCTCCAGCAGAACCCTTCCACGGTGTGGGCAACCGGGAAGTGATAACCGCCCTCATACCTCTAACAGCACTCAAGACCACTGTATTCATAATCAATCCACTACTGAAATTAAAGATACAGAACCAAATAAAGAGTGAATGTGTCTGCTAAAAGACAATCGATTCGCAATAGTATCACCCAACTCCAACAATTGATCCTGGTTATCACTTGTCAAGCAGCCTGAATTTAGCAACACACCTCCAACTAACTGTCAATGATTTCATAGAGGGATGCAACGTTTTGGTTTTACCACTATTAGCTTGTATATAACTTATTTCTACTTTTGCAAATATTTTTTATCGAGGCAGAATGTGGTTGTTTACACACAACACACCTCTCAATCTTATTGATCAAAGGGTATTCACAAAATCATTTAAAGACTAGCTACCTTTGTATTGTGTCCTACACCTAACCTCAACTTCACTCTCTCAGTAGCTCCACGATACTCAATAAATGTTGAGAAAGCACCTATGATTAAAAATCAATCACACTGACTTCACAACCACAGAGTAGTAAATGAAAGACAGTTGCGTAGTGCAGTTTTCTGTTGATTTGGCTGATGTATATCTCACCTACATCACATCATCAAGTGTTATTAATAATGGTTATTTTACACCTAACACGATTGTTTTTAATTTGCAAAAAAAAAGTAGAGAAATATAATTCACAGTATATGGTTGTGAAGATTATTAGATTTTTGATCGAGATCATAAGTCAACTGAATCTAGAACACCATAAAAAATCTAGAGATACTGGACGTCCATCTTGTCCTATTGTGGAACTCTTCAACAGTGCGCATCCATGAACGAATCTTACGAGGCAGAATCGTGGACGAAATGGTCGTCCAATGCTTCTAGGTTCCCAATAGTCATTTTACATTAATCAATTCATGATCTCAATCAAAAGATATAATTCCTTTATAAAATCATTGAATTTTTTAAATAATATTTCATATACTTGTGGTGGACTCCAAATTAATGATGAACCACCTGATGGAAATCTTCTTGAAACAAGAATTTTCTTTTGAACAATATCATAAATGCATACTTTGCCTAAGATAGAAAAATAATAAAACATACAAATACAATACTAATGGTATATACTATTGCATCCTTTCTATCTTATCTTGTTCATATTATCACAATTGCATTTTGATAACTATAAGATGATGAAGAAGATTTGTATGTCGAATGGATGATTTTGTTCTCTGAGTTAGACGGTTTAGTTGTGAAGCTTTCATCGTTCTTTCGAACGACACTATTAGCTTTTCTACCTGAAGTTTGTGTTGATAATATCATTCAGAAGAACTATAAATGCTTCATGACTAAACCATTCAGCTTAGAGAATAAATCTTTATCAAAATTTGATAACTATGTTTAACACTTTTGTTTTGTAATTCATGTTGTATCCCGATGGGAATAATGAATGGTCACTTTTGGGGATTCATTTATCGACCAATACTATGTGTATATTTTCATTGGATAAGTGTTATGTAATTAAACTATTCATATTCATGTTCCTCTTATTATAATCTTTATTTTGATCTATGAACTATTATTAAACGATCTACCATTCTTGAATTATACCCTGTCTATTAATCATCACCCGTCACATTCACAGCCACATTTTGCTGAATCTTGTACAAATGTTGTCTCATATTTTATGGTACGATGTGATCTGTTTGGCTGGTGTATATGAACCCAGTATATCTGAAATACATGATTCATATCGCTGAGGCTATGATCGGTGTTGTGGACTCAACAGGCATGTAGGGCTAGGCAGTAAGCAGGTTTTATGCGCACTTGGTCCGATCGATAATTCACTGCTCTCTAATTGGTGGTATCATTACGTTATATAGTAATATGGGCATAAGGTTGTAGTGACCTGCTTTTATCAACAGGACGCGATTGGTTTAATGGAAACAATCATAATTATAACCAATTGTACCAGTGATTGTTTTATTGTGCTCGTTTGTTTAACTGTACTAAAGACAGCCATTACTCTCCTCCATTACACCTTTCCTTTGATTGTGACATTGCACAAGTTCGGTTACGCTCAGTAATCACGCTTGTACTCCTTTGGTACGATCTCGGTATTCTTTCGATACTACGAGATCGTCAACAAATACATCTCAACTACAGTCATCATCTGCCTTCTGATATTTGGCCTACGGGGATCTTATTGGTTAACTGGCACGTAGTCTTCTTGTAATGGTGATCATAGTCAAACGCGACTCAACACCACGTTACAGGGTCACAAGTTATAACAATTCAGTTCTTAGTGTTGTTCATATTTTATCAGTTAATTTAAAATAGAACTTCTGTAGATTGAATAACCGAAAATTGTATTACATCTTAATTCATTATAAAATGATTATAAGCTGTCAAAAGAATTTCATCAGTACTATGTACTAAGCAACATGTTATTCTTTATTGGACAATATAATAATTAGTTAAATTTGATCCATATTCATTAATTCACTTGGTATTGTTTGCTTGTATCTTCTCATTGTTGTTTAGGATTGCAATTGGTCAGTCTCTTATTGACATATGTGGATTGCCTCTATATTACCTTAATTCATAAGTGTTATAAACAAAGATGGATAGTAGCTAGCAGTGGAATCCAAGACTCGCGTTTCGTTCTATTTAGGACTTGTCGACTGGATGTACCTTCATTCCAAAGTTGATGTTCACTTTGGGGCTCAACGATCTGAATGGCAAATGAAATGATCTAATTTCTTATCTTCTTGAACTAAGTTATTCATACCTAAAATCAGTGAAACCCCGAAGGGAAGCGGAAAAGAGGTAGGCCAAAGAACATATTATGTCGGGAAATAGAAGCAGATATGAAAAGGATGACTAATAACTGGAAAGAGCTGGGAGAGATTGCCAAGGACAGGGTTGGATGGAGAGTGCTGGTTAGCGGCCTATGCTCCTCCACGAGAAGTAACAGACATAGGTAAGTAAGTTTTCTAACCCCACCATTCCTTGTAGGAAGGCAGCATCGCTATTATGCTGGTTGTCTGAAAGAAACAGCTTATTACCGTCACACCTCTGTACAGTCAGCAGTACGACTTCTCCCCCGAACCTTTGGTTTGCTGGTTTTAGTCTTACCGCTCTTCAACCGACCTGTCTGGCATGGTAGGACCTTGAGGAGGGATTGTCCCAGCCAGTATAGCTTGATTGGTTCATTATGATAGGCAAGTCCGACCACTACATCAAGGTAGCAGCAACGGTCCGGTTCGAACTGTATGGTTAGAAGTCGTCTGGTTGCTGATCCGTTCTCCGTTCTAGTGTTATATTTGCGTCGTTGTTACGTATACTTGAAAATAAGACGTGGAACCATTGCGATTCCCACGACACGAAGTACAAACACCAAGACTGCTACAGGTGAAGATTTGTTGACACCAAAACATGACAACTCGTGCCGAAAACACACTCATTTATACATTGATTGTATACCCATTCTGATTACTGTAGCTTGTTCACTTGAATTCTCTCACTTTCACTTCATACATAGTTGCTCCTGTTCTTTTAACTGTCCCATTTGTCCATCGTCGTCTGGAACCACGGAAATCCTGCACCAAAACTGTTTCACCTTGATGAAAACTTTTGGTTTCGACACGGTGATGTTCATTAAATTATGGCTTCTTTATTTGTATTTCCTTCGATCTTGATATCAGATTTTGTTAGACAATCGGAATTTTTTGCCCAGGATGATAAGAGTGTATAAGTTTCAGGATGGACTGATAAAGATGGTTAGGAGTGACAACCCGATCACCAGACAGGATGCAGTTATCAACGATTGTCAGAGAGTTTCTCCTTCTGTGGAACAGTTTCAGGTCTTCTGGTTGAAGATATGGCGGCCAGACACAACAAAGACTGCATATTAGTTTACAAATTATTAGATCAATTTAACTGGACTCTGAAACTTTCCTTGATGTTGAATTAACGGAATGAACAGCATTTGTGAAAATTCGGCTATCGAACGACCGAGCGTGGATCAATAGTCATTTAGTGTTACTCTAGGCTTTTATCTCACATTTACCATCCCATTGATTAGCTGAAGATCATTGGTACTAGATAGACAACCTAAGAGACCTAAGCAATATTTCAATTCGATCAATACAACTGTTCTCCTACCTTAAGGTCCGATCTCATGGGCCCAAAATAACTAAACAAGGAAATCTGTTTATTTTCACTGGCTCGTGAGTAATATTATGTAAAATAATACCATGATCAACAACATACCATCAAGACCAACTGTAGCTGCACAATAAGTGAACGGTGATGTGACACAATCAACAATATCATTTGCATGGAACTCTTCTAGACATTCTGGTGCTAAGGATGTGTGTGAAAAGGATAAATCTAATTTCCATATAGCTCCATCAGCATCCTTTTTTTATTGAGAGGAAAGAAAAACATAAGTAACAGAAAGAAGACATGATCAAATTGAATATGGTTAATGGTTTATGATTATGTATATGTTATATAACAAACATTAACCTGTCTACTACTTATTCATATCTTCATTTCTATTGTACAATCACTTATATTTATTACTACTTGTAACCATTACTTACTTACTTACTTACGCCTGTTACTCCCAATGGAGCATAGGCCGCCGACCAGCATTCTCTAACCCACACTGTCCTGGGCCTTCTTTTCTAGTTCCATCCAGTTCTTGTTCATTTTTCTCATATCTATCTCCATTTCTCGACGTAATGTGCTCTTTGATTTTCCTCTCCTCCTTCGGCCTTCAGGATTCCACGTGAGGGCTTGTCTTGTGGCGCAGTTGGGTGCTTTCCTCAATGTGTGTCCTATCCACTTCCAGCGCTTCTTCCTGATTTCTTCCTCCACTGGGATCTGATTTGTTCTCTCCTACAGTAGGTTGTTGCTAATCGTGTCCGGCCAGCGGATCTGAAGTATTTTGCGTAGACAACTGTTAATAGACACTTGTATCTTTTGAATGATGGATTTCGTAGTTTTCCAGGTTTCCGCCCCATACAGTAGAACTGTCTTCACATTTGTATTGAAAATCCTGACCTTGGTGTTGGTTGCCAATTGTTTTGAGTTCCGGATATTCTTCAGTTGTAAATATGCTGCTCTTGCTTTGCCAGTCTGCTCCGTCACATCTACATCACATCCATCGTGCTGATCAATGATGCTGCCCAAATATGTAAATGTTTGTACATCTTCCAAATCTTCTCCGTCAATTGTGATTGAATTGTTGCATGCTGTGTTGTATCGGAGAATCTTGCTTTTCCCTTTGTGTATATTGAGATCTATTGCTGCTGAGGCTGCTGCTACACTGGCCGTCTTCTCCTGCAGTGTAGTCATACTTGACTTATTTTATCCACATGTAAATATGCTTCAATTTCAGCTTTGATACTAAATATAGGTTTTTGTATTTTATACTTATGATCCATCCACGAACCCATGGAAGATCGAACTTGAGATTGTTTGGTTTCGTTACAAGCTTTTAACTTTCAGACTACTGAGTTATTATTTATTTGGACGTATAAATATTAGTACAAAGTGGCACCAGATACATATGCGCCACACAATTTTCCACTAGTTTTCCTCATTTCATTTTATTCATGTGTAGGCTGTCATACTGCCCGGGTCTTTAAACCGAAGCAGGTTATTTTCTTAGAGGGTCATACCCGCAGCCTTCAACCTAAAGGTCTAATCCAAAAGGTAGTGCAGCAACTTAAGGAAATGCAATCATATAGTAGTCGGTGACCGAAAATAGGTTCATACGCCATTTGTTCCTCCAAGATTCTGGAGTCCATGTGCACCATTGGTTTGGAATTAGGGTTTTCCAGATCCCTTAGATGGATTCTACGTGTCCACCAACCCGATTAAAGAGCTGAACATTCGCTTTTTATCCTCTCAATTTCGTAAAAGGCATCCGTGGTGTGAGATAGCAAAGAGTAGGACTTCCGTGTCAACGACTGTATACGTGTGACTATGTGAGATCATTTTGAGTGGGAGAGCTGACTCTCTCCACTCTCGGCTGTACCAGGATATATGGGGGTATAGTTTACATTTCTAGCATAGATCTTTAGAAATTTCGGTACTAAAAAATAATTATATTGATCATTAGCTTGAGATCATATAGTTCTTTTTAAAATTGAACTATTTCCAATTGATAATATGAATGATAATGATGAGAAATCTTGAATCAATCTAATCAATTCAATTTTAATAACTTACTTGAGCATACCACATTGTAGAATCAGGGAATGGAATTTTTACAATATGCATTAAATTAGCTTTTAATCCAACACGTAATTCATTCATTGGTTCTAGTTCAAAAAATCCACTCTCTTCTGAAGATTCAGCTGTATCCACAGTTTCAAAATCCCATGTCTATTAATGAAATAAAATGAAATTTATGTAGTAAAATAGTAACTTTTTGAAAAATCAGTGTATTTTCATTTGGAAGGAACTCTAAGAATAATCTAGAGATATGTGCGATACTGATTAGTGTTGAGGATGGTTAGAAGAAAGTTAGGGGTGGTAGATGAAGACTATTTGGTTGGGGCCCGTGTCACTATCGTAAGCAATGGTTGGACTTTTGGTGACATGGCTTAGAATCGATCACAATGACATAGGTGTATACACTCTCTGTCTTTCTTTAAACTATGAGATTAAAAATCACTTCATATCTTTCTTTCTACGAACTAATTCCTTTCTTCCTGTACTATGTCCTTATATGCAATCTTTCTTTTATATATTATCATCACTGAATTAACTACTTCTAGGAATCCGGTGTTCATCTTGTTGTGTTAATGCGGTATGGCAACTTGAACCAATGCATATATGTTCCAGGTCCTACTTTGTAGCTGACTGAATGACTGACTGACTAAGAAATAAATCAGTCAGTTTCACCATTAAAAAAAAATAGTAATTTTTACAGTATTTAATAATACCTTGTGGAAATGTCAACAGCTGGTTATATTTTAGGAAATATTAATAATTATCTCAATATATATAAAGGCTACATATCCACTATAAACAGATAATAACAGAAGAGAGCGGTGTGATTATAAAATATGCCTCAAAACTGTGGTTTATCTGTTAATTTAGTCACATTTTAACGCGTTGCACCCACAAACTCTTGAAAATGGTTGAGAAACCAGTTGGTAGTAAGAACTCTTGTAAAATTAATCAATTTCCGATCTGAACGTGACTGTTTAGACCAAATAATCACACTACATTGGGTCCTAAAACATAGACACACAATCAGATGTCCCATAATAGTAGTATTTCTTGACCATAAGGCAGCACTTGACTTTGTTGTTTATGAGGTTATGTGGCAGTGTTTGTCACTGAAAAGAGTACCAAAGAAGTGAATTAACCTTGTAAAGGCTCTCTACTCGAACATAACTGGCCAAGTGACAGCTTATGGCAAACTGTCAGCAGATTTGATTACCTCAAGTGGTGTTCGTTAGGGCTGTCCACTCTCTGCATTCTTGTTGAACTTTGTCGTTGACTTTCTTTTAGAGATGACACTTTCATCATATAAATTTCCAGGTATTGAACTTTTACCAGAAGATTCACTTGTTGACTTAGAGTATGCCGATGATATAGTTGTATTTGGTGAAGACGCTGACAAAATGCAGTCTTCTGACCACCCTAAGCAACAATGCAAGCATGTTTGACATGCGATTCTCTCCCTCGAAATGCAAAATGTTACTTCAGGATTGAGTTGCATCGACACCGGAACTGATGATAGGGAGTGAAGTAGTTGAGCGTGTCGACCGCTTTACTTATCTTGGAAGTCTCATCAGCCCTTGTGGTCTGGTGTGTAACGAAATCTCAGCACGGGTACAGAAGACTCGACTAGCTTTTGCCAACTTGCATCATTTGTGGCGTGAGCGAGATATCTGTCTATCAACTAAAGGACGTGTTTACTGCGCAGCAGTGAAACATAGCCGGTAAGAGTAGAGGATATTCGTAGGTTACTAGTATTCGACCATAGATATCTTCGAAACATTGCTCACATATCGTGGGACCACCGAGTAAGTAATGCAGTTGTTAGGAAACAGTTACTAGGTAAAGATGGCAAATCAATTGATGAAGTAATGAAACTTCATCAGTTGAGATCGGACCAAGTGCTCATAAAACCTGCTTACTGCCTAGCTCTACCTGCCTGTTGAGTCCGCAACACCAATCTCAGCCTCAGCGATATGAATCATGTGTTTCAAACGTACTGGATTTATATACACCAGCCAAACAGATCACATCGTACGATAACATAAGAAACAACATTTGTACAAGATTCAGCAAAATGTGGCTGTGAATGTGACGGGTGATGATTAATAGACAGGGTATAATTCAAGAATCACAATTGATTGATCACTGGGTGGTGACAAATGTCATGCGTGTCTAGTCCATATTATTAGTGCAGATCGAATGCTATCGATCATGTTGCAATGTGGCCACCAGTCTAGGTGACTCGACACCGCCGGCACTATTGTAAGATTAGATGGTGGTTGGAGGTAGTCGACAGGAAACCCTGGACCCGGGTTTCGTGCTACTTGTCACTCGTCAGCAAGGTGTACCTGTAATCTTTGAGGGAACTGGTGCTCCCTGGCGGATTTGATCCCATGTCACCCAGCTTAACAGTCAGAGACATTACCACTGAGCTATCCGGGCCGCGACCGACCTCTTGTAGGACTGAGATGTTATCACAATTGATTGATCACTGGGCGGTGACCAATGTCATGCGGGTTCAGGGTTTCCCTGTCGACTACCTCCAATCACCATATAATTCAAGAATGGTAGATCGTATAATAATAGTTCATAGGTCAAAATAAAGCTTATAATAAGTGCAACATGACTATAAATAATTCACTTTGTATTTTTTTTTTTACTTGAATCTTCCGATTGAGTTACAATACAAAGTGAATTAAACTTCACCGCATTACACAAGCAAGTGGCTATCAGGACTCAATAGCTAAGTGAATAATGCAATAGCGTTTGAAGTGAATGATACTGGGTTCAAGTCCCATAGTAAACATCAACTCTAACATGCAGTGATATCTGGCTGACAAGTTTCAAATAGGATTATTCAATCAAACTATACACATAATATTGATCGATAAATAGGGTCCCCAAAAGTGACCATTCATTATTCCCATTGGGATATAACAAAAACAAACACACCAAAAAATAAAAAAACAAAAAAGGGAAGGAGGGATAGAGGGAGGGAGAGAGGGGAGTTATCATCACTTACTCGTATCCAACCATCTTGACCAATTGTTATTAATTCACCTTCATCAATAATAATTTGCATAATATTACCATAATGACATGATTGTTTATTTTTACGTGTAATTTGTACTTTAATTAAATTATCTTCCCATAGAAGTAAATTACCCCATATTGTACCAGTTAATACTTTACCATCAGGTAATATAATAAATCCATTAATATTACATAAATCAATTTTACCAAATTTACCTAATATCCCTTGTAATTTTAAACCGGTAAATGTATTAGACATTTTCCAAAATTTTATATGTCCAATACCAATAGTAGTTAATATACCATATAAATCAATTGACCATGCAATATGATATATCTCTTGAGAATATGCTTTAGATTTTAATACAATTTGTTCATTTCTCCATTCCCATATTATTATTGTATAATCAGGATCGGAACCAACTGTAGCTAATAATTCACCATTTGGACTAAATCAATAAAATTGAAACAAACAAAACAAAAACAAAAAAAAACAGAGAAGATTATAAAACTTAAATTATAGAATGTAAGAAGAAGAAGAAGAAGAAGAAGATGGAGATTATCAGAACTATGTGATATATTAGCCAAAACTATATCAATAATTGAAATCATGAATCAATTGAAGCTAGACCACCATGGGAAACCTGGAAGCACTGGACGGCCGTTTCGTCCTAGTATGGGACTCCTCAACAGTGCGCATCCACGACCCCCCCGCGAGATTCGAACCCAGGACCTATCAGTCTCGCGCCAGGCGCTTAACCAACTAGACCACTAAGTCGGCATCCAACGGTGTTAATGTCTAACTACAAATAATACACGAAGTTGCGCCACCGTCACCATTGTCTTCAGTGAGCTGATATCTCACAACAGACCTGGTTGAACTCCACTGGTCACGGCTGAGGAGTCCCATACTAGGACGAAACGGCCGTCCAGTGCTTCCAGGTTTCCCATGGTGGTCTAGCTTCAATTGATTCATGATTTCAACTATTGAAATTACCAATTCTCCACAAAAACCCATTCTAGTAAAACTATATCAGTCTGTTATGTGAAGAGGAGAAGAACAATCAACTCCCTTTTCTAGATATATACTTCTGAGTAGATGAGAAGAGATGGCTCAGTCAAACGATCCAGTTTTAGAAAACTAACATGGACAGGTCAATACCTTAGTTATTATAGTTATTGCCCTGTACAATATACAAACGTGGTTTGATAAGGTATCTCTTTTCAATAGGTTTGATCGTATTTGTACAAATGACGTCATTGATGAGGATGTTAAGTTGTGAAAAAAGACATTAATAGAAAATGATTACCTCCTGAAATTCATAAATAGATGGAAAGTCCACGGTACAGTGAGACCTATTGTAGCCTCGGTGGAAAAAAAAGCCTGTCTACATCACCTTACCATTCAGAGGTGATTCAAATAGTCTGTTATTGAAACAAAGACTTAAATCAGTCATCAGCAAAACGTACTGCGCAGCAAAGGTCATTGTCAAAAAAAGAACAAGGTGCATGTTTCATTCAAAACCTCAAAGACATGAAAACGATTGTGTCACATCCCACTGTGTTTACCAATTTAAATGTGTGTATGGTCACACATACATAGGGAGGAGCAATCGTAATCTTAACATTAGGGTGAGTGAACATGTACCCAAATGGCTGCAAAAACAAATACAATCAAGTGATCCAATAAGAGCAGAGGATAAACATTCATCATCCTCTATTGCTAAACAATATAATTGAAACAGGGCACAAGATTGATCTAAACTCGGCTTTTGTGGTATTATATAAAAGTGTACAAGGGCGTATACTAAGGTTTATTGAAGCCTTAACCATACGAAAATTCAAACCCCCTTTGTGTATTTAAAAACAGTTTGTTCTCTCCTTAAACATACCTTAGTAATATTGACTTATTATCCAGATGGATTAAGTTTTGAATAGTGTTCAGATTATTATTATTATTATTATTATTATTATTATTATTATTATTATTATTATTATTATTATTATTATTATTATAATCTCCGTCTTCGTATTACATTATCGAAATTCATAAAAGGGACTAATTGCTTTAAATTATATAATTATCAGAAGGGATTGTGTGGAGATTTTAGAAATTTCACTGGTTGAAATCATGAATCCATTGAAGCTAGACCACCATGGAAAACCTGGAAGCACTGGACGGCCGTTTCGTCCTAGTATGGGACTCCTCAGCAGTGCGCATCCACGATCCCGCTCCTCGCGAGATTCGAACCCAGGACCTATCAGTCACGCGCCAGGCGCTTAACCAACTAGACCACTGAGCCGGCATCCAACGGTGTTAATGTCTAACTTCAACCAATCCACGAAGTTGCGCCACCGTACACCATTGTCTTAAGTGAGCTGATATTTCACAACAGACCTAGTTGAACTCCACTGGTAACGGCTTCTCACTAGAACTTCAGAAGTATCTCTTGAAGTCAGTCACTAGTGAGCAGATGATTATTATTATTATCTGATAATAATTGACTAGGACGAACAGGCCGTCCAGTGCTTCCAGGTTTTCCATGGTGGTTTAGCTGCAATTGACTCATGATTTCAACCAGTGAAATTAAATTATATAAGTTTTATTTGAAGTTAGAGATTAACAGAGTTGAATATTGACTTAATGGTTTAGAGGTGAAGAGTTCCTGTCAGGTATGATAGTGAATGTGTATTGTTGATGAGTCTTATACTAGAACGAAACGGTCAACTAATGCTTTCAGGTTTTCTATGGTGATTTGGCTTCATCAATGGACTCATGATCTTCACTGTTGAAATTGTCACTTATGTTTTATTTATAAGTCACGATAACTGGATTATGAATAAGACAGTGTAGCGGTAAATAAATAGTTTTGTAAGTCTTTGACATTTGATGCTGATCATATTAGTTTTAATGGGTTCGTCTAGCTGAAAGGGGCTTGGTCACATATTTGCACTGGATCACGAATGAAAATGCCGTACTCAACTTCTCTTGTAATTGCTAAGCGGTTTAGCTTAGTCACTTCTCGATTTATTAATAATCTATCAAATATATCCTAGGATCTCCATACATCTGATTACTGATTTTACTGGGGGGGGGGAGGGCACAATTCAATTATTGAAGGTGTTACAGGTTTAATTGTTGTCAAACTACAGATACTTGTGGCATCTTCAACAGGTATAGTCTATATGTATTAAATCATGAATCAACTGTTTCTGAAGAAATGAACCATCGTTTATCAGATGATCAGTCGTCTAAATGTAATGGGTGTATTCGAAGTATGTCACATAAAAGTAAGTTATAAACTATGTAAATTTTAACTAAGAAATATACATACTCCATCTATGAACATATTGAATTGTTTGTTGTTAAAACTTTCACAAATCTGACAAGTTGATTCTAATAGTTGAATTCATGAGTCAATTACTAAAATCTCCACAAAACTCTCTTTTGATAATAATCATCATGTGCTCACTAGTGACTGGCTTGAAGAAGTACTTCCTGGAGTTTTAGTGAGAAGTAGTGACCAGTGGAGTTCAACCAGGTCTGTTATGAGATAGTAACTCATTGAAGATAATGGTGGACGATGATGCAGTTTCGTGAATTGAATGAAGTTAGACATTAACAAAGTTGAATATCGACTTAGTAGTCTAGAGGTTAAGAGTTCCTGTGAGATATGATAGTGAATGTGTATTGCTGACGAGTCTCATATTAGAACGAAACGGTCAACCAATGTTTTCAGGTGTTCTATGGTAATCTAGCTTCAATTGACTCATGAATTCAACTATTAAAAGTTATGTTTATTTAATTATTTGTTTGATACATTCTAGTGGAGAATATCATCGTATTTACCAACTCTTGAAACCATAAACATAATTTTGTCAGCATTCTGACATCTGACCTCTACCAGCAACAGAAATCAAACGACTATTACTCATGTGTACAAAAAATGTTCAGTTTCAATTTAACGATATTATATATTGACAAACCGATGGTGTAGCAATGGGAAGTCCGTTAGGTTCTGTCCTAGCAGACATTTTCATAGCTAACCTCGAAAGATCCTAGCTCAAAGGAGCGATTAATGAAATGATGTATTATTCAAGGTATGTTGATGATACCTTCATTGTATGTAATAATCAACAACATACAACAAATCTGCTAAATACTTTTCAATGAAGCCCATCCAAATATTCATTTCACTGTGGAACATGAAAAAGAAAATAAGATCCATTTTCTGGATATCGCGATAAAACGAAGAAAGGATGGTACAGTTCAACGCTCAGTTTATAAGAAAGACACTTGGAATGGGATTTATCTCATTTTCAGCAGCACCAATTTTTGTTCTTGCTCTCTTTAAAGTAATAAAGGGAACTATGTGTATGAAACCACTTGGTATTGTTTACTTGTATCTTCCCATTAATATTTACGACTGGAATTGATTAGTCTGTTATTGGCATATGTGCATATTGAGCATATGGCTTCAATATAGCCTTAATTTACAAGCATTATAAGAAAAGATGGATAGTGGCTAGCAGTGGAATTCGGGACTCGCGTTTCGCCCTATTTGAGACTCGTCAGTTGGGTGTACCTGCATCTCAGAATTAGTGTTTACCTTGGGGATCGAACTCAGTACCGTTCTCTTCAAACGATATCACGTTATTCACCTAGTTTGAATCCTGATAGCCACCTGTTTATGCAATGAGGTGAAGTTATATTCACTTGGCACTATTTAGTTGAATCTTACCATTGTTACTTAGAACTGAAATTGATCAGTCTCTTGTTGGCATATGTGTATCCTTTGCAGACTCAGTCGATATTACCTGAAGTCACAAGCTTTATTAGCGAAAAAAGGATAGTGGCTAGCATTGGAATCTAGGACGCGTTTGAAGCAAACTGTACTGGGTTTGAGTCCCAGAGTGAACATCAACTCTGGGATGCAGCTACATCCAACTGACGAGTCCCATATAGCACGAAACGCCCGTCCCGAATTCCATTGATGGCCACGATCCATCTGTACTTACCAACTGTCTAGAAAAACAAGAATGAACTATGCATTATTCTGTGATTTTAACTCGTTAAGACATAATGATCAAAATTGCATGACATAAAACAAAAAAACAACAATAAAAATACCATCAATAGATTTTACAAAGTTGTTATGTTTGATGAATCCATTACGAATTCGCCTAATTTGAGAACAGAATGAAGATACTGTGACACAATAACAGATAAGCTAGCTATTCTGACGCATCCCAGCCCAGCTAACTAAAGAGAGAGAGAGAGAGAGAGAGAGAGAGCGAGAAGTCCAAGTTCCAAAATGGGTATTTACCAAGTAGGTTCTGGGGATCTAACATCTCCAACAAAAGTAAATCAGTAAAAGAGGATATCCAAAATAAAGTTTGATTAAAAATCAATATGAATTGATTTTTGATTATCATTTTAAGAACAGTTTCTAGTTAATATAAAGTTTACCAACGAATCATTTAAGATAAAGAGAGTCACTTCAAGGTTATGGAGTATACTATTTATAGATCGTTTCATGGTTAACATGTTAACAAATAAAACATCATTTAGTATTTAAAAAAGGAGGTTAAATTACTAAAAATAAACATTCACATGTGAATACGAGGATGAAATGTCTGTTAATGAATCGAAAAACATTGAAAGTAAAGTAAAAGTTCTCAGCAATATTTTGATTGTGGATAAGATTCAATATATAATTAAGTTTGAAGTCAAAAATTACAACTTAGGTTTTGATGGAGTTTTGTACTCTGAGCTGAATGGTTTGGTCGTGGAGCCTTCATCGTTCTTCTGAACGACATCATCATCAGCACAAACTTCAGATAGAAGTGAAGTGTTCGAATTTCTCCATTGTGCTGATGATGTCGTTCAAAAGAACGATGAAAGCTCCACGACCAAACCATCCAGCTCAGAGAACAAAACTCCATCAAAATCATCCACCTGAGCTACAAATCTTCGAATACAGTGGTCTTGAGTGTTGTTAGAGGTATGAGAGCGGTTATCACTTCCCGGTTGCCCACACCGTGGAAGGGTTTTGCTGGAGGTACCTGAAAAGGAAATTCGATTAGAGGTGGTCATAGTGACATGAGAGCGTGACCGCAGTGCCCAAGGGACAGCTGCTTGTGGTCGGTCACACACAACGTTTTTATGAGTAATTTTTGTGTTAGCTCCGTACTTGTTGAGACCTTACCGCCGGAGACGGATATCCGTGGGATAAGGCGAGGTGTGCATTTTTAGGGTCAACCTTTTCTAACCCCTCCCCTCTTTTTGGGAAGGCAGCATCGCTGTTATGCTGGTTGTCTGAAGGAAACACCTTACTGCTGTCACACCTCTGTACAGTCAGCAGTACGACTTCGCCTTCGGACCTTGGTTTTGTTGCTTTTAGACTTACCACTCTTCAACCGACCTGTCTGGCATGGTAGGACCTTGAGGAACGGTTGTTCCAGCCAGTATAGCTCAGTTGCTTCATCACGATAGGCAAGCCCGACCACCACGTCAAGGTAGCAACAACGGTCAGGTTACAAATCTTCTCCACCATCTCATTACAACTTAAGTTTAGGCTAAGTATATTAGAGTTAGGTTGATAAACTTAAAGGTTGTAGTTATGATATGCATAAATTAACCTCGAACCTTGGTCCCAAATGTAAACTACAGTGATTACAAACATGGTTGTCTAACTTGGATCGGTTCTTAATTTCAATGAAGTCCAGCAATCTCCATAAACTCAGAATAATAAAAATATATAACCAACCTAAGAATGTTCAAGTCATATATAAATAATATATGCTAGTCTTAGCCATGTTGGTAGATGCAGACTACTTGGTTCCGGTTTGCGTGACCATCTCAAAAAAATGGTCAGAGACTTTAAATGATATGGCTCAGAATCGATTACAATGGTGTAGGTGTACATACACTTTCCGTCTTCCCTTAAATTATGAGATTAAAATCACTTCATATCTTTCTTTCTACGTACTAATTCTTTCTTCCTGTACTATATTCTTATATGCAATCTTTCTTTTATATATTACTACCATTGAATTAACTACTTCTATGAATTCGGTGTTCATCTTGTTGTTCTAATGCGGTAAGGCAACTTGGACCGATGCACATATGTGCCTGGTCCTGACTTACTGACTCCCACTCTCTATCATAAATTAGTTATTCACAATGGTTGTTTTCTGAATGTCTAAGACAGCTTATGATATCATGGTTATTCTTCAACATGCTTTATGTTTATTAATGTTTTTAAATGTTTTCAATGAAGAAAAGGGACTTTTTTCGTAGTTGACACAGACATTTTATATCAAGTGGCTTCATTTGTGAAATTGAAATACAGATCAAACTATAGAAAAAGTTATCATTTAAGTTAATCAATTAAATTGTATCAGTGTTATCTTTAGAATCCAGATAACCTATTGACAATAAATTGGAAACCAAATCACTAAGATCAATGAGAGATAGAAAGCGTAATATTTTAGTTTGAGAAAAAAAGATTATAATCAGAATGGGGTTTTGTGGAGATTGTAGTAATTTACTTGTTGAATTCATGAGTCAATTGAAGGTAGACCACTATGGAAAACCTGGAAATACTGGACGGCCGTTTTAAGATTCTGACCTGAGTTTTGAAAGTCTTCATCATCTAGTGAACCATTAGAAGAAAGAGAATTAGGTAGAGCAAGTAGCCTTATCTGTTTCCGGTCTTTACTTAGAGTGTATCTGTTAGCTGTCCTCCATGTATGACAATACTAAATGAATTTAAATTTCATCCCATTGCACCGGCAAGGAGCCTTCAATCTAACAGTCTAATGCACAAGTCAGTGGAGCAACGTAAAGAGATACAGTCTCATGGAAGCCAGTGACCAACGATAGGTTCATACGCCATTTGTTCCCTCAGGATACTGGAGTTCATATGCACCAGTGGTTTGGAATCAGGGTTTTCCAACTTCCCTCTATGGATCCTCTGTATCCACCAACCCGGTTACAGCACCGGACATTCGCTTTTCGTTCTCTCAATTTCGTGATCAACACCCATGGTGCGAGAAGGCAGTGAGTAGGACCTCCATGATATTGATTGTGTACACGTGGCCATGTGAGAGCATTTTGAGTAGGAGAGTTGACTCTACGCACTCGTTGTCTTACCAGGGCATTTGAAGGCTTGCGAATTACGGAAATATCGAGGCGAAACACACTAGATGCGCATATGCCAATAAGAGACTGATCAACTGCATCATAAACATCAATGGGAAGATCCAAGTAAACAATGCCAAGTGAATTTATTGGGTAATAAGTTTAAACTCCACTTTGTATTCAACTGTTTTATTCAGCTAGGTAAGGATCACAATTTAATTGAGATATAGAATTTATGACATAAACCTATACTTCAGTCAGTCAGTCAATCAGTCAACTACAAAGTAGGACCTGGCACATATATGCATCGGTCCAAGTTGCCATGCCGCATTGACACAGCAAGATGAACATCGGATTCATAGAAGTAGTTACTTCATTGGTAGTAATATATAAAAGGATGATTGCATATAAGGAAATATTACAGGAAGAAAGAATTAGTTCATAGAAAGAAAGATATAAAGTGATTTTAATCTCATAGATTAAAGAAAAACAAACTGTATACACACCTACACTTTTGTGATCGATTCTGAGCCATCACACCCACAGTCCTCAACCATTAGCTACGATAGTCACGCAGACCCCAACCACGCACACACACACACATACACATACAAATAAACAAACAAGAAGATAATGACAAACTTACCTAAATTGACATGCTGTATAAGCAGTTTCAGTACCTTCTTTTAATATACGATATAATTTAATATCAGGATATTGATAAATGCATACATTTGGCATAATACCTTTTTCAGCTAATGCTATATAATTATTTTGTGATTGTATACAAAATGTACCAATACCAATTCCATTCATTGAACGTATCATAATTATATCATTAGTATTCATATTAATTAATTGTAAATAATTACCATATATATGACATAATATATGATTATTATTATAATGAAGTAATTGTATATTCTCTCTACGTGTTACATCCATACCGAATAAATGAGAAACTTTTAATAGATTTATTGGTATACCAGAATTTTCAGTAATCATTGGTTGTACAATATAATCATTAGAATTATAAAAGAATTCAGGATCTAATCTTTTTTTAGATGGTTCATTTATTGATCGTATTATATTCGTATGATGATCTTCATTTTCATTATTATTATCATTATTATTATTATTATCATCTTCATATTGATCTTGTTGTTGTTGTTGTTGTTGGGCTTGTTCATTAACATGGTTTATTGAATTGTTACTAGGTACCAGTTGTTGTTGTTGTTGTTGTTGATTAGAAGATGAGGGGGGATCTTCTTGTTTAGGTTTATCATTTTCTAGTTTACTAATAAGTTGCTCTTCTTGATTTTTATTATCTATAAAGGTAAATAAATTTGTTTGTTTGTTTGTTTGTTTATATTTAAAATTCATTAACATTACCGACTATTGAAGATTCATTATCAACTGGTAATACTTCCATAGAATTCTTATCTTCAAGATTAATATCATCTTCTTTTAGTTGATTAGGATCTAGATTATCTTCTTGGTCAGACATTTTTTTACTATTCAGATTAAATCATATTTCTAAATGGATAATATGTATATATAAATTAGTTAACAAAGTAAAGTAAATAGTTATTGAATAAATGTTTAGTTTAAAGTATGGAACACTACACTACATTAATGGTAGAGAAGATTTATAGCTCTGATGGATGATTTTGATAGAGTTTTGTTCTTTGAACTGGATGGTTTGATTCATCTATCCATCTAATCATCCAGCTCACAAAACAAAACTCCATCAAAATCACTATACTTATTAACCATTAAAAAAAAACATTTTCATCTTAAGAAGCATATCAATGAGATTTTGAGTAAACACATGATGAATTCAATCATCAAATCAGATTAGTTGAAGAATATTGTAAGATGATCTTCTAAGATCCAATACTTTTTTTAGTAAGATAAACTGTAGTTCACATGGAAGAAAATCAGGAACGATTAGATTATATTGCAAGTATTGGAAACTTAGTCTAAAATAGATTTTGATGAAGGTTTACATTATGTAACAATCTTGTGTTCTCTGATGATTCATTCTGAAGTGGAAATTTTGTAATCCTAGTAATGAGTCGTCACTATTCTGAAGTCTAATAGTTATCACTGATAACATTGGTTCAGAATCATGCTATATGACAGTTGGCTAAAGCAAAAGACAAGAACTGATGGAATTTAATTTGATGGTTGAAAAACGTTATACTAGTTATGAAACATCGATAGATTTAGCTTGATTCCGTATAGTACAGTGTGGATGCACTGTTGCTAGTTTATACACTGATGTAACACATATATCTAGTGCTTTTTAACTGTTTTCCAACTATCCCCATCACTAGTCAGCATTGCGCATCGTGGTAATCGGTATTCGGGCATACGCAACATGTGGCCCAACCATCTCAGTCGATGAAGATTCACATTTTCATCAACTGATTTACCATCATTCCCTAATACTCTGCGTCTAACCTCACTATCCCTTACCCGGTGATTCCAGCAAATACAAGCAATATTTCTAAGGCATCTGTGATCAAATACTAATAACTTACGAGTGTCTTCTACCCTTAATGGCCACGTTTTGCAGCCGTGAAGTGATTCCTAAGCATATTATATTATCTCTCAGACTCTTTATTTCTTCATAGATCTTTCTTTTTTTATCAAGCTTATTTCCTAGTCTTTTTAATAGGATAGTTTGTGTTAAGTTAAATAAATGATGAATTTTTAAGATTTCAGAATTTACAAATTCTGTTGCAAAATAAAACTGGCATAAAGATTCGGGGATTTAAACTTAATTTATGTCGTAATACTTCAATATTGATGGATAATTTTCCAAGAAATTCCTGACTTTTATTGTTACCACTAGAGTACATTCATGGCAGTTTCAAATAGCAACGTTTTTAGATTAATGTATTTTACATTGAAATAGGTAACTATTGATGCATTTAAATAGACAAAACATTCTTGTCGTTATATGATTTTTAAGTTGACAAAGGGAAAACACTGTGTGAACTCAAATGCTTCTTGATGATCTGCACTGGGAAACCTAAAAATGTGAGTCTATCGTACTTTTGCTTCATGTCTTTTAGTTATGCTATTTCAGATTGATTCACCTTGATGAAAACTTGGATGAAGACCTTGATGAATATAAGGTTTTTGACCAATTTATTTCTGCAATGTATGTAAAAAATGTTCGCCACTACTTTCGACTGAAAAACTTGTATAATTGGTTTTCGGCTTCGTTTGCAACCTACAAACAGCTGTAACCCAGATTTTTTAAATCAACGTATCATGCTTGGATTGTTCAACAGCTTAAACATAAGGAACGAAGGTTCATTAGTTGTTTGTTTACTGCAGCAAATAGCGAATTTCATAAAGTATGGTGTTCAATGTGTGAATGACTGAAATAGCTATTTAAAGAGATGTTTGCATAAGCATTATACAGCGTTAAAAACGATTTTAGAATCAATTTTTCAACCTTTTGGTGTAATTACAAAACCTATCATCGCTAGTTCTAGCGTTTTATATATTGAAGAATAAAAGAGTTGATTCCAAAAAGACAACTATAACGATATGTTTAAAGAGTAAAACTGGACGGCCACTCTTCATAATTGATGTGAAGTGTGAATTTCACTCAATATGATAGATGTGAACTTTCGCACAGTGTGGCAATTATGTTCTTTCCATTATTTGATGTGTGCTGCGTTCGTGCTTCACAGTAACCCTGTGTAAAATTCTATTTATATAATGTTTACACACTAAACGTCAATCATGTGTAAATTCAGTGCAGAAGTTTGTGGATTTGGCCTAGTAATGACAAGACTCTGGGCAACTTATTCCAGAAAGTCGGTAGATCTTAATTTGTACCAACCCCTGTGTTTTCTCAACTAGTACCATGATAGATGCAGTAACTTTGGAAAACCACATTCTTGTCACGTCTTATGTTTAACATGCATAACCCATGGTAAACACTTTCTTTAATCGTAAAATCAAGTGTATGATAACAATAAAATGACCCATCACCAGTCATTTAGTCTCAAAACGTTGTCTGAATTCAAAAACCTATTGTTTGATATTTGCAGAGTTGTTCTTTTTTACTGTGACTTACAAAATCAGCACCATTTTCATAGTGTCATAGACCGACATCATTGAATGCAGCTTGATACACAAATAAATGTTACTTTAAAGCAAAAATAAACGTTTTAAAGAAGGTGAAAGTGTTAAATTTGAGACATTTTCCCTCAATTGGGATTTTTCGGGGATAATGTTAACTATTTACCCTTGTCTAGAGAAGAAAGTGATATCTCGATGCATTGTCGTCTCTCTATATATAAGGTTTTCTAGTGAGTTTCGTGAAAATTTCTTGAACGCTTGGACTTATTCTCCCTTTTTTATTAACCCGAGCAAATTTGCTCGGGTTAAGCAAAGTTTGAAAACCTATCTACCAGTTCAGAGTATGACAAAATGAAATCCATTAAAATAACCCGTAAAAGTGTTAGAACAAGTAAAAAGCATGAAGGAAGAAAGCAGATACTTCCAGAGAGAAGTTATATGTTTATGTCAACTTATTCAAATTAGTACCAAAATCCCAAGACCTCGAAGTCATAGAAACTGATGAAACTTTTAGATATATAACAAACAACTATGCAGATTCACATTTGTGTAGTGAGGAAAGAGGGCTTAAAACCTGTGTTAGTCCTTTTCCAGTAAACTTACGAGAGCTTCTATCCTTCTCTTGGATGAATCAATCAAACGAGCGAACACCACATACCGCCTGGTCATAGTTTCCTAGTTCGGATCTCGTCGGGGGTGTGTATAATGTAGTGATTATATTAGTATGTAACTTGGGTAAGCGTCCTCCTTAAAGTTCATAGAGTTCAAAACTATTAAGTAGTGAGCTACCCCAAGATTCTAGTGATACCGGACAACGGCCGTGGGATCTGCTCTAATGCAGTACTTGTTTGCCTTTTTGTCATCAATGTGCTAGTTGACACGCTTTATCACGTCATTAAGCATCAACCACTTTTTAGACCGACTAATCAGAACATCTAGGTTCGCCTGAAGTGCACATTCATATGTCTCGTCATTATTTCTCGGCAGAGTTTTTCATCATCAGTGCATAGTAGCCTAGGGAAATAAACTATACTTGAGAGTCAATTTATGTACAATATAAAAGTTAAAGGACCCACGACAGAGCCTCGTGACACCCAATAAGTACTGGTTTCGCGGAGGTATTTGAAAATTTATGCTTAATTTCTGTCTATGACGTATTAACAAACATTGATCCACACCAGATGTCTGTTAAACTTAAGGCATTTGTAACGCTTGTTATTGCTGACTGTTGTATCGAGCTTTCACTATTATATGCAAATCGATCCAAAGTACTTAATGAGTCGATTGTTCACTTTATTCTATCATTCATTTTTTTCACAATCCCACACAAGTTGTTGTTCGCATTACTCGGGACACAACATACCTTCATGCTAATAGCAAACCTGTGATCTAGCGAGACCCTCAACTTTAAACGAAATAGTCATAGTTTCGAATAGCATACCTTGCTATCCGACCTATTCTGTTTCAAAAACTTTCAGTTGGACCTGTTAATTTCAGACAATACCATATCAAGAGATTGTCGTCGTAAATAAATTCCCCAGAATAACAGTTCTGTAATTCTTCGACATTTGATGCTGACCGCTTTAGTTCTAATGGACTCACATAGCTGAAGGCATTCGGTCATGCATCCGCACCAGAACACTTGTGGGTACGCCGTGCTTCACATCTCCTACGACCGCTAGCCAACTTAAATAGATCACTTCTCAATATATTGATATTCTACCAGACATATCACTTCGCTTCTGACTTTTGATTTGACTGGGTTTGCACGTTTCGATTATAAAAGGTGTTACTGGTTAAGTTTTTGTCAAACTCCGAATACATGCCTAATCCTTAAGATTATTCCAGCAGTTCAAATCGACTTAGGGCTTCAGGACAGTTTACCGAACAAAATGAAGTTTATCTAGGATTAACTGTACCCTAGATGTAAAAACCCCTCTACTGTTGTACAGCTAGTGATCTTAATCAGCTAAAGCTAAATAAAATAATGCTTTCGCTTAATTGATCTGATTTCACATAAAAACTATAGCATCTGATGATGCTCTAGTCTGATTCCCCAAAAAACGGTTTCAAGTCAATATGTTTCATTATTACTGTGAAATAACTTGAAATTTTCCCAAAAACGTTTATTCTTAAGTACAAACTGGTGAGATGATTTGACGTTAAATTGTAACCAAGCTGCTAGAAATCCCAGTCCTATGAAGTTGTCCAGGAGGTCATCATAATGGATCATTGCTCATGAGGACTTGGCACTCAACATTCGACGACTAATAATCAGCCTTGAATGCTGATTATTACCTTTCGTTTTACATATATATCGAAACCCCAAAACGTTTTTAAGTTCGATATTTACTCAGATCGTGGAACAGAACAGTTGGAGCTGGAGGATATAATCCTGGC